ATATATATATATATATATATATATATATATATATATATATGTGTGTGTGTATATATATATAGTATATGCAAGCGAGAAATATGACCTCTTAGAATTTCAAATCTTTCCACACCCTCTCACCTGCCATACACGGCGCTGACTACTATATCGCTATTCCCGATTTCTCGGCATCGCACTCACCCCTTTAGGATGCTGACGTACTTACATCATCCCTCTACTTCATTCTACCCTTCCGATGTACAAGACACCTTGTAGATCTCGGCAGGCAGTCTCACCGAACGTAGCGAAGAAAATAGACTAATCGTTGGAGTCCCTAGATATAAAGAGGAGTTTCTGGAAAAGTTATCGAATTAAATGACTTCTGCCACGACTTCCGGAAGTTCTGAACCCAAAGCAATTTCCTTTATTCGCGTGCAATCGCGCCTTGCGGGCGCACGGTACCAGTCGGCATACCTAAACGAGCAAACCAGGAACGAGATCGAATTAATTAGGTATACTTGGATAAGAGGGTGATCCAACCGGGGTGGCAATGTTTTATCCAGGTACTCATAAACCCACCTTTACGACTCTATCCTCTCCTGGATACTCGCTCTCGACTATAAAGTCTCTAGGTACCTATCCAGGTATCTTATATTCCTCTCCTTGCTCCAAGGTAGGCTAAGACGGAAGAAAAAAATAATATAAATTAGCACCAACAGGTTATAGGGAAGGTTTAAAACAGTTTCTAAGAAAAATCAACCGCAAACCAACCTTCAACCTTTCTTGGAGTTTGTGCAACAATACGAGAAAATTGCAATGGATACTCTTAACTGAGTATAGAATTCATTAGCAGCTGTTATCATCGCTGATGTGGAAACGCTTCAGGCCTTCTTATTACTCGACGATAAATTATGAAAATGCGGCCTGATTTGCTTCACGACGCGCGACGCAGGTGCTGTTTTTACTTTTTCGTCAGACGTGTGCTGCATATTCAATCAGGATTGATTGGTAACTGATCTCATGATTCAGGGCCTAAAAAAAAGGAAAAAAGAGAAAAACGGTCTCAATGTCCTACCAAAAGATACTTAAGTGTTACTTAATATCAGGTTATTCAGAATAATCCAACGTTTTGCCCGGCTTGTAATGGCCAGTTTCTACTGAACGACAACCGGAAAGGAGGAAAAAAAGGACACGGTGGATATTTATGATATTACTTAATAGGCACAATTGACGACAGTGTTGCAAGTCGAGCCCACTGGCATGCAGATGGGTTCTTGTTTTAATACGTACCTATGTAGCGTCAATCAGCTGTACCTGATATCTCTCTCTGTCTCTTTCTTACTCATCATTTCTCTCCATGTCTGTACGTTTCATTCCTTCACGAACGATTCAAGGATTTTATGAAGTATATACTTATTATCGAACACCTTAATATGTCTGACCTAGCAGACTAATCGACGCCTTTTCCAGAACGCCGTGAGATTCCAGACTCCGGTAGAAGGTTACTCTGTATCCCTAAGAGAACCCTTGGGCCTTTTCGTGCTGACCTAATAATCACGTTTTCGCATCGGTGAGAATTCTGCACCTGAAATATATAATAACTTAAATGCACCAGACGCCACTGCTACGTCTGACGTCGATAATAGCACAGCTGCCGTCTTAATGAAATTGTCGCTGAAAGTTTCGCAGGATCGATATTCGCTGCTTTGAGGATCCGGCATAAGGATTTTAATATTTAGGATTGACAGGTGCTTTGTTCAAATGAACTACAATTTTATTTCTTTTCCACGGCCACTCAAGGTCCATCCTTTTTATTATTCGTCCTAGTTAATTATAAGCTAGATAAAATATACATAGATTTGTATACTTAAATTTTTATTTTAATCAAATTTCGTCAGACAGTTATTCTTATCGTGATCCATATTGCACGCCAATTCAAAATCGTTTACGTAAACGTACGGTAGACGAAATACTATTTGACAGCGTCGCGACGCTGGGTATATAACCATTTACGTGTACATACCTACGCGGCCCAGATTTCGCCAAGCGAAGTCTCCATCCGGCGCCCTTTCAACCCGGCGCCGCTTTATAGCAGTTAACCACCTGTTACATCGACTCGCGGCAAACTTTTGCGTTTTTATTATTTTTTTTTCCCTCTCAGCCAAGCGAAACACACAAGCGTTGAAACTCCCGACTCCAACAACGTCGCCACGTCTCTATCGCACGATCCTCGCATAACCAACGAGACAAACAATTATTTCTTCTCTATCCATATCCTCTCGAATCGTATGTCTTTCGAATTATTATATACACACGTAACGTTTCTTCTTTTCCATACGTTTGTACACTCACTTTTTTTTCATATTTTTTAAAATCCTTTTTGCATGCCTCTCGCAAAAATTTATATACACGCTTCTGTACGTTATTCAATATTGTCACAGATAAATGTTAAGTAGAAAAGTAACAGGTATTTAATTATGTCATATTTAATTATAATTAATATACGTCTATCTTATTAATTTAATTTCCTTCACGTACGTATAAGAACGTGTTGTCTATGATAGCGGTGTAATACAATTTTCGCCATATTTGTCAAGCGGGACGACCGTATACCGATATCAGCCGAAGATAACCGAAGGTTTACGAGCATTATATTACGGGACGTCCTTATCAGATTTAATTGTCAGCCAAGGCGTAAGGTCTCATTGCAATTTAATTTTATACTCGTTACTTTCGTAGGAGCCTCGGGGTTAAATTAAGTTAGGTTAGGTTAGGGGTTAGGTACGTACTCACGGATATTTTTATCGCCAGATGTGCCTCCTTTGGCTTCTCCACAGTGGTCGATCCTTTGCGTCAATGTGAACATTCGTAGTGTGATTTGTAACGCTTTTTAAAATCTCGTTATACGACGTCCTCCTCACTGAAGTTGCCATTAGCTTCCCACTCGTTTCGTTCCTGCTCGGTAACTGCCGAGGGTCTTACAGGCCAGTTTGTTACTGTTTCTGCCGCCTCTCGACTAATTTTTATTTCTACATTTCATTTCTTCTGTCATTGTCATTGGTATCTTTGTCAATTATATTAAAAAATCCGTAATTTACAGTGATATTAATTCGATAGCTCGTCTAAATACTTGGTGCTTCTCATACCGATTTTTTATTTGAATTTAATGGATCAACCGGTCTATTCGTTCGCGCCATTATTGATTTTTAAATTTGTTTCTTTATTTTCATCGTTAATTGTTCTGTCTCTTGTACCAATTAACATAAAATCAGACAACGATGGTTTTACCGTCACTACGTCAACGTTCGATCCGTCTATGTAGTCTATATCTTCGAAACGATTAATTGTCGAATTTGGATCTGCGTAATCAATGTCGCCATCTTCGGATTCGATACTCTCATACATGTGTTCAAAATCTTCCTCTAATGTTGTCAACATTAATGCTGTACGTAATTCTGTTCCACTTATATTCAATGTATTTTCCTTAAATTTATTAGTATTCGATTCTTCACTCGATTCGTTGAATGGTTCGATTCGAATGTTTGAATTTTTTGTTTTTATTATGGCGTAATTAGGATTGTCATTAACCATTGTGTAATCAGTTCTTAAACTTTCTTGAGGAATTGGCTGACCGTTTAGCAAACGGTAAAGTATTTCGTTCATTTTTGAATTCGATTCGTTATGTTCAGTTGATAATGTCTTTAATGACCCGTCATTTGTTTCTGTACTTGGTGACGTTACACTACTAAAAAGTTTAATATTTGAAATACTTTTGTTGCCAAATTCATTCTGAGTAGTTAACCAGGTTCTCAAGGCTGCATTTTGAACTTCGTGAAGTTTATCTTGATATTCTTTAGCCGCTCTTAGATAATCAACCATTTGAACTGACCTTTTTGATCTTGAAAGATATTTTTCTTTATTCTGATCCTGGTATGATCCTGGAATAGAATACCTCAGTATGATTTTAGGTGAATTTCGAATAATAGAATTTTCTGACTCTGCATGTAGATCAGAATTTAAATTTTCTAAATACTCTTCATCTTTTACAGATACAGATGCCGTTTTCGAAAGAGGAACTTGGTCCTGTAAATTATTCTCGTTGAAAAATTCTTCCTGGCCATGGTCTTCTAAAACGAAATTGATACGTTGATTGGTTTCTACATTTTTAAAAAATTGTTTAAGGATGTCTTCCTTAGGAACTTTGTAAGAAATCCGCAAAGGATTTTCACCAGGTGGTTCTAGTCGTTGATGAAGAATATCCTGGATATATATTCCAGGAAGGTTCTCTGGATATCTGATCCTGTAAGACGGATAATCATTATATACGTTCAGTCCCCCACGAAGGATGGCGGGAACAGCGTTATCCTGGGCGATTGTTACTGGTTCATTTAGCCTGAAATCAGGAGCAGATCTTGACTGATTTTCCCAGGATGAAAAAGAGTTATAGAACTCGTTTGGATCTCGCTGACCTTGTGTGTAATAATCCAAAGGTCCTGATAGAATAGGATTCCAAGACTCCTGGACTCGACTTTCCTGTGTCTGGGATTCCTGATGATCCTCAACTAGTGGCGCCAGCAGACTTCCAGTGGATGGTTGAGTAATCGCGGATCTTGACTCCTGTCCAGCGATAAACATCCTCCAGGATGGTGTATTCTCCCTGAGGGTCCATCTCCAGTCTGCTGCAGGTCCACTTAGTTCACTATATGAACTAGGAACAATGGATTCATGAATTTTGGAAATAGTCGCCATTGTTGATCTTCCACTAGGAATTTGGGAAGAAGATATTACCACAGGTTTCACATTATCTCCTAGGTATGTATCGCTGGATGCGTTTCTTCCTGTAATTGTATAACGTGTTCTGTTCAATGGTGTCTTGGATGAATTACTATAGATTCTTCCAAGATTGAAACCTCCTCTTGGTTTTGGAATTTGAGTTTCCATAATTTTTGAATTATTTTCAATGTCTCTAGAATGACTTCTCTGACGAGTAATTCTTTTTTGACTTTTATTATCATCTCTGTTATAGACTGAACGTTGAATATTTTTATGAACTGGAGGATCTAAAATATAATTTATTCTAGGTTCTCTAATCGGAACTTGAAATCTTTTCGAAAAGCTTCTTTGATTGGTGAATAAACTTTCTGGTAGAGCCAACGTTCTGAGTTTAGTAACGTATTTTGGCCAAGACTCGGTTCGACCAATCTGACCTCTAGTGCGTTTCTCCTCAGCCGGAAGTTCTCTAGGATGCTTATCAGAGCCCTGCCCAACTCTAGCCAGAATCCTTCTTCTACCGATGTGAGAGTAGTCATCCTCTTCAGGATCCCGGGTCACGTACCCAGGTAACTCCTTGACATTGTTACGTTTGTTAGTGTTTCTTCTACCCTTTCCTGCCATTTTACTTTGATACCCACGAGAATTCTTTGAGCTCATGACATGCTCTCTTCCTTCGGTAAGTTCTCTCATCGTTCTGTAATCCTGGACAGTGCTCGAAGCTGCAGGACGTCCAGCTCGATTGTCCCAGTAGTCGTCCTTACTGGATACTTCATGGTACCTAGAGACCTCAGTGGAATTCTTAGGAAGTTCAGAGAACTTGACTTGGCTGGCCGAAGTAAAGTGACCATCGAGTTCCTCCTCTTCTCCGGGTTCTTGTTTTCCCAACCTCCAGGATTCTCCAAGAACCTTTTGAGCTTCTCTACCAGGTCTTACTGGATTGCTTCTACTTGTTCCCAAACAGCATTTCACGCTCCTACAAGTTTTAGACACTTTGCCAGTCCTTTTCCGAGATTCCTGCTGATTTTTCATCGAACTCATTTTGTCACGCCACCTAAAGATGTGACGGAAGTCATTCTCCAGGATACTTATCCGCTTCTCTATATTCTTCATCCAAGCGTAGCGTTTTGTTAGACTATTGTTTAAATATGCCTGAAACTTTACAGAAAGACCTTTCGCCCTGAGCGAATTCACTAGATGAATTTCAGTGATTCCGCCAGGAGCGTACACGTCATTCGTTTCTAGAGATTGAGTCTTCTCCGAATCATCATGCTTCTCCTCTTGTACTCGACTCCCAGATGACGATGTAGACGAAGACCCGGCTAACGTTTTATTAAAAGTTTCCTCGTCAACCGAGCTAGTCTTGTTTTGCGACCTTGCAAACTTTAATAGCGTTGTATTTCTCGCAGTTTTATCAACACTTTCTATAATCGGGCTCACACTCTTATTCTTATCCCAAAGGAACTTTTCAGGATCTACTTGAACATCCTTATAGTTGTCCTCACGTTCGTTTTGAATATTCGTAACATCTTTGAAAATCTTTTGCAAGAATTGGTCTGGATATGAATCATAGTCCTGACGATTATCTATTTTCTTGGAGTTACTAAGGTCCTGAAGAATTTTCGATTCTGTATTCTGCCTTGACGCGTTTGTAGTTTTTGAAAGTAATTTTGACATTGTGTCCTGAAGGTATTTCTGATTCTTGGATGACTTCTTGCTCAAAATTTCTTGAATATTTTTCGGTGGTTCTAGACCTTCCTCACTAACCTCAAAATCATATTCCATTTTTGTATTTCCGTTCTCCACTTGTCGCTTGTTTCGTAGTTTTTGTAAATCTTTTATGTCCCATTGATTCTCCGAATATTGGACTGGTTTAATTTTACTCAACCTACTGTGCCAGGTGGCAGATTTTGTGAAATTCTGAAACAGCAACAACACCAGCAGGCACAGCGTTGCTTCTGCAATAGTTCAGAAAGACAGGATTAATAAACGTTACTAACTACTTGAACGAAAAATTAAAATTATCATTTTCAGTCTCACCCGTTATTCCTATTTTTGTAGACATCCTTAGGAGTTGCCAACGTATACTGACCATCGTTCTGATATCGTTCATCAGTTTTATATACGTTCGAACACAATGCACTATCGCTTATGCAACTGTTCCATGTTTTCAAAAACATTGCCTCTGTTTCTACTTTAGCATTTCAACATCCTACATGAGTTGTTTGACACGATTGCGGGAAATAATATATCACTTTACGAGAGTGTCTGTTATTCGAGACATTTAATTACACTAAACCAATTGAATTAAATTCAAAATTATGTATTAGTTTGCAGGTTTTCAAGTGATCTTCAATTTGATTTTGGTTACAAGTGAAGTTAGGCGCACAACCTATACAAATTTTATTCCAATCTTCATGGGTTAATTTTGACGTACCAAATTATAAAAAAATGTTTTGATTCAAAATTAAGAATTTTTAAACAACGAATTCTCTGTTTTTCATTTTAATTTCTGTATCAACTTTTCATGTTTTTCTCGAATCTCTTATTGGTCCAAGTTCATTAATCAGCGAAACAACTGAGTACTGGTGAAGATTATATAGTTTAAGTAAAATAAAAAAATACCTCATTGAAAATCGTAGGTCATTCAAGTCCCGTAAGTTCGATTTTAAAACATCTTGTGAATATCTTCACGGCAACAGATATTTTATTCCTTCGAGGACACGGTCGCCCTTCTAGCATTTTGATATCTTTTCATATTTATTCCGTCTACCTCGCCAAGTTCAATCCCAGGAGGAATCCGAGAAATGAGAACGGTTATGACAAACTTCATAAATAAAGCGTCGAGTCCTGCGATGCCGCGTCGATATTTCCGCGCATTTATTCCGCACTCTGCCATCCGCACTATAAATTTTTTAAAAATTCTATAATTTTGAAATGAACAAAAAAAATTTCAGAATTTCTACAAAAAATTTCACCTGCTAATCTTACCATTGTTACAGACTCAATCGCACTGCTACTTTTGATAACTTACAATGGAGTCGAGCACACCGGAAGAGAATCCTGCAGAACCGGTACCGGATGTGGCAGGTGCCGCCGAACCAGCTCAGCCTGCAGAACCAGAAGAAATATCAGCAGAATTAGAAACAGGTTATATATGAAAGATTTCTACCATCCCATCTCTACATACAGGGTGTACAAATGCGTGCATAAAAAAAAATTTATAATTCACCTCATCCACAGAAATTCACGAAAATGAAAATCAAGACACCGAAGGCGCTTCCTCCACTGCGGATGACATTAATGAAGTGGAGAATTCATCCACTGATGAAAGTAAAAGCATAGAAGAGAAACTGCAATTAAAGAAGAAACCTTTGACATCATCCAAAACAAATATGGAAAACAAAGACAAAGATGGCGAAGGTTCGATTCAAAACTCACCTTCTAAGGAATTCAAAAATAAGCAAAGTCAAACCTTTTTTAAGTACATGAAAAACGTAACAGACATCCGTTGCGTTCAGATAATGAACCAGGAAGTGAATCATGGGAACAGTGACCTGATTTTCTACCGTTCATCAAAGGAGCTGCTTAAGACCATCGACTTCCTCGAGAGTAACATCGATTAGTATTTAACTGAAATTAACTTATATATAAAATCATAGGCAAATTTTGAAACACCCAGTAGAAACGATACGTTTAACGTAGCTTTGTGAAATAGTTTAAGGGGCCGCCGGCACGTCCTCCTTTGTCGGCGACCCGACGTGTTCCAGATCGAATCGAGTTAACTCCACAGTCGCTGATCTCCCTCAACGAACGTTCATATACATATGTGGCTATGTTCAAGCCGCTCTGAACCACCTTTGAACAGTGATCCAACCATCGTACAACGATCGACCCGAATGACTTGGCTGAAATGAATCGGCTGGAAATGCCAGAGGTGTAGGCCAATTATTAAGTAGTGACTGCTCGTGTAGCACAGACGGTGAATTTCAAGTAGGTGTACTACGTAAGAGGCCCACTTAAAGCAAAATAGTTTCTGAGGATCCGTAAATTCTCTTCTTGTGGTGGCGCCACTGTTGTGGATCTTCCCGTAATTCTTGTTGGAAGCCTCATCCTCGAGGCCTCAAATAGTTTTCGAAGATCCGTAAATTACAGTGAACATACTCGGATGGCTTTGACGTAGAATTTACCTTCACTCCGAGGCCCACTGCGCGCGCCGACTTGAGAGCTCATGAACGATTTAAGAATTAACCGCTGGCGTTGGCGCTACCGTTGAGGCTGGCGATGTCATTGGCGCTGGCGTTGGTACGGTACGAGATTGTTATCATCATCATAATCATATTAATATCATATTATCATATTATATCTTTTCATCATTTTATGAACATCATCATCTACATCATCTACGTTTATCTACGTACATATATAGCGTATATACTATGCTATATCTACAAATGTACCTTCCACAATGTGAAATTTGCATCGTATTAGGGTATATTAATAAAATATATTTCGCAAATCTCCTATATCTGAATTTGAAATCTTGTATCGTACATCTCAATGTTCTCCGTTGATTACGCGAAGTGCGAGATCTGTGGATTTTTTTAGAAGTGTGCTTCGGTTCGAATAATTTCGAGAAGACGTACTTAACATGACTTTTTTAAGGAAGTGATATGGATTTTTTACTAAACGGAGGACTAAAGGGAGGATAAAAAAACTTTAGCAAAACAAATGATTCTCTGAATATACTTCTCGATGCCATGAAGAAATATATTTTTGAAATCGTTAACAATCGCTTGGGTGTAACGGTGTAACTCTGTATTCTTTAATAAATAAACGAATCTAGAATCTAACCCTCTACCGCCATCTCCGATGGGGTGGATCAACTAAATTAGTGATCTCAAATTTCTACACATTACCTAAGGGTGGTGTGGTACCTTGTGCTGATATTGACTGGGGTGTATTGTGTATTGACGTTGATGAAAATAGAGACTAGGGTGTTTCCGTGTGTCCTTTGCTGCGTGAATCTGACAGACTGCGCCATCGTCGAGGATGCTGCCATCTGTGAATTAAAAAAGTTATTATTTCGTTAACGCAGATCAATTATGCTCACTCATTTCTCAGTTAGCGGTAACTGGTCAACTGTAAGAAACTGTAAGATTTAGTCGGTACTATTTCTTGAAGCATTCATAACGTTCAGTTTCTGTCGATAACTAACTCTATTGTCCACGACACCCTGTTTGACGTGACGCTCAACCTGATAAGATGCTTCATCTATTTAACCTCAATAAACGGTATTGTATAGTTGTTACACCTATAATAACTACCAATAATAAAAAACGGCTGCTCGCCAAATGTACCAACATTTGCCAGGAAAACAGGAGCATATTAAATATGCTGTTATTATGCAATATGGGTGTCATATGACGTTTTTTGTTATTATGATAGTAATTTTTGTTACCTACTCTGACCTTTTCTGAGAGGGATGAAAAAAGACACAAAACGCATTATAGAAATTCCGATGCGAACGTCATTATCAATTGTAGTATGTATCGCATTTATTAAATGTTAATTAATACAATAATAAGTACAATATGGTTGTGCATTGCAGTTTCATACAAAATGTTATGTCTCGTACCTTACATAACAAACAATGTATTATCTTGATATCCAGCTCGTAATCGACGAGCGCATTTTTTTCTTGGATCTAGATTATCCGCCTTCTAGATCATCAGGATCGATCATCCCAGTATTACAATGAATCCCTCACCCTTCACAGTTTCTTGTACCAGAAGAGATAGTGTTCACCCTCGCTAATTTGAAGATCATCAACCCCTAAGAAGAACACATTATTATACCCACGTATATTCGAACAATGAGAAAATAATAATTTATTAAAAAAACATTTTGCCTACCTCCTGGTGCTACCAGCTGGTTACCAGGTGGTGAAGCTGGTTCCGGTGGTGAGGGCAGTCTGTATAATAACCAATAGTGATAAGATAAGGGTTCTTCCTTGTATCCAGCAAGGGTGTGAACATAGTGACCGTTAGGCCATTCTGAGGCAGCAAATTCAAAGTGAGTTGACATTTCCGCGGCCATCACCATCACACCGTAAAAGGTTTCATTCTTAGGTGCTGTCAATGTCAAGCTGTAAGTCTCATTGACATTGCTGCCAACCCAAAGTGTATAAGTGACATTGACAAGGACAGGCGTGGAAGTACCAGCAGGTTCCGTAATAAGAGCACTAGTATTGCTGCCCGACGTCAATGCTATTAAGACTTCACTATGATTCTCAGGTGCTGTAATATCTAAATTATTAAAATTACAAATAATTTTTATTTTTCATACCAATTGGTTATCATCGTATAATTAAATTAAATTATTAATTACAGTTACCATTGCTAGTTGTCAAACGTGGTGGCGAGCTGTCAGTAAGACCCTGACCGCAATCCAGTGCCCTAATAGTGGCCAATCCACGTGGAGCTACTCCAAGAACAGCCTCGGCAGTGGTGCGCACATCCCCATCGAACGACCCATCCTGACGTTGTCTACTAGACAACCACGCTAAGGCAGCCGACCTGTTCCAGTTATTTGCAGGCTCATTCTCCACCTCCTCCAGAGCCTGCATAGCCAAGGCAGTGGTATGCAAATCACCAAAGCTTCCATCCAGACGTTGCTGATGGGCCAAGCCGATCGATGGTTTGCGAACAAAATGATGGAGGTTGCGGTGCCTGTGATCCTGGACGATACAACGTAGAGCTAAGATCACCATGGCAACCGTGTCTGAAAATTGTTAAGTTATAATTTTATTATTTATACCCATACAAATTATTCATATAGTCACTTACCAACGTTATGATCCTGAGCCGCGTTTGCGATGTCCAGGAGTCGACGAATCTGCCGTTTCCTCACGTGAGCCTGAGCACTGCAGGCTGCCAGCGTAGCTACGGCAAATTCATAATCAGTTGGCGGTTCGTGATGCTGCAGTGTACCAATTAGATCATGCCCATGAAACTGTCTTGGATCCATGCACAGTGCGTTCAAGGCCAAGGTGTACCGGGCAAGACGTACCGGAGAAAATCCAACCTCCCTATGTCTAAAAAGATAAGCAAAAAATGCTATTTGGATTCCTTCCAATTATTTTTATGAGTTATCCTTTTTTAATTGACATTTAATATTCGCTTTATTACCTCCAGAGTAACAAAACGATTTCCAGCTCCATTTGTTTTGCGCTCAGCTGTAACTCCAGGACCGGTGCTGGTGGGATGTTGTCATCCCGGGTGAGATTACCCAGACGTAATGCTAGGAGAACCCGATGAGTATCGTTACCCCATCCTGCGTCCTTGTCCCTCTGACTCCATAACCAGGTCGTGGCCTTCTCCAAAATGGCCTCGGCCTCAACATCCGCCAATGACATTTCCGCATTGCTCGCTACAAGGGTCAAACCCTGTTACTCCTGGCACCGTTCACCACCTCCATTTCCTGGAAACGTTCCAGCTTACTGGGGAATTACCTTCTCCACGGGCGAATACGCAGACCCATCCCAGGAGCAGGATCACAGCGGCCATGTTTGCTCTGCCCCACATTCTCCTGAGGATCCAGGATTGACTATCATTAATCAAACTATCCATCGGGTAATACTTCCTATCAATATATCCACATACTATCTGCTACACATAACTAGGTATACAAGTTCCTCATACTATCTTATAATATAAACCTATAAACCAATCTGATTCATGATTAGTGATCCTTCGAAAACCACCCGTAACAAGAGTCAAAGAAAATATTGTATTTTTTATTCTGACTATTATATCTGTCTAATAAGTATAGTTCGATGCTGATAAAATATATTTTGCTAATAGTCTATCAGTGATTCACTTACATGGTACTGATAGTCATATCGTATTAGAATTTTATATTAAATAATTTTTTATCTGATATCATCTATATGTTCGTCATAGACGATGCATGATGTATGATAAATTGTACCGGTAGATCGGACCAACTGGAACACGAGGGACGCCCGGCGTCTGGACGGTGAACACGAGCGCGCGTGATATTGCGTGGGATCGATATCATGGCGCCTGTCGTCCCCCCAGTCAACTATATCTATTTATACTCCAGTAACTATGTACACCGCCTATGTACTTGGTTTATTGTCTATATACAATGCACCTTGATACTTCCACTGTCTTTGGTTTTCTACCGAAGCTTTTTTAATATGAAAAAAATTCTTTAGGTTAGCTTGGTACGTTTGAGAATTTATATCTCATTTTATATCTAAAATTTGTCTTGATTGGTATTCATAAGGATGCTATTGTGAGGCGTCTTTATTGGAAATTCATTTATCTTGATCGACATCTATCTGTACCGGAAATCTGGTGTCGATATTAATCTCATCCTGGGGATCCAAAAGTAGCTTTGACGTGATTGGACGTCTGAGAAATCTGGCGACTCATGATTGGTTCATAGAATTTGTGATGGATATATACCGGTTTTGTATTCGTAATATAAATGCGGGGTTTATTGGAGGGAAATTACAGCGGTTTCACAAATTTCATAGCGGATTTAATTGAGAAATAGGGAATTTCCGGGTTTGGCAAAGCTTAGTCTGCAACGCGATACCAGTAAGGTTGGTTGCCAACCGTAAAATAATTACAGAAATCCTATTGACTCTGTTGGACCCTACTGAAATTTTACCCTTCAATGAAACCGGATCCGACTATCATCACGATCTTAGTCTGAAAGTTTGACCCTGATACCCCTAAAAAAGAATTCTCTAAAAAAATCACAGAATGTCATAAAGAAAACATATACACATAAAATATTTAAAAAAACTGAGTAACTTTAAAAGAAAAGTCTCTCAGGCAGATAAAACCAGATAAGGAATAATGTTCAGATAACCAAGTCAAAAAAAATGGAGAAAGTCTTATATCGTTCTCGAGGGCCTCTTTATTTGGCTTTGTCAAAGTTTCTCCAAGTTGTGTTGTGAAAAGCAAGAAAGTTTCGTCACTTGCCTTTGGCAGCCCTGAAGTAAAATACGAAGCTTCTCGAAGCTCACTGGTATACGGACCAGTTAAAAAAAGTCCAAGTAGAAGCAGCAATGAGAATAATCGTCTGCCGTTGGTGCCTTTATGTTGCCAGCGTCGCGACGATCTTGGCTGGTGACAGGCGTCGCGGCGCTCGGCGTCGTCACGATGCGTCTCTCTCGTGAATGCGCAATGCAGACTAAACCCAGGAACGCGCGAGGTCTTCGAACACTACCCTTCCTAGTCTCACTCAGCCCTCTCTTTTTCGTTCAGTCGATTTCTGCGCACGTTTCACCCTATCTACCTCTACAGGTATATATATGGCTTGCATTTATACAGACGCATACATACCTGGCATCTATATCTACCTGCCACCCTTCGAATCCACCTACAGCAACCCTTCTGTGTATATGCACTATCACGTATCAATCCCTTCCAACCTTCTAACCAGTTTTCAATACACCCCTATTTTTTATCACTCACTGAATCACCCCTTATATTTAACTTCCCCTTACTTTCCTTTCCGTCATCCTGAAGGAGCATCAACTTTATTTCCCGTGAGTCATGCTAAAAATATATCCCTCCACTTCATTACCTACCCTTGCGTCGGATTTATCCCTTCAGGCACTTGGGAATTAGGGTTGAATGACGGATAGCTCTCTTCCGGTGATGCGGTGTACAATGATTTCACGAAAGAAAAGTGATAATATAGATATTGATCTTACCACCTGTAGCTCTGAGATTGATCTCAACATGGTGAGGGATGATTCTGAAATATTTATAATAAACATCTTTTATTTATCACGTTCGTAAGTTAGGGTTACTACTTTGTACGTGTAACAGGTATAATTAAAGGTATGACGGAGGAAAATGATGGAGAAATCAATGAAATTGTACAAGAAGAAGAGTTGGGTTTCTAGAAAATTATGTTAAAATAATAACTTAAATGTTACCTAACCTAACCTAACCAATCGTATTCATTGAATTCAATGTTTTTGTTTAGAACAAATATTTCACCGCCACTTACCATTCTTGAGCGAATCAAGATTTTCCTTCGATGTTACTGGAAAACGATCATTTTGATCGTTACACCAATCGCTCTGATACCACTGCTGGTAACGTCCAATCGACCGGTACGTATTATCTCGTCAATCTGATTACGAATCCATTAACAAGGAATTTAATTGATTATAATTATATTTTTAAGGAATCAAGATGCGCTTTTGTAATAATAATAATGGCCGTCTATTGGGTAACGGAGTGTCTTCCAATGCCAATTACATCGCTCATTCCTCTAATCTTGTTTCCGGTATTTGGTATAATGAGTACCAGTAAAACCTGTGGCTGTTACATGAACGATACCATTATGGTGTTTATCGGTGGTCTGATAATGGCGCTCGCTATCGAGCACTGTAATTTGCACATGAGAATTGCACTTGGAGTAATGAAATATGTCGGATGCAGTCATAGCAAATTGCTCGGTGGTCTCTGTACAGTAACCATGTTCATATCAATGTGGATTTCAAACACAGCAGCAACCGCCATGATGGTTCCCATTGTTCACGCGATTCTTTACGAATTGGAAAAGGTCTGCGTCGTTTTAGGAAAAAAATTATCATTTAATTTAGAATCTTATATTCTTTTAGGAAGGATTTGGTGATATGTTCATTGAGATACCAGATCCTGAAAACCCTGGGAAGAAACCGTGAGTTCTTTGCTTGTAGGATTAATCTGTAGAAGGCATGTTGAATACATTTTCTTCTGTTGATCCTTTTTAGAGAAAAAAGACCTACAAAAATTACAAAGGCTTATTACATGAGTGCGGCTTACTGCTCTTCAATTGGGGGTACCGGTACTCTTGTTGGTACTGGTACCAATCTTACCTTCAAGGGAATATTTGAAAGCACTTTTCCAGAGAGCCCAGGGGTTAATTTTACCCTTTGGCTAGCGGCTTCTTTTCCGCAGATGATCATAAACACTTTCCTTACTTGGTTATACCTTCAGATAATGTATTTTGGTATGTTTAGACCTAACAGTAATGATGCTAAATCTGCTACGATTGGTAAAGAAGGAGAAATGATAGCGAATCAAGTAAAGCAATATAGAGAGTAGAATGAATATGGTTTAAATTTTAAAAAAATATATATTTACCAGGTAATAGAAGAGAAATATAAGGCTCTAGGTAAAATTACGTTTCATGAAGCTTCCACTGCTACACTCTTTGTTGTTTGCATTCTTTTATGGTTGTTCAGAAAACCAGACTTTGTACGTGGATGGTCAGAAGTCATCACGGATACGTGAGAAAAAAATTTTACAAGAAAAATAGGTTGAATTTATTAAAGAATTATAATTCTTATCCAATAGAGAAATCAAGGATTCATTGCCTGTTCTGTTTATCGCTATTTTAATGTTCATCATACCCAAGAAACCCACGTGTATCTATGCGTGTAATCCGAACCGTAAGAATAACGTAACAAGATCCAATATGTGATATTAGCAAGATGCATTGCTTTCTAGCTAGTGAGGGACTAGTAAAATCTAGTGAGGGTCTTGTCAACTGGAAAATAATTCAGAACAAGATGCCTTGGGGTCTGATGTTCCTATTGGGCGGTGGCTTCGCTATTTCCCAAGGGAGTAACGCGTCCTGTTTGTCAAAACGAATAGGAGATTCCTTGGAGCCATTGAAGAATTTACCACCATTGTTGATACTATGTATCGTTTGTATTTCTGCCAATACAATGACAGAATTTACGTCTAACGCAGGAGTCGCTAATATTATTTTACCAGTCGTTGCACAAATGGTAAGTACAAAGTTTTTGATAATTGATTTATCATTTAGTATTAATTTGTTTTTCATTATTTACAGAGTGTCGCTATTAAGATTCATCCTATGTATTTCATGATTCCAGTTACACTGTCTTGTTCTTATGGATTTAGATTACCGGTTGCTACACCACCTAATGCAATTGTTTGTGCTGCTGGAAATATTAGTACCAAAAGTTTAATTCTTGGTGGTTGTATCCCTGTGGTGTACACCTTTATTGTTATTATTGTGTTATTTCTAACTTATGGAAAACTTATTTATGATCTCGATGAGTTCCCTTCATGGGCTAAAAGCCCTAAGGGAGGTGAAGGTAATTCTATGTGTGATTGAGGATTTTATAAAAAGTTTATGAAACCTTTGATTTGTAAAGTACCAAGCATTAATAAAGATTGGATTTACTTTAGTGGATTAGATGTTATTATAATTCATCACGCAATTTAAGGTGTTTTGATTTATACAGTAGTATAAATGTGTATCTATATTTTTGTATTTAAAATCCTTTGTACAATATGTTGCTTATAGCTTGATATATATATATATATGTAATTATGTAATTAATTGATCGATTAAAGGAAGAGGTTGATGATGCTATTCAATTAAATTGGAAACCATAATTTAATCGATCGATTATTTATCAATTTGTATCCTCACAGAGGATAAAAGAGCAATACCTTTCATCAGGTAGTGTTAATCTCGGGAATAGACGATATGAAAAATGCTCCGACATTGATATTCTAGTTGATGCGATTTATCTACAATTTGCACAGTCCTATCTTGTTCCTGCCTGGTTTTTCATCTTTTTCGACGCATCAACAAGGGTCAATTGACACAAGATGATATCTCAACCACAAGGAAAATTAAAGATTTCTGAATTATTCCCAAATTTTGTAACTATCTTTGACAATTAATGTCTCATAAGAGCGAATTAGGTGGGCTGTGACTTAGGACCTGGTGAATCAGCTTCGCTTTTCTTCGGACTGGCATTTATTTCTTGCTGCTCCAGTCGACGATGGCGTAACATTGTAGACAATACTCCATTGAAACTTGCTGTTTTCTTTTTTGCACTGCCTTTTGGTGTACTTTCACCTACTCTACGTACTGGCAACCTTGGTGATGACATCTCATCCATAAAGTCAAAATCCGATTTCTCTTCAAGCCTTAAAAAATTGGATGTTATAATGCACTGTGTACACTATAATAATAGCTTGTTTAATTTAAATACCTACTTGTATTCTTGCATGCCATGATCTTGCTGGTGATTGTTCGATGGCACAGGTGAAGGTCCACGTCTGCCAGGACATTTCCACTCGAGCTCCAAAATTCTACCATTTGCCTCCAGGCCTTCGATAAGTGCTACTATGTCATTGGGTTTGAGTATCCACCCATTCTATGACAGCATTAATTGTGCAAAATATAAGTGAACAAGGAATGGCTCAAAAAATATAAAAGAATACTCCAGAACTAGTAATAACATATAGAACACTACATTTACATAAAAGAATTTCAATATTGATAATTTGTGCCGGATAACTAAGAAACGAATGAGACAATATTAAACTATATTGAAATGTGTACGCCAATATGGCAGAAATCAATTACCTTTGAATCTACTTCATATTTTTCTTCATCAGAGCACTCAACCGACCACTCTTCGTCGTTTCGTTCCATTTTCAAAAACAAATACGCAAAAATCTTAACGCGTTTGAAGATGATGTTCAAAAATTCGCATTGTTAGGTTATAGTCTCTTGTGCGTCAAAACAAACAGGATATGTGGTACGTCTTTATATCAGTATTATGCACAGCTCGCAACAGATATTCACTTTCAATCGTATTAAAGTTGTACGGGTCAAAAAGTCTTCCGAGTAAATTTTCCAAAAAATCCAAGTACACGCATCAAAAATGTTGAATAAAATTCGTAACAGTCAACTAGCATCTTGCTAGGTTAACTTGTGCTCGCCTGATACCGCGACGCCTCAAAAGACTTTTTATTTCAAACTTTCCCCCTCCTATGCGTCTTGTGTTCAATCGCATTAATTACAAATTTTTCGAATCAATAAATTTTCATATTTTCATGGCGCAATAATGTAAATCGAATTTTTTTTTACTGACTTTCCTGTGCTATAGGGAATTTCTGTTTTCTAGGTATAATCAACGCGGAGGGAAATTTTTTGAATAAAAGCCAACGAAAAAACTTTTTTAAACTATAAAGTGTTACATTTTTTAAACGTAAAAACACTAATTGTTTAATTGACATTAATAATTCGTATCCTCTTATCAATAATCAAGTTAACTGTACGATCACTGTATATAACGAGTAGCAGAAGATCGATACATATAAATATGAATAGAAAGAAAAGAAAAACCTTTTCAAAAAAACAATAAATTTTCTTGAAAGAAATTTTTGTGAAATCCTTTGGAATTGTCAAATCAAATACGTCTCGCATGTATAGTCCTTGCCATATGATATGCATATCCTCAAAACCCCGATCGAATAACAAGGAAAATATTTAATTATTAAGATGGCTCTGTGATTATAAATCTACCGTTGATATTAGTACCAACATTGATAGCGTATACACACGTATGTCTACCTATGATAAATTGATGGTGATAAAGAACCAAATCTCCTATCTACACGTCAATTACAATACGATTTTGGATAAAAATTAATATTTTCTTTAAAAACCATGACGAAGTTTCCCCAGCTTAAAGTTTTCATAACAGTTATGCATAAATAAATTGTGTATTTTGGAATTTCTTACATTATTAATACTGTCAATATATTTGACAAACTACCGCCTTGCACAATGTGTGTCATTAATATTTACACAAGCATATCAGCATCGTTGGTTCTTTTCTTCACCCATAAGACCATGTAACAATAAAGTATAAAAAGTGTGATCGAGCTTAGGTATATACATGTATATCAAATGGGAATATACCATACCATAATATTTCACTACCCCTAGAAGCCAGCTATAATATAAAATTCCCGTTCTGGCTACAACTGCTTGAGTATCCGTGAATATTATTCGATTACGTGGTGAGCCACTCGCATGAACTCCTTGGCCATATTCGTCACAAGCAGTGAGTACTTTTAACAGTAAAAAGAGTTCTTACATTTTTTCCAATAACCAATCAATTTTGATAAATAAAAATCTCCTGCTTCTTTTTCTAAAGACAACAGAGTCGTCAGAGAAAGCAAAATGAAATAAAAATAAAAATGAAAATAATACTAGTGCAATAGTAACAATAATTACAGTAAAAAAAACAGCAGTACCTTTCGCCATTCGTCATATGATTAGAATTCATAATGTATAGAGCAAGTGCACGCATGCATGTACTCATAATGTTTATATGAACACTGTATATATAAGCAGACAAAGCTACAGACTACAAAAACAAGATTGCAACAATATATAAAAATATAATATAAAGTTTAGATAAAACACGATACAAACCCTTCAAATTGAATCTTTAGAATAGCACATCACAACCCTAAATTAGACGCAGGCACGATAAATTATATAATTTCCAAGTTGCATAACTACCATTTTTATTTACACTACAGCAATTCCTCATTTGTTCAAACATACATTACACTTGGCAGTCACATCCATAGAGTTGCCTTAGGTTCACTATAGGTATACATCGTTGCTATTACATATTAAAAACTCGGACAGGTCTCGAGTCTCTGTTTACCCCTATCAGTCAAGAAAAACGCGGTCCTGACGCTAATGCTTACTTGTACAATCTATAAATTAAATAAATACAGACAACTTGACCTAATTACTTAGTCACGTTTGACTTGTATCGTAGGTATCTTTTAACACCAAAACGGAGGATTATAAGCGAAGATGTAGAAAAAATAGTCAACCCTTAATACTTATTCACTGTATAAATATACTAATTTAATACATAGCAGTATCTCGCGTGATGTTTGTAAACAATATTTTGTATTATTTTCCAGTATAATTAGTACTTTATTAGATGTTTATATTTGTAACGATGAAAGTGTAGTTAACACAATGAGGACAATTACCCATCGCAAAAGCTCTGTTATAATAAGTATAGCTATGCATATGTGTTTATAGTAGTCAACTGTGTTTTCGAAGGATAACCATCTTCGAAGTGGACAGTCGTTAACAAGATTATCTGTTTGCTATCTGACACGTATGAATGGGTAGGCTAGCTGCAGTAAATAAAAGTCGATGTACCGCTGGGAATTGTATCTATTCGATACAAGAGTATTTAAGTGGCCATCTGCAAATCCTGACTGTTGTCCTGTATTAAAGAAAGTTCAATTATAAGAGTGAAATTATTATACTAGTTTTTGACAATAGTGTCATTTTATTAATAAAGGGATCAATTTCATCGTACATACTGTTTAAAGAGGACGTAATGGCGAATACATTTATTGATATAAAATCTTAAAAAGTCATCTGAAGGTCATGGATATAGGCCGACATTCTAATCCGATGCTCAAGGCGAGTAAGTTCTGAAATACTGAGAAATAGACCATAATTTAGAATAATTACTATGTATAGGATGTAATTATAATATTGGTAGTACTTAGTATCATTGGTACAATTGGCTTCCTGGTAAAATAAATTCAGTCGCTACACTTACAGCGCATAGATCTAGTTCACCAGAAATATTGTATATCTTAAATGAACATAATTGACGTTCTTGACGTTTAATACTCATGACAACGAAATTGAATGAACTACTTTAGCGAACTTTGCCATTGCCAATCCTTTTATGGCAAATATATGTGGTAAATTAACGGAAATCAATGGAAAACCAATGATTACTTTTCGCCAGAGGAAATTGGCAATAGTTAATGTTTCTGAGTTAAAAAAGGTAAAGAAGTAGGAAGAAATTGGTGTTAACTTATGCAGAGACCAAGGCAGGAATTGGTAAAGAATGTGAGTCTGAGAGGCAAACAGAAGTCATGAGCACTACTGTCAAGTCGGATCTCTACCAGTCCCTGATACCGGCGTATTATCTAAGCAAGGTATGCGGTTTGCTTCCGGTGAGATTTGTACAGCAAAATCCTGGACGCTACTGGGGTAGACTTCACTTTCGGGACATAATCTACAGGTATGACCTCTGGTTAGGTATATTAAAACGTATAATGTATCTTTCTTATCTATACAGTTGGTATCCTTACAGCATCTGTCTCCTTGTATTTTTGATGAGCTGTGCAATTTTTGGCCTCTGGCGAGATCTTCGCGACGGATGGGAAAACAGCACCAGGATGAAATCCTCAACGGCCGTGGTCGTCACTTGTGGGGATGTCTCGGCCGTTTTGTTCCTGGCAATTGTTTCTATTCTAGGTTCTCCCTTTCGATGGTCCCATCTTCAGCATATCATAAACAACCTGGTGAAGGTCAGTACTTAATGTAAGATATGTTACATTGATTTAATATATAATCTTGGCACTAAAATGAATTTACCTTCCTAATCAAGGTAGATGAGAAATTGAGTATAGTGTCACCCAAGAAAACTCGCAGATACGCCATCTTCCTGATAACTATCAGTTTGGTATACTTGATATCAATTTCATCCTTGGACCTCTACTCGTGGAGCACCCGGGTGAAGATTAGCAACCAGAAAAGCGACAAGGGTCCCATGAACTATATCCCCATATACTTTCTCTACGTGATAGTTATAATGATAGAGGCACAGTACACGTTATTAACATATAATATCGGCGAAAGATTTGGTCGACTCAATCAGACTTTGAAGAATGTACTGAAGACGGAGAAGATCACTGAGAGCTTCAAGAAGGATTTCGCCTTAGGTGCGACAATGTAGAGATAAAGGAAAAACATAACATGGCGGGTAGTGCGTTACTGATTTATCAAAAAGATATCGCAATGCTCGCCGAATGTCTTGTATTTAAGATTAAAAGGATTTTCAGTATACTGATTTGATAACAGGGGATTTCAGGGAGCATGGACAGCTCGGTGCTTTCATCAGGGCAGAAATTAGGGGTGATCGACCACAACGGAAGTCTAAGATTGCCGATTTCATTGTGGGAAATGGTACGAGTCAGTGGATGTGGTAACGAATCTGGCATAAAATCTTTTTTAAAATATAATTATTATTGTGTTAGTTATTTATTGAAATTTGTAGAATGTCGCAACGTCGCTGATACTATTTCCCAACTGATCACTGTACACTCCTCACTATGCGATACCGTTCTACTTATAAATACTGCTTTTGGGGTGCCTGTGCTCGTGGTTACCCTCACTTGTCTTCTTCATCTAATTATTACCCCATATGTTTTAATTATTGATGCCAATGGTAGTAACAATGGGCTCTTCCTTGCTACTCAATGTCTCTGGTGTGTTCTTCATATCGGTAGGATGTTCATTATTGTTCAGCCTTGCTATGAAGCCAGCACGAAGGTAATTTTCAGGTGGATATGACGTATGAAATAACAATAGTCGTAAAATAAAAAGTGTACCGAACAACAAAAAATGTATGTGAATAAGATTCCTTTTTGATTGTAGGCCAAAACCACGGCGGTGATCGTAAGTCAATTACTGTCCTGGAATTTGGATAGTGACATTAGAAAGCAGCTGGAAATATTTTCGCTTCAATTACTACACAGACCCATTGATTTTTCTGCCTGTGGACTTTTCTCGCTCGACAGATCTCTAGTGACCTCGGTATTATATTTAAATTTGTTCTCGTATTAGTAATGGACAACCGAATATTGCTTGATTTTTTGTTTTATCTGATCATTTTTTCCTGATTAAAGTTATAACCTTATGCCTTGTACTTTACGGATATGATTTCGATATTTTATTTTTCAGATCGTCGGATCCGTGACCACGTATCTGGTAATACTAATACAGTTCCAGAAAGCTGACGACACCAAAGACACCAATGACATTTTAAAGAATGCCACACAACTTATAAGAAATGTTTCAACATTCCGGAACATTGACATATTACGAAAAAGCACGTGATTTTGGAAGAAATTATGTATATACAAAAGAAAAGAATCTTTTTTACTAGAAACTCCATCCTAGCGATATCTATGACATCACTAGGAACACCATACCAATACCAAAAGAAAAGAAGCAAGATACACGAGTAACCGTAGTTGTATTATAAGGAGTGCATATAATTTTTGGTTGGTAATAAAGAAAAAAAGAAAAAGAAAAAAAAAGAGAAGAGCGGAAGACACGATGAAATACCATAGTGACATTTAATATTCCAATTCTCGTACACGGCGACAATATATAAATACAACTTCGTCCGTAACGTTACTCCTGGGTCACTAGTTAATTGGTCAATCAGCTTGATTGGCAAATTAACAATTAGCATTTCTTTCATTATAGTGTCCAATGTTAGACATCTGTCACAGCCAGCCAAAACGTGCCTCTTTATTCCCAATGACCGTTATCATAGATATCCTAATCGGGGATCTCGAAATTGTATTCGTTCTAAAGTCGAGGATCTTCTCTCGAATTTATAATTAAGGTACTAATTAGCGGTAAGAATATCATCGTCGCCCATAACGTATATCAACGTATTACCTCAATCTCACCACGCAGTCTCATAATTCATCATCGTATATCGATATTAATCATTATCAATCTGTTAATGCTATCTCATAAGTCTCTCCCTGATCAGCATCTATACACTCTTCATTGTCGTACAAATACTTATACTAGCAATAAATATTAGATTCTTTAAAGAATCTAGCGTCGCGACCCCCCCCCCTCTCTTTCTGTTACTCCCCTTCTCCGTTTCTCTATCTATTCTTCTCGCACGTGCATCATTATATACGATACAAATTATGTATAAATCCGACAGCATCAATCGCCCATCGATTTTAGGTTATGTTTCACATAATTGAAAGTCGATCCTATTTCTAGGTGTACGGCTTTCCATTCAGTTCACCGTGCTCGCTGTCACGGACGGCTGTGACTTTTGTTGATTAACATGCAACGTGGAATCGTTACAGGTCTCTTTTCCCATGGAGGAGACCCTCGACCTCTGACACGTCTGTGCACCGTCCGAATTCAGCTGCTGCGCATCCGTCTCGCTCTCGTTTCCGTTGCTCCGGTTCTGCTGACGTGAATTGCACTGGCAGGGACTCGTGTGATGATGGAGACGCGAGAAGCAGTCGCTGCATACTCGAACGGGATTGTACAGCTGTTCGCTGGGGAGTGGAGTCGAGTTCTCTGAGCAGTCCGCGCAGAAGATTTTGCCGCAGCATCTGCGAGGAGTAGGCAACATAGCCCCTAAACTAGTCCGAACTCGGACGACTAGAAGATTTTTGTAAATAGCTAATACCTGCAGTGATGTTTGCGCCTTCCCAGCCAAAATTCTGTATCGCATCCCATGCAACGGTTCACTGCGTGATCCGGTACCCACAGAGTTGGTGCGGGTCCAAGATCCTCTACAGCTTCCCACGACATGTCTGAAGGTAGAGACTCTCCGTGGTCCCCTGCACTCCCCACAGAATCCGGTAACGAACCCTGTACAAAGAGAAATATTCTCAAAGTTTATACAAAGAACACGCAACTCGTATCTAGATAAACTTGGTACTGTAATTACTGATTGCTCAAGATAATCTGAATAACAAGTTACTGTAGATAACCTAGTTATAACTAACCAGAAAGGCCTTCCTATTTTCAATAGAATCTACATCGTTAATGTTCTTGTAGAGAACTATCTGCCTTTTCAAAATCATCTTAGACCTTCTACACTATCTGGAACTTTAAATGTGAATCTATATCATGACTTTAAATTATAAGTGTCAATTATTTCTCAATATGGACTTCTTACGTTGCAAATGACTATGGTTCCTGGATGGTTGTCATAGTAGTAAAATCTTACACTTACAATGTCGTCTATACGATCGGTGTCTGCGTTGTGGTTGCAGACACGTTTGATCAGAGCCAGCCTTGTCGTGTGTAATTCCTTTCGCAATGCTTCCTCCTTGAGCTAGATCCCAAAAGAATAGAAATTCGTGTATAGAAAGTGATACGTAACTCTTATAGATTATATATGTTATAATTAAACTACCTTGTGTTCGACAATGATCTGTTGTACGCGCAGCTGAACATCGATGTGAATGATGGGCAGTCCGTCGACGTCGTCCAGCCTGTCGGGATTATCGAGTATAATGTCTTGATGAATCGGAGATGCTGGACATATGCTGCTAGGTGTTCTGGACATTAAGGGCACGCTAGTGTCACTCACATCACTGCCCTCGTGGTGAACACGGTTGCACGTGCAGCCACCGCGACCTGCCACTCCAGTTTCTGTCCAAGGTGAAACCACAACATCCTGTGGTTGGATTGTCTGCAGCCTAAAAAAAGAATAACAGGATTATGTTACAACTAGATATCAATAAATAAACCAAAATTTATTAACCGGACTTAATATCAATTGACACGGAAACACGTAATTATTTCAATAACTTACATATCTTTTTCTCCATTAACAACATCGACGGTCAGATCAATGTTTGGTATTATAGTATCCGTCGAACTGTCTACAGATGGATTAGCTGGGGAATCACTGGACACTTCGTTAGTGGTGTATCGATTTTTCTCAGCAGCCTTTTCCGGAGTATCATCGCCATTAACCTCTGGAATCCTAATCTCGTTCGTATTCTCCTCTATCTTCTCGACCTCGTTGTCAATGTTAAGGGAATCGAATTTCCTATTATAAAACAAACAAGAGAAATTCACACGATGACCAGGATACGACTGAATGAATATATATATATAATTAAGTATGACAGTAATTCTGTATTTGATGTCAATAATTAAAATATAGCGCATACTTCTCGATCGAGATGCTGGGATCGCTTAGCCTGCGGTGAAGATACGCCACATGATCCTGTACGTGTATGAGATCGCCATACGAGCGGGTTTTAGTCATTTGTCCTTGTGGTTCTTCACTGTCGCCACCCTCGATATCGATCATTGTGACTCTCTGTTTATCATTACTATTACCTAAGGATGATTCGGTCGAACCTAGATAAACTTCAGACCATAGTACAAGGTCGCGCACGTTGCAACTGGGCCACAATACCTATGGAAAGAAAAGATTCGTCCTATTATATTAGATAGCTGCTAAGAGCACTACGAAAAAATTTCAAGAACTTCTGCGTACTTTCAAGAACTGTATAATTAATTGATTAAAACGTACCTGGTCTTTTTGTGGCGAATACAAATGATTAACGAAAGAGTTTGAGTTGAGAAAACGCCAAACTGAGAAAGTACGTTCTCGTATCCTCAATTGCAAGCGTTCCTGCCTCGTGTTACAGAGGAATGTGCCGAAAAGCTGTGAGTAGGTGTGCTGCGCCAATTTCACCTATAACATGGATCAATATTACATTACTTTCTATACGTGATGTTTTTAAGTCGACAAAAATAATTCATCCTGACACGTACGAGGTATGCAGGTGACATTTGGAAGCTGCAAGAGAATTGCAGTATCAGCTGATGAACGCAATCCAACCACTGCAAGAATACTGGGCAACGTTCATTGGGATCTTCACAACCAACTGTCTGACCACAACGATCAGCGAACTTGTGTCCGAAGTCCAACCATTCTCTCTCGCAAAGAACTTGAAATCCCTAAAAATACATAATAAAATAAAACCGATGTTATTCCTTCTTGAATTTCGTTCGACATACCTCCATGGTACGGTAATACGGGTCTAATAATAATTGCGCTAGAGCGACTATCTGTGGTGTTCTGTCCCAGCCATCACTGCAGTGTACGAGGACAGGTCGCCCATCCCTTTCAATGGCCGAAGCTACGGTAACAGCTGCTCTTAACAACCCAGACATATGCTGTAGCCATCGAGTTCCTTCTAGTAAGCTTAGCCAACTTTTTATAAGAAAAGAACACAAAGAAGGTTGAGATTATATGATTTAAAAAAAAAAACATTTTTCACTAAGTGATCTAGTTAGCTTACTTTGGCTGATCAGCATCAGATGCACATAATTGCCTAACTGCGTGGAAACTTTTTCGTATCGAGTGTATATTTGGCAGATTCATAAATTGAATGTCGCAGCTGGGATAATACTCAGGACACTCACATCCTCCACCTCGTGCTCTGTTCGCTACAGCAGTCGTGTACGACCTGGCATCAACTATAAGGACTTTCTAGGAATAGAAAGAATTATCTTGTAGAAAGATGTCACTTTCACATATTTACTTTTTCTCTAATGACAATCACTTACTTTAGTTGTACTTGAGGTTATGGACTCCTCACTGACATCTGAATAACTAGTTGGAGAATCTATCATTGTGGATTCTCCTCTGTCATAGGAACATGCATCTGAGAGAGCCTTTAGTAGATCCTCATCCTGTGTACTTCGCCAGCCTAACCAACCTACTTCTGGTTGACTACTACGCGCTATTACAGCGCCATTATTAATGTGCCTTAATAAAAAATATATGACAATATCAATAATAAATTACAAAATTATAATACTGGGTATCTATTAGCAGCAATCCGATAGGTTTACCTCCATACAACGGCGGGAATGCGCCTGGAGCTTCGGAATTTAGCGACAGTCTCGAGAGTCTCGTCTAAAATGCAAGCAGGAACCAGTAACTGCGGAGGATAAGATGGGCACATTCTGTAGTCTGCATTGATCTGGCTGACACGCCATGTGCCATGAAGATTAAACTTTAATCTTTCCACCTGAAAGATATTGGTGTCAATATGTCAAGATTATTTGGTTACAGGTCGTTAGATTGAATCTTAATGTATGCCGGGTTACTTACTTCCGAATTAAAAGTAGCAGTGTAGGATCCATTATCTTTCCCGAGTCTGGGATAATCTCTCCCCTCCTCGACGGACCACGCATAATACGCGAATGCAAATATATCTTCTATACTCTTTCGCGGATAGGTTACTTTATGCAGCCGCTTAAACCACTCCAAACAGTGTTCATTTGTTGAGAACGCGCAGCTGAAACGTTGCTGCGTTATTCCTTGATCATGCTGCATGTTTTATCGCATGATTGCTGTGCTATGTCATACATAATTCCAGACGGGGAATAATATTAAATCGTAATGGTACTTTAAGCGTACCTTAACGAGCGAGCATCCTTACAGCCGATGTGAAGATAGAAGATTTCCTTAACTTCGAGTTGCTCGATAAGACCTAGAGGTATGTTGTAACAAGCCTGACTGAGCTGGAGGTAAAGACGATAATTGGAAAGTGCGAGAACTCCATCTGAAGTACATCCAAGAGCAACGACGGATTCTCCACTCAGCGGTGTGAAGGGTACAGTGAGAGTGGGATCATCACACTCAAAATGTGTATGCTTTGGAAACAGTTCGGATGCTCTAAGATGACAGATGGATTGCAGACTTGTTGGCTCTTCAGAACTCTCCATTGCGTTTAGCTAGATAAAACAAGATATATCACATAACTAAATACAGCAAAGATATGAACAATAAAATTGAAATAATCTTCCACTCGTTACCTTTCATAAAGCTGCTAGTGAACTCCTAGGATGAAGAAGCCACAATACCTAAAGAATACATTAGTGGTTGTATTATACCCTGCTCCAATTATTTCCCTTTTTTCTGTGGTAAAGTTAATAATATTATGTTCATTTTTAAACTGCCGTTATCCATATGAACACTGTCAACACTTGTAATAATATCTAATATTCCATCATTAGAATTTTAAACACACTCAGAACGCATTTCCGTAGGAAAACACCCGAGGACCGCAAAATCCGCTAAGTTTTTACTGAAATATACATCTGGAATAATACGTATTCGTGACGATTCTAGATACTCAAATCGTACACGCAACGGCAACTGGACTATTTGACATTTCGAGTAGCCGTGCAACAAAAACATTTCGACATGCGATAAATATGCTGACACCTTGCAAAAGTACACGAACTCCACCAATAGACCTGGACAAGTATCCTAATCCTGGCAATAGATTGTCTGTCGTCAATGCTAGAAAATTATTCTGGCATGTTCTCTAAGAATGCAATAATGACAATCTAAAAAGGGCAACACATAACTCCAAAATATTTTCAAAGGCCTTTAGTGAGTGACCGTTGGACAGGCAGAATCCTAAAAGCAAACACTCGTTCGACCCGCAACTCAGCAAAAATAAGTTTATGAATTACGAGACGTAGAACGGATAGGATCTCGTTGACACAAACTGGGCAAATATTAAAACGTCTTTTGGCGAATACACGTACTTGACTCTCTTTAAAAGTCAGAGATAAACTTACTTTCCAGTTGGTGACTTTAATCCTTGATAAAAGATGTCCGGGGCGTTACGAGTTGTCTTCACGCACGAATTATAATAGCAGGTTTTGCCACTCGGCAAATTTGATGCATTTTTTTACGAAATATGTCGTGTCCAGCTTCTTTAGAAGACTTGATAGTGCCCTGCTTTTGAGAAGCACGTAGAATCACAGTTACGGATACGGGATAAACGAGTGAGACGAATCTCGCGAAACACAGACCAATTCACATTAGAACCACTTGTGGACAATCGCCTACTAGGATGGGACTTATGTCGATTTCACATGTGCACGTAATCATAACAGCGCGCTGTTACGCTACGGCGTTATCTTGCTTATTCTTTATTCCTTTTTTTTATTTTTAAATTAGTATTCACTGAATTTTTCATCACGAGATACGCGGTACTTCAAGGACAATATATGTTTGACGTAATATTCATTGTAGAAATGCGATGACTAGATATATACTGATACGAGTTTCCCTTAGAGCCTTGTATGGAGTATGCAGACACTTATATTAATTATAAAAATAATTGTAATTCTTGCATGTTGAATATTATATAGCATTGTTTAGGTAAAATTATAACTTGGTATATGATAATGGATAAAATGTAAAGGAAGAACTTGTGGTAAATTGTAAATTCAAAATTCTTATTATTAGATGATGGTTATACAAAAGTCCTGAATTTGCAACTAGAAATGATTACTTAAATAAAATAAATGCTGATCCAATGATCTCACTAAACAGATGAACACGTTTAAATGCTCTAAAAGCACTGTCCCAAAGATACAATCAAGATTGATAATGGACTAGCGTAAAACAGTATTTTATATTCCTGTTACGCTTTCCAGAAATTTGGATTTTGTTGTAATCGTCTTTGAAACGTTTCGTACCATGTTTGCACTGTAGAAAGTGGTACAAAATTTTCAGTGGGATTTGGAGTCATCTGCTGTTGGGTCACTGAAAAACTGGATACAAAGTTCAGAAAATTTGTCAGCATCTTCTGACTAAATTCAAGGAAGCTGTTGGTTGTGGTCAATGTAATTACAGACACTTGTTGCTCGATCACACTAAGTGGCTCCACAGACACTCCAATCTGTGCAACATGTGAGATTTTTGTAATGCCAAAGATTCCCAAGTTGCTGTTCTCAAACTCATGATTTTTCTTCAGAGTTGATATTTTAAAAATGGCCGATGGTTTTGCATTGGATATATATCCTAAGAATTGCCAATTTGGTGGTGCATTTGGATCAGGCCAACTGAAGTAGACTGTAAAATATAATGTATTAACTTTTGCTAATAAATATAAATTAATTTAAATATAATACCTGCTCCTCCTGTGCCATCAGGAAACGGTATTGTACCCGTTAGGAACACTGCAATATGATTAATGTTATCAGCATCAGGAACTGTTATTAAAAATTGAGTTTCGCTTATTTGGTGGAAATCTGTCTGGACCTGCAATCCACATATTCATGATTAACACACTATTTTGTTTACTGGTAAATATTGAGGTTTGTTTAAACAAGACATAACACTGTCTGTGTTTAGAAAAAACAACACTGGGAACCAGATACGTATCTGTTCAAATTTTAAAACTGTTGCAAAGTTTACGATCAAATAATCAACGAACGCTGTTACTCCTTAGCACTGTTTCAACTGGACACAACCAAACAAGACAAGCATAAATTTACAAACAAAGGGATCTGTAATTGTCCATACATATTAGTGGTAAAATACAATATACTTATGAAAAATATTAACAAAATAAAAGTTTCAAATTTTAGTTGATCAATAAAATTTTCTATAGATTCTAAAATAACAGGAAACGATACCGATTAATAAAGAGGCACGTGTAAATAATAAATTTACTCACGAGCCGGCCAGAGGCGATTATACCTAGCATATTTGACATTTATTTAATACATAATATTAAAAAACCACTGTCGTAAAGTATTGCAAGGATGATTTGATAGTACGTATTAATATAGCGGCTAAAGCTACTGTCGTAATTCAACACTGTCACCAAAACCTTGATTCGACTAGAAGCTTCCACCAAAGTTGTTTTTCATGTAAACCGAACACGCGAATATTTCAAGTAAAGATTGTATGGCGTGGTGATCGCAAAAATTTCTTATTCGTAGGCAGTAAGATAATGGTGAAAGCGAAAACTGCCTAAATTGGCTCCATTCTTGAGACATAATTAGTAGTGTCAATTATTGCCGCGCGTAGCGCAAAAGTACATCATTCGACAATCTAAAAGAAATGAGGACAAGAAAAGAAATTGAAAGTAGAATATCTTATAGGAAATGTAAAATCATAAATACCATTTCCAATGCCTTTTTCAAATCGCAAAATAAATTTGTCTGATGTCCTTTCTTGGGCATCAGACTCTAGGTTACCATCTAATTAATATCTTCCTTAAATCTTAACAATGTAATTTTCTTTTTCCTCATTCCTCAGTTCTTTCGATCTTTTTATTAAGCGTGCGCTTTGGAGCGTATGCGCTGCAAGTGGCGTTAGTCAATAGTAACAAATATTTCTTTAATAAAAAAATTGGGAGGGGGGGGGTTGATCATCGAGATCAACCGAGCCGATTTTTTCCTTTCATATACATTGCTTCATAATTGTTAGTGGAAATACCATCTTACTGAAAATCTTCAGTGAAGGAAAACAAGCAAGTTAAAAATAAAGCCAGTAAAGAAGAGTTATTTCGAATGTGCTATAGCACCCTGTGGACTTCGACTAAAGAAATTGTAAAAATCATCTCAGCATCAGCATCCTATATAGCCTGTTCATGCGTATTGAGTGCAAAGAAGAGATTTCTGATAAAAAATATTGCGTGAATTGTATACGTATTTGTCTGTTATTCCTCTTGATTTCATAAAGCAACAATACAGAGAAGAAAAAATACTCCGGTTCGAAGAACCCCATCAAGAAACTGTTTAGCTCGAAGCAAAACAGTAATACATAATAGGACATAGAACGGGCGTGAACGTCGGTGAACGTTCTGATAGAATTTCAAAAATGCCTGAACGTTACCCCAACAGGCGTAATGTATTCGCATCAGGTATACGCGTGGGCAAATTAACGTCCATGATTTTTCAGAATGCCCAAGGTGTACTAGAGTCCTGATTTAAAGAGCGTGGTCGTAGTTAAACAAAAAAAGTAGAAATAAAATAAGTGCCTATCAAATCGGTATGGTCCAGATAACGTTTAACGAATCGTTTAGAGAAAATCGTGCTATCGGTTAACAGTTGGCTAAAGTCTTTGATAAATGACTGTTTGTTTCCTTATCATTAACTTATAATGCCGATCATATTGCCTGTGGCAAACACCTCTTCAAAGACAACGGATACGATACAATCGCGTTATATGAAGAAACGACAGGTAGTATAATGACTCGGAGTCTCAGAAACCATTGAGATAGAAGGAGAGCGTGAGATCACCACCTAAATCACAGACGGATCATCTACATGTATAGAAACAGCGCAGATGAATCCACAGTTTTAAAACCGAGCTTACCAACTTGTGTCTCTCCCTTTCTCTTTGATAGAGTAAAAAGAAAAAATAACATATATCTGTTTACGACCCTTGGGATTCGTCGGTTATCATTTGGTCCCATGGGACCACAGTTATTTTCGCTTTGCTTTCGGCAGAATTGCGCGGAAGACCGATAAGTCGCGTTCAAATAAGCGATTTCGCCTGAACTCCCATACCATATTTGATCAAAAGCCCGTTCGGTGTTTCGCGCATTGGTTCCCCTTTACTTTACTACGCAGGCAGTCAGGCAGGCAGGCAGGTTGGCTGGCTGGCGGGCTGGTAAGCAGACGGCGACGACGCGCAGAGCCCGTGTGAACTTCACCGTGTGACATCACGCCTCATTGTTGGAGGTTTACGTCATTCTTGAGTCGGTGCACGACTCGCGAAGCGCACGCGAATGGTCCCGCGAAACCCGTGAAAAATGTCCACCAGTACGATCTCGTGCTCATCCATGCGTCGATGTGTCTCACTCTTTGTGAAATAAATTGGTGTTCGTGTGATCGACTGAAGTCCTTATATGAATATTCGTGTAGGTTTAGTGCGCGTTATATCGTTGTTGAGAAACATCGCAAAATTTCGAACGTGCCCTAAAGCAAATAGCGAAAGATGTCAAGCACGACGTTTTACGGTAGCGCCAGCTTCTGGTTAATCCGCCAATAAGCAGTGGGACTATTATATTATTTATTGGGAATATGTTGTTTTCTGAGGAGGTGATCCTCACGGTGATTATTAATCGAGTGTCATATTAATTGGATGGGATTAAAGTGTCAAGGAATGTATTTTTTCCCATGAGTTTCATCGCGCGCCGTTACTACGGCACACGTTCTTTCATTTTAAATATAACGGTGTATAAATAAGTATGAGCAATAGCGGGAGTGCGTGAGACTGTCTACTCAGATTTTGCGAATTGATCGGCTACGCTTCTGTTTATACCTGCGAACATTTTGGGTAAAGTGATTCAAATGCAGTCGACACTCGTTACTTTTTTACTGACAGCTGCCACATATGTTCTTCTTTGTGCGTGGGCACGCGTTGCCGAGGCTTTACCAAGGTTAGTGCTCCACTACCGCGTCTCCTTCGTACGGTCAGGGCTGGTGAACACTTCCATTTCTCATATCATCTCAATGTCGTGGACAAATTTATAGCACTGTTAGGAACGTTGTAAAAGACATTCACTTCTTGTTTTCATGCTTTTTCTTTTTGACATTTTAAGTGTATGAGATACATTTTGAATTTACACTAGAACGTTTTGCACCTTTGATACTCTTGCTTTATGCTTTGTTCTTTGATAAGTTTGCTTAAGCATAATAACTGACATTGGTTTTATCAGATAATTCAACAATATTATCTCATTCTGCAGGAAGACTTGAGCATCCGATCTGCTTGAAGTTCTGAGAAACACTTTTCTCGCTGTGAACAGGCACTCTCAAATCATATGGTGTTTTAAAGGATGAGGACACAATATTCTGATATATTTTACACAACTGGTTATTTTTGTCATATATCGAGTTTTTGTGAGTAATTCATTCTAGAAAGATATTTTTTAAAATTTGGTTTAGAATCATATCGGTTATATCCAGTTGGCGGGTTGTTGCAGGTAAATTGCACTTACGTGATGCAGTTGTTTCCAAACCGGTCACAGCTGCACGAGATGCTGCACTGTGCCGAGGATTGCTCTGAAATAAGTTCCAACGCTTGTATGATGTTTGGAGAGTTCTGTATATTTGCCACAGAACTTGCGCGCCTGTGCGAACGAGGGTAATGTAAAATTTTATCTAAAGGAAGATTAAAAATTAATTTCTATTTGAGAATCCAAGTCCTATTGATACTTTAAATTATTGTCATAGTGACATAGAATAGGATTTAAAAGTTTCATATAAATCATATATTGCTAGATTTCACAACATGCTCCAAATCGAAATCTATTTGTTGCAGGAAAAAGGTGTTGAACGTTCGATTGTGATTGATGTCGGCGCGTATTAATGATGTTGAAGCGCGGAGTGCTGTTTTTCATTGCAAAAGGATTTGATATTTGGAAGTATGTTCGCCACTGAATTATGAGTGTTGATGATTATGGTTACGATAATAATAATAATAAGAAAGAAATAATAATAACAACAAACATCCTTATTACCACACTCTGACAACACTCTTCAGTTTTTTTTCTTTTTCGTTTTTGGCGAATTAGACTCTACAGCAGTAGAGAATTTTATCCCAGTTTTCAAGATTATTACGAATCTTTTTCTAATTTCAGTAGAAAATATCAAATCCTCATGCAACGCTGGCACGATTGTTCGAGTGTGATAATATTGAACATCTCATTTATGTAATTAATCTCGTCGTTCAATACCAGTCGATCTGAAATATTAAATAACTGACAATTTCAATTTTGATATAATGCCTTTTTATCATTACAGAGCATCTATTCCTATGAGTGCCACTCAATCATTGCACTGTGATGGAAAGAATACTAATTACAAAATCGGTACAAGTAAGTTAAAACAGTTGAATAAAAGATGTGATTGATCTTTTAACCAATATTTAATGAAATTGCAATTTTTTTTCAGAGAGGATGGCATATGAGGTATTTTTGGGTGGATCCTGTAACCCCACCACATGGAGGTCAGAGATAGCTATACCAACTCTTCAGAGCCTTGGCATTACTTATTACAATCCTGTAAGTCAGAATTAAATTTAATATCTAGAAAAATATTATTGTTTCACGAATATAAAAGTAAACTATAATATAACGGTTTTTTTTTTTTAAATTGTAGCAAGTATCGCAATGGGGACCAGAGCTCATAGCTCAAGAGTACGAGGCGAAGCAAACGGCGCGTGTTTTGCTCTTCGTCATCGACAATCAAACGCGAAACAGTGCAGGCATCATCGAGGCAGCTCAGTTGGCAGCCACACGTAGTAACTCTCTTGTACTCGTGATATACCCTTATCGTCAAGGTCAAACTATTTTAGGGGAAACGGTCTCTACACAGTGAGTTTCTCAAATATTTCCTCTTTTTACTTCCTTAACAAATCATCGCATGGATTTTTCATATAATTAATGCATATACAGGGAATATTATGATTTAATGAACGGGCTGCTAGTACTTCAGTACCTTGTGGAGAGACAGAGGATACCAATATTTGAAAACGTTTCGGTGGCTCTGAATTGTACGTCGAAGGTAATTAAACGCCATTTAATGACTGTTAATCTATAGTCTCAGTTACTAATTTTTTAATGATATTATAATGAACTAGTATTATCATTGCAGATCCTCCGCGAAGCAGTCAATGTTCAGGACTTGAATGCTGAGGATGGGATCAGGCCGGTTCGATTGTCACCCAGTCAAAACGGGATTGACTTAATGTACATAATTTATGATCTCAGTCTGTGATTATAATAATTATATATACATATATACATATATATTCATTATTTTTCCTAGAAAACTACGCGAAGTCTTTGAATCCATAGACACCAATGGAACTGGAACAGTTAGTTTGGGTGAAGTAAGTATATCAATAAATATATATCAATTAATTTCAAGGGTCTGATATGATTCATTAATTCCAGGCTTGGCTCGCGTTGCAGTCCAACGCTAAGTGTAATATATCGGTGGCGGAACTGCTCAATGCCGTGAACAAATCAGGTAACGTAATACGCTTGTTCCAACGTATTACGTGTCAGCCGTAGAAAATGAATCATTAGAATCGATCAGTAATTGCTCATAATAGTTATGAGCGAATAATACTTCATAAACTCAGTATAGGGCACACTTGTTAATAGCAAATCTAAACAAAACACACTGTGCATATGTAATACTTTACCTGGTGCAATATTATTCAGTAAAAACGTTATAGCAGTTTCTGATTGGCTAAAAAAATTAATTATTTTCAGATACCTACGAGACTCTGATAGAAGACTTCTCGTCTAAGGAGGATCATGCAGAAAAACGGATAAACTTTGAACAGTTTTCCACAATTGCAAGCGAGTTATCATGGCGGCTCAAGAACAACGGCGTGTCCTGCGAAAGTGAGATACCTTCAGTTTGGAGTATATTATGTAGGAAGGCATCAAAGTTTCTTCGCCGAGCTTTCGTACACCCCTTTAATCGTTTCATAGGTATTTCCGATTTTCAACAAGTTCACCATAGATTCACAAAGTATTTTTACGAATGCAAGTATGTCTGTATTTTCAGTTGATGTACTGAGCATTTGTTTCTTTATTTTTTCTTTTTGTCCTCTAATAGATTTTACTCATTACCCAGTCGACACGTTGTGATTGTTACGTCATAATCGGCAGACTTAGTTATCACTTGCTTTACTCTACGTTTGACAGTGATCGCAAGATTTCAATGTTATTGTTATTTTTTAATATAAAATTCGGCTATTGTTAACGCATGATCAATTTCAGATTGGACCAACTCCTTGGTGCCAGATTCTGATAAGAGAGATTTATATATTGGAGTGGTCGGTAAAGATTTGTTTTGGCTAGAATCTTCAGCCGCACCGTTAATCGAGTGAGTAGAAAACAAAAAACACGACAAACGCAAAATACAAAAAATAAAGTGATCAACACGAGTAAAACTCGGCTGGCAGTTGTGATCGTAATCGGGATCGTCCGTATATCCTCGATATCTAAAACTTTCCCCTAGATCGCTGGGCTTATCTCTTCACCGACCAATCCTGAACGATTACAACGTAAGGGGAATGTCGCAGGAATTGCAGCATATGAAAAACTCCCGGCTCATCCTACTGATCGTGCCGCAACACTCCCGCGGCATCTCCATTATGGCTTTGGCAGCTCATTTGATTGGACTGCGCGCTAAGCTAGTCCTCTGTGTTCAAACTCTCCCCGAAGGTTGTGTCATCTCTGGTGAAAAGGTAGATAATCAAACGGTAATGGCGAACGTTGCCAAAAATTCAATCAACGAGTGGACAAATTTGGCTTTTATTGTATCTTTTTCTTTTTTTTCAGCTAACTCAGCAAGCCGTTAAGGACTATAATCGGGGTAGGATGTACCTGTCGGACTACGCGACGCGAGAAGGTGTACCTGTATTTCAGAATATCGCTGATGCTTTACAGCAGGCGATACAGCTAGTTCAAAGTCCCTGTTGACTTAACTCCTTCCTCTCTTTTACTACTTCTTTTTCTATTTTTTTTTTTTTTTTCATTGTCCGTAAGGTTAAGCTTCCTCAATTCGTTGACTAATTTATTTTTGTTCGAACCCTTACTCGTTAATGCTGCCCGTCTACCATTCGAGACCTCTGGATGCGGCATCGGTAACGATGGCGATGCTTCATTTTTTAAAATATTTTTTTACACCTTGCTACAGTGACACTGCTAATGGTGATAATGATGGAGAGGATGATTGTTTTTCTCTCTTAAATTTACTTGCTACCAGCTATTTACTATTTACTACTATTACTATTAGTACTGCTACTACTATTTAACTCGTACTTATTACTATTTACTATTATTCTACTACTTGTACTATTACTACTACTAAAATCACTTACCACCATTGCTACTATTAACCTTTGAGATGATTATTGCGCTTCAGAAAAATTTTTATTTTTCAAACGAAACTTATATTGGTTTTTATGTATCGCAAAAGTTTTTAGCGATTTTATAGATCCTGTATTGAGTTTTCCTGTTTTTTGGGGGGAGGGGGGGATTTTTTCCTTATACGTATATGTGTATATGTATGCTATTGTCGCAACTGTAGAGGAGACCTCGAGGATTACTCGAACGCTATTTCTTTTAGATATCTATTTCTCAGGTAAACAAACAAACAAATTTCCGAATTCTCAGGAAAATTTTGGAATTTAGGACAATGCGCAAAAAGAAGGAGAAAAACGAAAAACAAACGATCGTGTCTTGCGAATTTTCGCCAATTATTCTTGTGACCTCTATAATAATGTGGCTACATAAAACTCTACTCTATCGATCGCTTAAAAAATAGTAGAAAAAAAAAACGAAATCATTTCCATGCAATATCCATATCCACTCAGATTGCGCATCAGGCAATCTATATAACTCTCCATTCAGGGAGATAAATCAGACATACTAAAGACAAAAGAACGATATATGAAGACGTTGGAGGTCTCTCGCGGTAGATGGAAGTTTCTTTTTACAGTAATTTAACTTGACAATTTTTTTTTCTTTTTTGTAACCTTTTGGTAACCGGTTGAGGATTGATTTGATATACGTGTATATATATTAACTGTTTCTAACGACCTAATGGTAATTAATTTCAAGTACAGAGAGACAAAGAATGAAAGAGAGGGAATGGCGCGTGTGCGTTTTGTGCGAGTCGGGCGAGAAAGAGAGAGGGGGAAAAGAGAGAGTGCGTGCGTGCATGCGTGTCCGTTAATAATATATGCGTTAGTTTAATGCGTGCGCGTGCGTGTACACGTAAGTAGTGACAGGGGAAAACTTGTATAATTCACGATGTGCGAAGACTCGCGGATCAGTGGTAAATCATGTCGGTCCGAAGAAAAGGCTTAAACGGTTTATGAGAACGTTCTTCTCGTACCTTTATTACGATTGTTGGAAACAAAGAGAAAGAGAGTACCAAAATGGTGCGCGACGCTTAGAAATATTGAATATTAACAGAAGAGCTCAATTATAAATCTGCTGGTTAAATCCCCTTTTTAAATGTTTTTTTTTTGGATTTTCTTTAAACTTTTTTTCCTAATAACGTCACGTCTAATACATTACATTTGATATTTAAAATAATTTGCTTTGTTTCGTGCCTTAAAAAAAAAGTGTGGCCCCGCGTACTTGAACATCCCTCCTTGTTTTTTTGTTTCTTTAGGAAGAAAAAATAAAAGTCAGTCACATTATGTTGATCTGTCTCACTTTGTTCTCTTTGGCAGGAGTCTCTCTTTTTCATTATAAAATGTTTTGTATTTTCATTTTTTTTCTTTTTGTTTTCTCGTTTTCTCTCCCCACTTCCTTCTCCTCAGCGAATCGCAATTCTTTACGAGAGATGTCGGCGTCAATACAAACTTGTAATGTCACTTCAAAACACCGCTAACTGTATAATATGAGCTTTCTCGTCCAAGATTGTAAATATCCTGATATTAATTATCAGTGGAGAAGAAAACAAGCTGGCAGTTAATATCACATAGGAATCATTAATTGTTCTCAATGTTTGATTAGATGATTAGAACGAGTAAATGATTGGACTGTAGATTAGAATGATACAAATACGCAAATCTATAATAGAGGTATGTCAGTGGCGCGTGCGCGCTACAAGATGTTGGATGCACTTTTGTAACGAGTGGGATTATCAATAGAAAAATGAACAAGCAAGGAGTGTCTATTATATGATGGGAAAAAATCATGGTCTGAATACGAATCTGCAACTAGTCTAAAAACGAAATCGTTGCTCTGAGCAATAGTTGAGTTAAAACACGTACACGCACGCGGACATGCCTTACACAAACACCTTCGACCCACACACACATACACATACCTACACCTGTACACTTTTTAAACATTAAGACGTCTTAATAAATAATTTTTGTTAATTACGGTATAGGATAGAACTAAAAGAATAACAGATGGTTACTGGTAAACAGTAGGATAAAATCGGATTCGAAGTGAAGTTTACAGAGTATAAAGAAAACAAAAAAAAATGCGAGGAGTTATTTAATTTCTACAGTAATCCTGAGTGACGCTCTTATCATATTTCCTCTTCCACGTTCTAGCCCGATTACAAAAAAAAGCGTATAAATTTGTTTTACAAATTCCTTTAATTGAATTTCTTATGATTTTAAATTTTTATTCCAATCCAACGATACCTTGAACGGTATAGCAAATACAGTGGAGTTCCTCACAAATTACGTAATATGAAAGTATTTAAACTAAGTGAAGTGCCATTGACAGTGCTCAGATTCCCACCACAGGTAATCTTTGAGCTACGAGAATATAGGCTGCGAGACACTCTACTGTGATAAGGAAAATGTCACTCTGTACTATCGATCATGTTTTTACGGGATTGGTTAGACCGTGAAAATCCTAACTAGAAAAAAATTAACCAGTTTTTAATTTAACATTTTCTTCATTTTTCTTGATTTTTTCGGAATCCTCCACTAATGTCTCTTCTTCCTTCCCCATGTCGCCGTTCACTTTTTTTTCAAAAAAGTATCGATATATATTTTTCAATGATAATAGAACCGGTATCATTATCGGCAGGAACAATGGAACGTATACGGCATATCTGAAATGATAAATGTACAATAAGAGAAAAGTGAAGAACACGCGTGACATTAAAGAGTTTGAGATAGTAAATCTAATGTTAAAGGTCACTGACTTTTGATCCTCTGGAAAATAAAGGAGAGCAAGAAGCGACGGATCGGTAAAGGCAGCTTCCGCCGTGACGAAGGCTTCTTTGCTCAAGAGGAATCCTTGAACAAGATGTCCACGTTCCAGTAACTCGGCAGAACGTTCCACCAGATCAAGGGCACTCTTTATACGATTACCCACTGTCTCTGTGATAACGATACTACTGATCTCCTTCAGGAGTTGGGACAACGACTGTAGCGTCAACTTCGCTGAGGTCAGCTGTTCTATGGTGCGGATTCGCAGGAGGGCGTCAAATTCCCAATCGCGGGGTTTAGAATTTTCTAACTGTACCAAAGCGGCACCCTTGATCGGATTCTAACGATAAAAACAACAATTTGCGTTAATTTATTACTACTGACAATTGGTTTTATCAATGAGACAAAGCTTACCGCATCAGGTATGCCTAAGAGAAGTCTTAGCTGGGCCAGGAACACTCCCATAATCGTTCCTCCTTCAGGCATAACCACAACGGTTTCCTTATTCTTGGTTATTGCCTCTTCACAAACTTCTAATGGCGGATTAGATATTACCACACCACCCCATCTGTAAATACATCACATAGTAATGGTGACAATAGTCCTTATTATGGAATAGCATAAATGAGCGGCCGGATTCCATAACAGGCTCAACGCTGGGACTCAGTCCCCTCCATAGCGCCATACTTACCGAACGCGGAAACTTTACTGTCAAATTTCAAAGTTGAAATTTCCTTATACAAAAAATACTAGCGTGTCCAGCTTGATTGGGTGCATATTTTTTGTATTGGAATATATATACATATATAAATAGCTAGGATTGTTAGTTTTCTTTTAAAAAAATTGAAAACTTGTTTCTTCGGCGATTAAGAAAATCAATGTTTTTTTATATTCAACTCCCGACCACTTCGTTAATAATTGATCGGTCGTTTCGATTCTTTTTTCTCCAAGCAGACGATACTCTAGCGATGAAGACAGTATCATTAATTGAACGGAAAAGCTTTTTTTTATTTACAATTATTTACTTTCCATCTCGTTTCGCTGACAATTGAATCTCAAAACTTCGATCGAAAAACCGTAGCGACGAAGTTTTTCAAAACATGAAATTGCACGTATATTCATGTGCCTCAAGGCCTCAGGAAGCTTTTTGGAAAGTTTCAGCTGAGAAAGTTGAGAGTATAAGAAAGTATAAGAATCATAAGAATTTATTCCAATGGTCTATTTTGTTTTTTTAACGCCTTTTATGAATTATATTTTACAAACTCATTCTTCAGTGCAATGAAGAAACTGTAATATTCTAACGTTCTTTGATTAACCATGGCTCTAATGCACTGTTTTACCAGTAATCCTTTACTGCGGCAAACAAAAATGTAAGAAAATTTATTGAAAATTCATAAATTTTTACGTTTGCGATGAAAACAAGCCAGAGCATCTTTCGTCTTTGTCACTCCGCTGCAAAGTCGGTGAGCCTTTGTCGGTGAGTCTTTCGCACCCTCACCAGCGCTCTAGCGCAATTGTGAACAATCAAACGTAGAAGCTTCAATTTTCAACTTTTTCAGCTGAAACTTTCCAAAAAGCTTCCTGAGGCCTTGAGGCCCCTGAATATATATGTGCAATTTCACGTTTCGAAAAACTTCGTCGCTACGGGTTTTCGATCGAAGTATTGAGATTCAATTGTCAGCGAAACGAGATGGGAAGTAAATAATTGTAAATAAAAAAAAAATTTTTCGTTCAAGTAATGATACTGTCGTTATCGCTAGAGTATCGTCTGCTTGGAGAAAAAAGAATCGAAACGATCGATCAATTATTAACGAAGTGGTCGGGAGTTGAATATAAAAAAACATTGATTTTCTTAATCGCCGAAGAAACAAGTTTTCAATTTTTTTTAAAGAAAACTAACAATCCTAGCTATTTATATATGTATATATATTCCAATACAAAAAATGTGCACCCAATCAAGCTGGAGACGCTAGTATTTTTTGTATAGGGAAATTTCAACTTTAGAATTTTACAGTAAAATTTCCGCATTTGGTACGTATAGCGCTATGGAGGGGACTGAGTCCGAGCATTGAGCCTGTATGGAATCCGGCCGCTCAATTATACATGATCTACTGAGACTATATTAGGAAGTATGCCAGCATTAGAAAAAATAATGTTTCACCTTGGTGAAAGAAACGCTTCAACGTTACTGGCTGATTTTGATCTATGTCCAGTGCGGGTGTAGATATGTAACGGTGCCTTGTCGCAGGGTACTGTGTACACCACTAAGTTAATACAAGGATGAAGACTAACCTGGGACGCTGTAAATACATTTGAAAAGTCTCTGTAGTCAATTACTTCCATAATGAAATCGTTATAAGGTACATTTACCTAACTTTTTTTCAAGAGGCGTTACAAGCTGCGGTAGCACATTTTCCGGTAGAGCGTAATGTCTACCCAAGGGACTGCTGTCAGGAACTTGCTTTGGAGTAACGTCTAACGGAAGTAGATAAAGCCATTGGGACTTAATTGAAAAATTGGCAATTAATGACAATCCTTCGAGGAACGGCTCTATGTACTCTGAAAGGCAGAATATTCATTTTGCTCAATGTGAATCAGTCATAGTGCAATGACGGTTGCAGTTATTCTTTTTATAGACTGCGCGTGCGCACAAGAGATTCTCATCATACTTAGAAGCCACACATTTTTGGTTCCTCATAACAGTAGAAAAGCATCTCACTCGTTATTAGGTGTTTCAATTAATGAAAGATTTAATCACTATGTGGTATTCACCATCGATCACTCTTGGCAAATTCCAATCAATCTTCAAGCTCTCTGGATCAGGATTCACTAAAGTGAGTAGAACGTCGTATGCTGCACTGGCTGGGAAGCGTCTTCTGTTCTCTTCGTCCAAGCTATACAACGTAGGTTCGGCTAGGGCATTTTTCGTCAAGGCTAATGATTTATCACGTAATATCCATTGGGAGAGTATTTGTACTAGTTCAGCCCCACCTAAGATGTGAAAGTGAAATCTTACTTGATTTGTCCAATTAATCTGCTAGGATAATCCAATTATCACAGTTTTAACTAAATCAGATTAGAAAAAAGTATCAAGGTCATGGATATATTACAATATTTTTACACAACGTAAATTTATAATTTATCACAGTGATTTTTATTAAAGCATAATTATATTGGCTATATGTGTACACACACAGATCTAATATCAGAGCATGTATCGTTGTTCAAGTGAATTCTATCAGCGCCACTAATTTTGCTGGACGGCGTTTTCTTTTGGATTTTTTTTGCATAACGCAGAATATACGACTGATATGTCATCTGTATGTAGTAAGCACAAGCTTCGCGCATAAAAATAATAGAAGTTTAGTTATTTTCTATATTTAGATTTTTAGTGTTCTATGTAGAAGTAAAATTATCTCACCACTTGTTTTAGAGAAATAAATAGTTCTTCTTGAACCAACCAGAATATCCTCTTTCAAATTTGCCGCTTCTAGTAGCAGTAATTCACCGACCTTCAGGTCAAACGTTGCAGCGACCTTTTCCAGGTCATGAGTCGTGTACGCTCTAGATACCAAATTGCTGGATATTACTTGGTGATCCACGTCAACTTTCAAAACCTCTAAGAAAAGAGAGCACAAAAATAACAAATTCAAGGATACACAGCTCATTAATAATTAGAAATAAACCTAAAATTAAAATAAAAAAAAAATAAAAATTAATTCTATTTCGTTTACTTCCCCTGTGCTGCACATTCAAAATCTTATAGTATTTTGACTAATATTTTGCGTACTTCGATTCAAATGGGAATTTAATAATCGATTAAAATTAATAATCGCGATCAAACAAATAACACTTGAATCGTTATTATTTGTCAGATGTTATTTTTTTAATTTCATTTTGTCTTGTACGACGTGCAAGAATATTTTAGTACGAAGGTCTGTAAGAGAGCTAATATATCGTACAATTGCGTCAATGGACGTAACAGGGGGCAACAAACAATCCTCTATACAGTCCCTACGTCTTACCAGCATCTGCAAAGAACGCGCGGACCTCATCAGCCAAAAGTTCTCCGTTCTCACGAGCGAAAGTCGCCACAATGATTCTCGTGCTGATTCTCATATCCAAGTCGGACAATCGGGCGATTCCCGAATAGGGAAGTGGGACTCGTGGTACTGCCGTAGTGTACCACCAAAGTGGCACACCAACCCCCAAAAGTAAAACAGCAAAGGAGAGACTGGCGTATAGCCTGTACTTCTCTGAAACATTAAGAGTGCCGAGAATGAAGAAACGGGAAGCTGAAAATTTTAATGGATTAATGTGAATTTCGCTACGAGATACCATTGTATACCGGAAGCTGACAGTTGTCGCGAGTAGAACACATCGCGTGTAACGTGTTCACAAAACTATGAAAAAAAGTCAAGCGTAGAATAATCGATGCTTAAAATAATTTTTCCCCAAAATTAATTCGCACTATTCAAATTTCTGATTTGATAACGTCAAAAGGTCGAGTTCTGCAATATCAACAGAAAATTGTAACACTTAAGAAATTAGATAACACTATATTAAAGCTGTATCTACCACGATAATATGAGTAGTTTTAAAATGATCAACAGGATGAGCGTTTTTGACAATTTAATAATTAGCTTTTTAATCCGATTAAGATAAATTATGTTTTTTTTCAAGATATCACACGCGAGTTAGATTAGATTTATCATAATGTTCATTACACAGTTTATGACATTCATATTATACCCAACAAGCTCGCTACACTTTTACTACATTTTCAGTACCACGAAGAGCGATTGCCTTAAATGTCAATTTATTTGAAAAAACACAGACTTTGTAAACCTAAATAAATTTTGTATTGTGCAACATGCGTTAATCATGATACACATTGTGTATACGTCAAGCGCATTTGAGAAGAGCTCGTATGCCTATGGGAGCAAATGCGCATATGTTTACGCATTCATACGTACTTGAGAGTTATTTCTATTAGAGGCTTGGCTAAGAGCATATTATTTGTTGTATTCAATTATGGCTAAAAATATTAATAAAACGAGGGGCCTCAAATCCCACGAGTAAAAACGGTTCGAGAGAATTTCAAAACTGTAGATAAAAAACAGAAAAATAACTAATCCCGCATATCCAAGGATTTATGACTGGATTATATCCTGTCAGGAAAGAAAGACAAAGAAAAAAATATCTTTTTTTCGAATATAAAATATTAACAAAGGATTTTCCATTGTTCATCGATAGAAATTCAAGTCCATTGAGAATTGAATGATAGATTGCTAGTAGCTTCAACGTTTTCGTACGCTGTGAAAATAGGGTTAAATGTCTATATCGACTACAGAACTATCGTACGAGCGTTGGACATTGTTGACGTCTATTTTCGCGTAAAAGCCAACGCACGACTGTCGCGACATTGCGGACATGGTGCATGCATCCAATTAAGATGTCATGGCTGCCATTAAATGCAATGTTGCTCGAGACTGCGATCCTCTTCTGAACTTAAGAGAGAATATCATGAGAGAGTCGGAAGGCAGCAGCATCGATGTTAATGAATCTTCGGCTATTTATCACGTTATTATTACTAGGTAGCAATCATCGCGATAACCGTGATATATGGCCATCTAGATTTTTGTAACTTGAGCAGGCGATTCTCACCTCATCAACTTCTTAATTGCTTCGTGGATTAGAATCGATTGTACCACGAGTATGATACGGGATTTAGCTACGCACTGAAGAATTCGTGTGTCAAAAAGATTTAATGAATATGAATAAAACTCTGTTAATGTTGACGAACGGACTAAAGGGGATTGAACGAATTAGAATACAATGGAAGTATCGTGACCATGATAAATGGGGCATTAAACCGGAAATATAAAAAAAATATATTGCTTAACACTTCGTGGTCACACAGGTCAAAATGACCCGTGCGTCGACTTGAAAACCAAGAAACGGGATTTTTCGATCGGACAATACAGTTAACCCTGATAGCTACTCAAGACTGTTTTTCTATAATTACAAAATTTTATACGTATGGACTGTACATTTTTTGGATAAATATTCATCAACAGAAAAGGTATAATTTTTCTTTTGTAAATAGAGCATTTCTTTCTGTACTGCAACCCTGATGTTTTTTTTTTTGACAATTTAATATTACATTTCTTCTGTCGGCGCAATGGATCTTTGTTTTGCAGTATATTTCAGAAATTTTATAGATCAATCGAAAAATTATTGTTGACACGGCAACCGTTTGTAAATTGCTTGGCTCAATTTGACCCAGAATGACCACCTTCACATTCCACTGAGGTAGTAAAAAATTAACGACGCTTGAAAAATTTGAAATTTCAAAATGACTTCTTCTCTTCTGAACTTTTTCGAGGTAATAGTATATGTGTTGTTACATCAATTCGAGATGATATTTGTCGATTAATTTTTTTTTGTGTGATAGCATACTTAATAGTCATTGAGCTGCGAACTCATTGGTTCCTTGGAGGTGGAAATGACATATGGAGTGGGCGATATGTAGGGGGGTTGTATTAAGGGAGTGGGTAAAGCTGAATTATACGATACTCCGGTCTCGGTACAATCCTCAGTCTGTGGAGAACGACTGGGTGTCGGACATTTAATTCTGCTTCACCATCTCGTTCATCCCGTCGAAGAACTTCGGCAGACTTCACTTCCGCGTCTCTGAGAATCTTCAGGGTCATTGATCGTTTGGTTCCCCATTGGCGCTCTAGAGGAAGAAGACTCGAGACCTAGGATTTGGTATAGCTAGGAAGGTCCATAACTGGATTGATATATTTTTAACAGGTGCGAATAATGTTTAACGCAAATATTTGTGTATTTATTTAATAACTTTCATGCAATAACAATAACAACTCTTCACTATAAACTGATATCCATTATCGAACTCACGTAATGAACGTTGTCTATACTACAGAATACTTATCTATTTTTTATGTAAATGTGAAAGTGATAAAGATTACAACATTTTGAGAAGTATAGGTAAATCTTAATTTTTAATGAGTTTCAAATTTTAGCAAAAACATTTCATACTCTTGTCTAATTCAAAACTCTCTTTGAGTGTAAAGATGTCTTCATAAGAATGACCCATATAAATGATCAAATTATTAATCGGGTATCATATCCAGGGATAACTGGAGTACTATTTTTTTTTTTCAAGTGTTAGTATTTTTTCCCAAAAGCTATTGGGTAGACAATTAAGAGTTCATTATTGAAATTTAAATTTAATTAATGGACTGTCCATAGTAATGCCGATTGAATAGTACATTGTTCTGACTAAAATCAACAATTGTGAGTTAAGTGATTTCACAATAACCCATGTGGATGAGCTTCTTGTGTTACACGTTGAAATAATTTCATTGTAGTAACTCGATAGATGTTGTGCAACTGAAGTTTGATTTTACAATGACCCGAGTTCACAGCACAAATGAGAGCAACGGTGACGCTTGAACGCAATAGCGATGGTCAAGGCGCTTTGCTAGAGTCTATTTAAAATATTTATGATTTCAGTCTGACGAGTCAAAGTATCATGACAATGGTAACAAAAGTCGATGACTTCAACGTAGAAGACTCTCAACCAGAAATGAAATCGCCGCTGAAGTGAGTGAAATATTATAGTACCACATTCGATTAATAAACGAAAAATAAGAAGATAATCAATTAATTAAATAATTATTTCTTAGGGGAGAATCATGCTTTCAATTACTCGGAAGATTTTTACGAATTTATTGGCGCTCGTTGTTTTTGATATTAGTCCCGATTATTTTTCTTCCTCTTATTATCTTGAACAACAACACGGTAAGTGGATATTACAATTGTTGTAAATTTTACGAAAAATTTCTTAATTGTCCTAATTAATTGGCACTGTGACTTATTTTTATATCAATTTTAAAATTTCCAACAGATGTATCGCTGTCTTTATGTTCTTCTGATAATGGCGTGTTATTGGATTGCCGAAGTTCTACCATTGGCTGTCACTTCTGTAATACCGATTGTACTTTATCCATTGTTGGGTATACTGAGCACTGCCGCGACCACCTTATGTTACATGAATGACACAGCAATGATGTTTATTGCTAGTTTAGCTATAGCAATTGCAATTCAGACTTCAGGATTACACATGCGAGTAGCACTGTGGATAATCAAGCTGATTGGTTGCAGTCATAGACGGTATGCAGGTGTAATTGTAATTAGGGGAATTAAGAGAACTGTGCATAGCTTATTACTAATCTGAAATGGTCCATTCGCCATTTTTTCTTTTCAGTTTGAGCTTTGGATTGTTCTTTGTGACTATGTTTATTTCTATGTGGATATCAAATACTGCAGCTACCGCCATGATGGTTCCAATCGTGCAGAGCGTATTAGAGGAACTGGAAAAAGTAAGTTTCATTCGAATGAACCGGCAGTTATCAAGTCAAAATAGGATTAATTGACAACTGATTTGATGCGGCACGTATCGCTTTGCTTACAGCAAGGCCTTGGTAACGTATTTGTCACAACCGATGACGAAAGTAAGGAAGAAGAACAGGAAGCGTAAGTGATTGTTTATGTCGTTTAATGTTTTTATTTGCATCATTAATTTCATTGATCTTTTAATTATTGCAGTTCAAAGAAACCGACGCCAATTACCATTAGTCATTATTTGGCAGCATCTTATGCCTCTAGTATTGGTGGTATCGGTACTATTGTGGGAAGCGGCACTACTTTGTCAATAAAAGGATATTACGAATCGTACGTAGACAATCATCAAATTCTTAACACGTCTTTATATAAAAACTTCCATTTTTATTATTTTTGTGTTCTAGACGTTTTCCAAATGGTCCCGGTATAAACTTCTCTTCGTGGATGATGTATGCAGTGCCACCCATGCTTATAATGTCCATTCTCACCTGGATCTGGCTTCAGATTTTATACATGGGCCTATTTAGGCCTAACAGTAAAGAGGCACGTGCCGTAGACATTGGGAAAGAAGGTGAACGCGTGGCTACTGCAGTAATTGAGAAAAAATACAAGGAACTTGGACCTATAACTTGGGGCGAATCTTGTGTTGGTTTACTCTTTATAGCTGTAATCTTTCTTTGGTTTTTCCGGGAACCTGGATTCGTTAAAGGATGGCCGAATTATATAACCGACGTGTAAGCTTTGTATCATCTATTGAAACAGAGTGTATGATGTTCTGTGTTCGATTTTTTAAACAATCGGATTTCTTTATTGATCTTTCTTTGCATAACTGAATGTCCTTCTTTTTTTAGGGCTGTGAAGGACTCGACAGCCGGTATTGCTGTAATGATCATTCTGTTCGCACTTCCGGCAAATCTGAATTTCCTCAATAGCTTCAGTAAAGATCCCAGCAAGAGACCTACTAAGGCTTCGTCTGGACTGTTAACATGGAAGCTTATACATCAGAATATGCACTGGAACTTGCTGTTTATATTTGGTGGTGGATTTGCTATTGCAGCGGGTAGTACAGCTTCTGGTTTATCGACAATGTTGGGCAATGCACTGATTGGTCTGCAGTCATTGAACCCTGTGATTATTTTATTTATTGCATGTCTACTTGTAGAGACTCTTACAGAGATGACTGCCAATGTGTCTGTGGCAAACATCGTCATACCAGTTTTAGTAGAAATGGTAGGTATTGCTGCTATGGATGGACTTTTTTATATTTATACACCAAAGTATTTTTCGTTTGCTCAATTAGAACTTTTATCTTTCAGTGTGTGGCCATAAAATTACATCCTATGTATATGCTGGTACCAGGCACTATGAGTGCTTCATTTTCATTTCACCTTCCTGCAGGAACACCACCCAATGCAATTGCATGTGCTGCTGGACATATCAGAACTAAAGATTTGATGATCGCTGGTATAGGTCCTAGTATTATTACCCTTGTTACTACAACTATTTTATTCCCTACATGGGGTAATTATGTTTTCCAGCTCTCAGAATTTCCTGAGTGGGCTGTTTAGTTATCTCTTGCAATAGTTATTTTTAATTTCTTATACTTATTTTTTAATTTATTAGCCACTGAAACAGAGATAAGTAAGGTCTTCGTATTCTTCATTCCTCCTAAAAGTATTATGACAGATTGTTTTGTACATACATACACATATATCGAGATATGTAATAAAGGTATGTTAGAGTTAGAAAATACACTATATGAAAATAAAAGCATCAGAAACTTTAAAGTATGCAGTATGTTGTAGGAATAAAAATTATCTCAAAGCGATATGGCACGAATTGTAAACTATGAATAAGGTATTAGTATATTTTGTCATCAAACAACAATCAAACGATAACCATACCTTTAAATAAATAACAATTTTGAAACCCTATAATTACAGACAAATATATAATTAGACACAATGAAGCAAATTTCTTACCGTCTGTAGATGTGTCATGACCAATGACATCAATCTCTTCCATTTCACTGAATATTGGTTAACTTATTGTCAAGTAAAGTTCACTGGGAAGTTCGTATTTACAAATGAAACTTACACAAATTAGATGGTCTTTTTAAATAATTGAGTTAAATGTATCTTACTTCTTTAACATAACCTCTCCATAAAGCAGAGAATTTATCTCTTACAAATGATCCAAGAGAATTGAAATTATGAAAAATACAATAATCTGTCGCAGTTATACTTAGTATCATTTATATGAATTAACTATAATTCAAACATTCACTATGTTTGAAAATATTTAGCAATATTCACTGAGGTATTCTTATTGACTGTTGGTTGTCATTAGTGAATACGGTACTACCGGCAAATTTTAGTTTGAAATTGTACCACAGTGATAAGATATATTACGTAAACGCATTAGTAAAAAATAATGAGAACTTGTAAAAAACATCTAGTCATATTATCTGTAATAATCCATATACAATATAATAAAAAAGAAACTAAACACATAAGCCATATTCATATTAGGTACTTATTTTGAATTATGATACATTTTACATAGTTCTTTCAGATAAAAATAAAACAAAAAAATCCGACAAATCTTTCTTTAACATAATGTATCTAGAAATGAAGAATCAAGCGGAGTATCAGGAATTTCCTGTTTCGTAGGAAGTAACGAAGTGTAACAAGGGTTGTTCCTTCCCCATATTGAATAAGGACATCCACTAAGAGAACGAAGATGATGAATTAGTTGCCCAAATGTGGGTCTGTGCTCAACACGTGATGCCCAACAGGATCGCATCACTTCATACAGTTCAAAAGAAACACTTTGCGGTCGGGCAAGACGACCTTCATTTCGCAACACATGTTGTAAAAATTGATCATCGCGAATCTCATGATAGGGAAGCGCTCCAAGCGTGCCAATTTCCCACATGACGACACCAAATGACCAGACATCGCTCTTAGAGGAGAACACACGTTCACGTAGAGCTTCTGGTGACATCCAGCGAACCGGAAGCCTTCGTACACCTCCAGCACCATTACCCATGACGTATAGGCTATCTCGTGATAAGCCGAAATCTGATATCTAAAATAACGATATATTTTTAATTGGTGAAAAAAGCTTTTCTTTAATTATCAAAGAATAGTTACCTTTAACGTTAAATTGGAATCGAGTAAAATATTTCTTGCAGCTAAATCTCGATGTGTAATTCTTTTGGATTCTAGGTGTTCCATGCCTTTTGCAATTTCTAGGGCGAATCGTAGAAACTCATTCGTTTCTAATGTATTAGATGATATCCCTGGAGCTTGATAACTTTCCTTTTCGTCGTTTAAATTTACGTAATTGTGTACAGCATCCGAATTATTGTTTGGTGTGTAGTTAGACGAAAATGTCAAACAAGTAGGAGTTGTAGGAGGTTCGCTACTCAGGGTAGTATACAATGCTGCGATTAGAATGTTTATAAATAAATAATCAAATTGTTTCAATACTCATCTGATAAAAGCATGCAATTTTTATTACTTTCCGTTATGCTTGGCCTAGGACTGTGAATCGGTGAAGATTTGGAACTATCCGCATCATTAAAACTACTTAAACTTTCTCGCATGCGGTGAAGATAGGCAAGTAGATCCCCATTTTCCATATATTCCAGAATCACGCATACTGGATTATTGGGTAACGTGCAACAGCCGATAAGTTTCACAAGATGAGGATGCGTTCCAGCAGCCTTCATTATTGAAATCTCTTCCATTAATTGACTTCTGGCATCCCACTCGTTAGAGGGATCAGAGAATTGTGACATTTTTACAGCAACAAGAGAATCATCATTGTATTCAATTAAATGACTCAAATACACTTTACCAAATTGACCTTTGCCCAGTTCACGCACAAACTTTATGCGCTGGTAAGACACTTCAAATTTGTCCACGTCGCCTCTGCACATGGCTTCCTAGGTATAGAAATAATGGTCAATAAATGTTGAATTGTTGATAATATTGTGAGGTGCGATATTTCATATAATATACTAACCTCCACTTCTTGTTCTACGTACAAAATATTTCGATTTTTGAGTATTGTTTCTTCCCAGCCGGATCTCCGTTTCGAAATTGTTCTTACAGCTTGAATTCTGCAGAAAAGTAAAAAAAAATTTTTTAAATATAGATTAATTAGTCGATTGATAGTTAAAACATACCGCTTGGTATCACGATTTGAGAATAATAAGAGTTTGTATCGTGCCCGATTTTGATACCAGATGAAAATTAGAATTCCAAAAATCATTGCACTGGTGGCAAGTAGCACCGTGAAGGCGATCCACTGTAATAAAATACCAAATTACTAATTTAATATTTACATGTATCCAAAGATATAAATGTATTCATTCAAAAATTCATGTGAGATTTAACATAAAATCAGACTCACCTTTATTATGATCTGTTTTGCGTCATCTCTATTTATCATTGAATTGACATGAAATATTCCCTCTGTTCCAATACAGCCATGTTCATCTTCAACGGCAACAGTGACTTTGCCGCCAAAATGATTAAATTTATCATATTTCGGCACTCTCCATACGAAAGAATTACTTTCTGAAGGTATTCTTGCTATTCGTGTAGTATTATATACAGGTAGACCATTTTTTGACGTAAGCAATGGTACTCCGATACTGAAAAAGAAGTATAATTTTCATCAAAATCATTAATAGGCTCTCTTATTTATCGATATAACGTGCATGAGATAATGACTTATCAGAATGACATACCTAATAACGAAAAATGTAACCTTTGCATTTCTCACAGTGATATTCCAGTTAATCAATATATTATCATCCTCTTGTCTCTCAACAAATACAGTAGGAATCGGTAACCATAAACTAGAATTGATGCAGCTACATTGATGCCCCACGCATTCCGGTACTGTGTATATCACCTGCAACATCCGGTTTCCGTTTTTGATTAATTTATTTCTAAATTGTCAACACATTTTGGCTTTAAAAATTTAAAGCGTATGAATATTGTTTATCCTGACCGTTGGTGATTTTAATTTGGGATTTTTCCTAGGATTCGCATGAACCTGTATACTGTATGTACAGGTTGGTATAATATTAATTTCTGGTATGACCGACATAAATCTATTTTCCGGAAGTAGTGCATTCAATTGACTCCGGTTCTTTGTTGTATAATAAAGAGAATCTTCGGGACAGTTTGCTGATTCTTCCTCGGTGCCATTTGAGACTGTCGTTATTAGAACGCTGCAAGAGCTTATATTAAGTAATAGAAAATGATTATTGAAACAAATTAATCTCAATTGAAATACCTGTATGAAGATGGCAACCTGCCCTTCTCTGGAGGTAACCAAGAAACGTTGAATTTTAATAACTCATACGTGGAATTGTCTTCAACCTGGATAACATCTTCAAACACAGTTACTGTCAGATCATGAGGTAGACCGACGGATTCAGTGATATTTTTACCAAATATTTTCGTAACATTTATGATTGTAATAATTAACAGAAGGCGAACCGTGTAGCTTTTAATTTTGATATGCGCTGACATCTCATTTTAAAGAAAATCAATTACATAAAAGAGTTATTCATTTTTGTGATTATTATACATACGAAATAACAAAGTAATACTTCATCAACTTGTTATGTAAAATTCACTTTAATCATATCACATCTCTCTATTCCTTATTGTTATTATTATTTTTAATCAACATCAGTATCAACATATAGCAATCGCATTATTAGTCACACTATTCTTTTATTTATGCGAATATATTGTTATTGAGTATATTAAAATCATTATGCTTCCTTAATCTTTGTCAGTTATCAAAGCCGATTGACAGCAATATAATTTCACTTTGTTCGCGCACAGAGAATTGAAATAAAATCCTTTTAAGATTGCACTACGTGTTTACTGCAATGACCACTACGTCGTATCTGGATAAATCTTATCTGATAACTTAACTACTGCCGCACAAAAGACTCGCCAATACCGTGGTAATTGATAAGAATGATATTTCGGTTTCATTAAAATTTTTGTAATTTATGAGATTCATTTTGAAATAAATATTTAATTGCATTTTTGAAAGTAGTAGGTTAGGTTATGTTTGGTTAAATTAATTTTTTATCATCTGATATCAAATATTTAAGGCAATCTATGAGCATCGAATTTGTCGATCAGCCTGCTCATCTCATATACGACTCATCTAGCACAAAATAATGTTGGACGTCTACAATATACACGTTCCTGAAACGTCCAAGAACCATAATATATATATGTATATCGTTTATCTGTCCAAGGGACGTTCGTGCTATGTGGGTATAACGGGTTATCTTTGTTTTACATTATACGTGGGTGTATTAAAAAGATAAATGTCCGATGTTTTCAAAACTACTAATCAGTAAGATATAGTTTATAATTAGGTCGATCTTTTTATGAGGTAAATTCAAAAATGATCCTTGAATTTACAACTGATCTCGGTAAACGGTCGCGTCATAGGAATAAAATTGAAATCTAAGCAAGTAATATTGAAATCTTTTGAATTGTTGTACAAGTGATTTTATTAGAATGATATTATGTATCTCTGATTTTCTTTTTCCAGCATATACGATTTTAACCAAACCAACAAATCGTGTACAACATTAAAAAATACTTCTACCTGATTAATTGATTAATCATTTCTATATTCTTCTTGTCTCTTTGTTTGTAGGAATTTTCAAATATGTGATAACTGATGATAGGTACATCATGAGGAATCTAAGCTTAGAAATAATTTATAATTTTTAGAGATCGTATGTAGTTTATTTAATTACCACGCCGAGGCGCGTCGGTTAGGGAAACGTAGACATTTGTATTCTAACCATTGTGAGCTTACTGTGCTGTCTAATTTAATATATAACAATAATTTTGTCCATTTTTCTCTTTTCCCCTTCGAGTGTAGTTTCTTTTATTCGGATCGTGCATGTTTTGACTGGGGATTTTACATTTATTCGTAAATCCAACCCTTATTCATATCGTTATTACGTACGATCAGCTGAGCATATTTTGTTGGTGGGATACTGTAAAGGTAACGTTGCACCAAAATATTTTAATTAATTAGATGGAGTAAAAAAACTGTTAGCATAAATGCTTGAACGATACTACGTAATATGCGAGAATGGAATTGTAATATTTTTTGTATAAGGTTTATTATAACCTATATTGTCGTTGATGATAGTATTAATTTACTTTCATTTACACTTGTTTTTACTAATCTTTATATCAAAATTAAAGGAAACAAATGGCCTCGGCTGCGATGTCACCTACAGATGACGACGAGTTGAATTTACCTCGTGCAGCTATTAATAAAATAATCAAGGAGATACTTCCCCATGTGCGAGTAGCAAATGAGTCTCGTGAACTCATCTTAAACTGCTGTACAGAGTTCATCCATCTGGTATCTTCGGAGGCAAATGACATCTGTAACCAGCAGCAGAAGAAGACTATAAATGCAGACCACGTATTGCTGGCTTTGGAGAACCTTGGTTTTGCTGATTATTGTACAGAGGCTGAGGTTGTGTTACGGGACTGTAAAGCTGTGGCAGCCAAGAAAAGACGACAGAGCACCAGATTAGAGAATTTGGGAATTCCAGAAGAAGAACTTTTGCGACAACAGCAAGAACTCTTTGCAAAGGCTAGGGAAGAACAAGCAGTGGCTGAACAGCAGCAGTGGCAACAGCTGCAAGCTGTTGCACAGATGGCATCTATGCAGCAGGCAGATAGCGAGCAGGAAGATTACTCTTAAGATTTTGTGAAAATACGTGCGTAATGGATAGGCTGGGATCTTGTTTTGTAATGGGCAAAATAGAGTAATTCATGTATATGAGGATGAGCGGCTCTCAAGCACATGTGGAATGAATTTGCTGATATTCATGTGTTCTATGCTGGGAAGCATAGTTTATTAAATTTATATTAAGGGATTGCATATAATTAACTCAGAATATAGCAGGTGCGCAACGTTTGCGAGTATTAAATTATATACTTTACCTGATCGTACAAATAGAACTGATTTACGCTTGGACTGGGATGACGAATAAAAACTACCAAATACAGCAGACCTTATTTTGTGATGGAAAACTAGTATATTTATGTGAGTCATTCGCCTGTCACTCTTTCAAAATTAAATAATTTCATTACATTTCGTTCATTAATTTAGTGGCAGAATTAAAAAACGGCTTCTTTTTCTGTAAATCTTCCTATGTGAGCAATTTTGAAAACGTTACTGAAAGGTGCACTGTATTTACTATGGCATTAGTCTTCCATATTCAGAGAAAAGATGACTTTTCTTTATAGCATCCATGACCTTTGATGCATAATGGTACCTTGATGTAAATTTATTTTGTCATTTAGTATGAACTTCGTAGATAATTTATTTATTTAAGTAATCTTGCACATACCAATTTTTCTCAGTCAGAGCAGTCGGTGTCATAGAATTTCGAGATACTCCATGTATTTTCATCCTTAATTTTTCTATAAGCTTCGTCTCATTTTCACGTAAGGATGGTTCATCTGAAATAGTATCGTACTGTTAAATAATATAGGCAATCTTATTATAAGTGAAAATACAATATTACCTTCTGTTGTCATATCTGGAATAAGGAATAAATTTAGTTGTCCCTCAACTGAGAATGAGCTCATGTCGATACTGCTATGAGTCTGTAGTCGTGAAGTGGCAAAGACTTTATTATAGAATTCCTTAAGAAAAATATAAAATTTTAGCATTTTAGTAATTCAGTTTAATATTTATGATTATTCACCTTCATGGTTTCTGTCATACTGGGCATAAAGTCTTGCAGTTCGGATTTATTATGCAGAAACAATAAGTGAGGGTAATACTCTATATAATCCTGATCCATAGTAGTTGAAGAAGGTTTCAGCATTTCAGCTGTTTGTAGAAATCTGAATCAGAAAAAAATAATGTGAAACGTCAATTACAGAGAATGAGGAATAAGTAGATTCAAAATTTTAGTTTTCTAATATCAATGGTAATTAATACCTGATTAAATTTGGGTCGACAAACCAGTCTTGGACAAATATAACAACATGACAAACAGAGAATAAAAATGCTGCGAATTGCAATGACTGTAATTCTAAATTGCTTTCTGAACTGGCAAAGTCATTAGATACTTTTTTCTGATCGAATGATCCTGAATGATCCATAAGAAATCCAGATAATATGGGCTGAGTATCTAAGTATATGACTCTGTTTTTGGTCACATAAAAGTCTATACCACTAGTGCAGTTAGACCCATTTTCGTGGTGTGATAAATTTTGGACAGGAAAAATATCTGGCCTGAAAATAATATATTATATCATTTGTGATAACTTCAAAATATATTTTATATAAGTGCATAAATGCTGACATGTAATTAGAAGTCAGGAGAGATAACACTGTAGATTTGCCAACACCTTGTGCTCCTATGCATCCAACTACCAAAAAATCCTGTTGATCATATAAGTAGTCTAATGGACTTTCACACAGTTGCATATTCTCATCAACAAATTTGACACAATTTGTCATTTCTATGCATGTTGATACAATAGTACGTGCTAAAATAATATATTGACAATGAATTATTATTTACTTTTATGAAAAGTAATTATTTAAATGCTTACAATCAGATGATTTTCCACCTAAACTGCATTGGTAATCTAATTCTTTTCTGAAATAGTCATAATAATCAATTACTTTGTGTAAGGTATTAATTAATATAAAGCAAAACTTTTATTACTTTGTCCCATTACGTTGACTTGGAGAAACTGCTCTGCTTTCACCCTCTCGTGTCTTTAATATAAAAGTTGGACGATCCACTACCTTGATTAAAGCTCTACTTTCATTGTCTTTAACATCCATGTCCTTTGACATAATTGGTATCGTTTTTCGTGAATTCATATCAATTTAATTAAATTTCCTCTAATGTATTGCAAAATGTTCTAATAAATTTAGAAAATTCTTCAGTTGTATATAACTTATATACTGCTCATAGCATATTGCCCATTTTAAATTACACCCGTCACACTCTGGAATTGGTACATTTATTTTATATTTTAACGAAGTAAAAAAGGATTGTTCATTGTTGAAGAATTATACACACGATCATGTCTTTTTTTACAGAATTTTGATATGAGCATCAAGTATTATCACGTCATCAAGAATGTATGTCAAAAGCGTCAATGATGTCAATAACCAAGTGAGTCAAGTTATGATTTTCTGTACTGAAAATCATGGAATAATGCGTAAAGAAGTTCTCCGCACTGCTCCGTACATCGTGTTGAACGTTGACTTAACCTAAAATTGTGTGGTACGTCAGGTTATATTAGGTCATTATACAAAACTGGTGAGAATTTATTTAAATAAATATTATTTATTACTTATTAATATTTATACTTTCATGGTGGTGTCTATTAATGTATACAAATAATGTATGGTGTTTGGAGAAAAGTTAGTACTAATTTTATAAAGAATCCTACTATTTTCGCTGCGTTTTCTTATCCCAGGATTGTGGGCTTATTAGGATATATTAGAACCATGTCATCAGAAATAAAAATTGGTACACATGATGGTTGTTTCCACTGTGACGAAGCACTGGCTTGTTTTATGCTGAAGCAACTGCCACGGTATAAGAACGCTACCATAGTCAGGTATACATATCCCTTCTCGTATGTTGTTATATAGGTTCATATTTATTGTTAGTATATATTCTGTATTTGTTATTCTTCTTTGCAGAAGTCGTGATCAGGCTATCTTGGATACATGTGATATTGTAGTCGATGTTGGAGGAGTGTATGATCATTCCAAACATAGATATGATCATCATATGAGGTACATATGGTCCATACGTTAACATTATCAAACTTATATGATATCATAACCATAGTAAGCTTTAAAATACTCGTAAATATTCTATTGTATTAATACTACTTTAATTGTTTATACAGAGACTTTAAAGAATCTGTAAGCACAGTGATTAATAAGCCAGGATATAATTGGACTATTAAATTAAGTAGTGCTGGTTTGGTATATTGCCATTTTGGTTTTGAAATTATTAAGGAATTAATACCTGAAGTGAACGATGAAACCGACATTAGCAATATTTTTAAGAAAGTCTATGATACATTAATTAAAGAAATTGATGCTATAGATAATGGTATCCCAATGTTTGATGGAGAACCAAAGTAAGGATGCAGAGCATATTAAATACCATTCAAATCTTATTTAACTAAATCAAAGTGACATATTTGTTTATTATTTATTTTAGATATTGCATAGTGACAAATTTAAGTGCTCGCGTATCAAGACTGAATCCTAATTGGAACAGTAAGGATTTGAATGTCGATGAGCAGTTTTATAAAGCTATGGCACTTGCTGGAGAAGAATTTTTAGAATTTGTAAACTACACAGCAAGAGTATGGTGGCCTGCGAGGGCTATAGTACGAGAAACTGTCATGAAGCGATTCGACGTATGTATCTCTTTATTTATTGCACACACAAACTCTAACTCCACGATTAGAAATATACTTCTCGAATGCAATAAAATAATTTGTAAGAAATTCAGTGATTATTTTCGTAATTTTTACTGATGTTTTTGAATCTGTGCCATTCAGACTAAAATTAGCGTTGCAAATATATTGAAGTAAAACTGGATCATAACTCGAGTTTGACTTACACTGTTACCCGTGTGCATTACATGCTTGCCCTGACATTTATAGGAATCTGAATATAATAGCACGTTAACGCATCACGGTGTGAGTGAAACATCAGCACTCTCCTATTGTCGCTGTAGAAAAATAAGAAATAGGCATTTCTATTCCCCAATCACCTCCTCGCCATTGTGCACCGAGGTCAAACAGTTACACTGCTGTGAGATTTGTTCTTATGATCCTACATACTCTCTGCAACAATCATTTTAATACTACTCCTAACCGTATGACAGGTCTTTGCAAAAATTAATTTTTAAAATTTCATCCTCTTTTTACAGGTTGACCCAACCGGTGAAATACTTGAATTGACGCAACGTGTACCGCGGAAGGACCATCTTTTCGAATTAGAAGAGGAATTGGGGTTAGGTCCTTTAATAAAATACGTAATCTTTAAAGACAAGTTTTATAGAGTGCAGGCAGTTCCAGTGTGCGAAGGTAGCTTCATTACTAGGTACGTATTTGTTTAGCAATGCTTCTGATATTTTATTTGTTGTGCAAATTCTAAATATTGCTCATTAATTTGCAGACTTTTTCTACCGAGTGCATGGGCTGGATTACGCGACGAGGAATTGTCAAGTGTTTTATTTTATTTATGAATGAATGAATTAATAATGTATGTCAATTTATATGAACTTGTACTTAATGCAAGATTTGACCACTAATATCTACTTTATCCATTGTACTCATCCATCATACTCATACTCATCCATTGTTTCTGCATATGATCAACGAATGTCACAACAAATTATTGAAAAGGGTTTCTATGCCAAAAACGCTCAGATTATAGAGATTAAGTTTGTACTCTGAGAACATCACACTTATTATTTAGTATATGACGTGTCGTTCTCTGAGTTAATATAGTTCAATGCAACTTTCCTTTATATCTGTTTAATATGTGTCGGTAAATTATCGAATGTTAACAAAAAATGTATGTTACCTTCGTTTATATTAATCATCAAACGCTCCGAATGATTAGAATTAGACATTAGACTGATTTTTGAATTCTATTCCGATTAGAAGATACATATAATATAACACCAAAGTATTAAAATTATACGCTTCGATCATTTAGAAGTAGGTATGCAAGACTGTCTCAAGTTACGCTTTGTAAATCCAGCGATATGACAGAATGTAAATAAACTAAATAACCAACCTGTTCCTATATAGTGTCTATACATAAAAACTAAATACTTTTTGTTTCAATACAATTTTTTAGGGTTATACTTACCTAATAAGAGTGTTTGTCTAATTTAAATTTAAATTACACATGTTTGTAGCGATTTATTAGAATAAATATTTTTGAGCGGTAGCGTTTGTCGCCCTTACTGCGCATGTGTCGAGCTGACCTTCAGATGTTCTGAAGGAAGGGATAGACGTTACGGGCTAGGATAGTTCTTATTAGTGTTTGAATGTCGGATTGAAGTATATCGTTATAAGTGTTGTGTGTATTATTTTTATTAATATATATTAATCGTAAGTTTATATTTAATTTATTTATTATATTTAATTTATTTATAATATTTATACTGTGCGTGTTAGTGTTCTATTTATTGTAACGCGTTACCCTCTTCGTGTCGCATTTCAGTGCATTTCGGTTTTAGCAGTTTTATTTTGAATTTTTAAGATGTACGATAAATTAATATTGAAAGCAATTTTGCTTAGCGAAGAGTGCTGGGCAGTGGACAATATTGGGAAACTGTATCCGCCTTCGGCCAATGTGTACAAGGTAATTTCCCAACGAATGAGAACGTAATTCGTATATATCCCCGAAGCACGTTTACGTAATTGTTCGGCAGAATCGAAGTGGATATAAAGATCTAATCCTAAACGCGTATTCATTGGCCACAAACGATGCGGATGAAAATGATCTGAGTGATGCGTTAGATTCAGCATCGGTCACAGGCCCTTCGAAAAAATTTGATTTATTTGTAGCGGCAGAAAAATGGTCTTTGATGAAGCCGGTAAATCGTACATACAATAACCAAAGTTACCTGGTCCTACAATCTGGATGGACGAAAATAATATCAGAGTTGTCGAGCCAACAATAGAATCTAAGCTGCGTATTCGCCTTAAAAAAACACAATGTGTACCGTACGGACAGAGCTCGGTGCTATGTCTCAACGAAGGGTGCATGTATAAAAAGTGGAGCCGCGTTAGAATGTATTTTAGTTAAAGAGCCTGTCAGCATCGATTCGGATGTCAAATTGTTATGCCGCCTTAACAATTTCCAAGCGCAAAAGCATGGAACTGGGAAAAGAAGACAAGTTAAGGGTAAACGTCGAGAAGAAAAGAAAGAAAAACTTATTGTAAAATTTAAATTCAGTCACAAAAAAAAATTAATCCATCAAATAAGATATAAGGTGGATGACCCAGTCTTCGGCCATGTACCAGTATCAATCGACGTTCAACCGAATTCTTGCCGATACTGGCAGCCTGGAAAAATAGACATATATTAACATAGGATTTAATACTCCTAACCGTATGACAGGTCTTTGCAAAAATTAATTTTTAAAATTTCATCCTCTTTTTACAGGTTGACCCAACCGGTGAAATACTTGAATTGACGCAACGTGTACCGCGGAAGGACCATCTTTTCGAATTAGAAGAGGAATTGGGGTTAGGTCCTTTAATAAAATACGTAATCTTTAAAGACAAGTTTTATAGAGTGCAGGCAGTTCCAGTGTGCGAAGGTACCTTCATTGCTAGGTACGTATTTGATTAGCTATGCTTTTTGATATTTTATTTGTTGTTCAAATTCTAAATATTGCTCATTAATTCGCAGACTTTTTCTACCGAATGCATGAGCTGGATTACGCGACGAGGAATTGTCAAGTGTTTTATTTTATTTATGAATGAATGAATTAATAATGTATGTCAATTTATATGAACTTGTACTTAATGCAAGATTTGACCACTTATATCTACTTTATCGAATAATTTTTCGGTTAATATTTCGTATAATCGTCTGCAACACCACTGCGATCCTACATGAAGCAATTCTCCTCCACTATAAACTCACGTACCGTGCAGGATGGATTAAATGAATAAACCACGATATTTATATATAGATTTCGTAAAATATTATACTTTAATATTTATTTTATCCGTATAAGTGACATCGGATTTTGCGATATCAGTTCCACAGAGATTCACGAAGGCTTTTCCCACGTAGCATTCTCAATAGACATGGTAGTCAGTCTGAATCTTATGGGGTCACATATAACAAGTGTCTAGCTGAATATCCTGGAGTAATATATAGTCATTCCATTCACCAGTAGTGAACAGCATGGGCGGTCTTGGCGGCTTCATGGGCATGAGCAGCAAGATGGGCGGCCTTGGCGTGAGCGACCTCAGGGGTGTCAACAACACGTCCATCATGTCCGATGGGGGCACCATGAGCGTATCCATGAGCGTAGACAGGAGCAGCAGCATAAGCAAGGGCAGGGGCACCATAGGCATGGACACCATAGCCGGTCTTAGCAGCCTCCTAGAGATCAAAGAATAATATATATCAATACAATATATATATACATATGTATATATATAAAAAAAAAATAATACTCAAACTATCCTATAGGCAGTTCATTGAAGATATTTCTATGTAAGGGGTAGTAACTTGCTACATACATGAGCATGTGCGGCGAGGTGGGCGGCCTTAGCGTGAGCCACCTCGGGGGTGTCTACGACGCGTCCATCATGGCCGATGGGGGCACCAGCGTGGTGATATCCATAGGCAAGAGCTGGGGCGTAGGCGTGGGCACCATAACCATGAGCAACTGCAGGGACTGCACCGTAGGCAAGGGCTGGAGCGTAAGCGTGGAGATTCCTGGAAGCTTCATGGGCATAGGCAGCCAAATGGGCAGCCTTAGCATGAGCTACCTCGGGGGTGTCTACGACGCGACCATCTAGACCAACGGGAGCTCCTGCATGGTAACCATGGTAGGGCACGACAGCGGATGCCAGGTAACCAGGACTGGCTACAGCCACGGCGGCAAGGGCGGACAGAATGATCTAAAAGAAAATAATGATTTTCAAAATAAAATCCATCACGGCGAATTATACTCCAAAGTTATACAATTCTGCGTATAATACAGATTTTTTTCTTGGATTTAGAACTTTGTTCCTATTCGTTTCTTATGGAATTTTGAAAATTTCACTTTTTACTACTTTACTTAATTTTTACTTACGAAAGCCTTCATGGTTAAGATTTAGTTAGCGCTGCTGGATTTCCAGTACTCGCTGACAAGTGGACTGTTATGCTGTACCGTGGAATTGTTCCCCTTTATATATGTGAATCTGGCAGGAGTTCTCAATTGGGGGAAGACACGCCCTGTAGCAAGTGCTATTCGTAAACGGATGACATTGACATTACGACGTGGAGCCCAGAGGCTCAAAGAACCTCAGGCGAACGGGATCCTTTTTACACCAGCCTCCAACAATGCTTTGAAATTATCCGCTTCCGAATGTCGAGGTCAGAAGTTGGGCCTCAGGCAAAATGGATTTACTGAGCCAGATCTTTGATCTTTGCTAATACATTTGTATACATATAGATTTTTGGGTACCTACACGAGATCCAAAAATCAATCGTTACCTGAACGTATAATTTATTATTTAGCGATCGAATTATTTATTTTATGTAACTCATGCATGAAAAACACTACTTTTCGTGTCTCCGAAGTGTGGCGAAAGTGGCGCTTTATATCTGTGGATACGATAAAAATGCTGCGCATGCGCAAATCGGCCCAATTTTACATTATCGCACTAGTGCTTTCTACTCGCACTAGTGCGATAAAGTAAACTTTGTTCTCGCGCGCTGTCATGAAATGCATTCACTTTGGAAGCCTTCCTTGCTCTTCTTATGGCTGCCTCCTCGAACGAAGAGATATTCCAGTCACTTTGGAGGCACAAAAAGTAGCGTTTTTCATGCATTCGTTACAGAAAATATTATGCGATACTGGTACAATAAAGCGAACATTATACGCAGTTCGTGAAGTTTGTCACACTCGCCGCACTCGTAAAACAAACAGCACTCGTCTTCGGCTCGTGCCGTCGTGTTACTCGTGTGCGGCTCGTGCGATCAACATCACCGCCTGCCTATAAAGTTCGCTTTCTCGCACTTGTATCGCAAAGTACTATTGTTAAATGTTCTAGACATAGCTATACTATAGTATAGTCGGTCCACTAGTTCGATATGTTTTTTTTTTGACAAAGAAAAAACAATGAAGTTTTTATCGAGATTTACGTGCCATTGAATAAAATGTTTATTTTTTCTCTACTTTAATATATATTCACATTAATTTATGGAAAACCATGTATGATTTGCCACGTATTGCAATGTTTGCGAACTGTAAAGAAATACTTTTAACTCGTTGACCAACTATAGATTCTATTTCTTTAAATAAATTTAAAATAATTCCAGTTTAAATCCTTTTTTTTCATATTTCACTTAATAACTGGTCGTACTCACAAGACGACCATGAAATTCATAACTATGCATATAAGTTATATGAACGTTAATTGAATTTGAAGTTTCGTATGAGTAGCCCCACCAAAATTGGACCGATCTATGTTGCGATCGAGGTCAAACAATTCTGACAGGTTGATTGCCTGTAGGACAAATCCTCGATTATGTTCCCTATCGTACGATCCTGTTGTTACATATATTACATGCAGAGATAAGTAGGGAGATGCACAACGCTATGTATGTACTATGTGTAACATGCTCTTGTAACTTTAAACGCGCTTTTCTCAAAACTACGTTTTTAAAGTCGGTGTGAACGATTTCTCGGAAACGGCTGAACCGATCGTTCTCAAATTTGTACACAAGCTTGGTAAATATATTTTTTAGTGATTAATCGAAGGTTTTAGGAGGGTGGTAGTTCAATAAAAAATAATAAGCATTAGCTTAAATTTAAGGTGATTGGCAAGGGTTGCTCTGGGAATCAGCGGTAAACTTTGGAGAACCTCTGCCGGCCAGGCTACACGTTCGTAATCACGTTCAGTTCGGCTACGACGGGATATGCATTACCGACGGAGGCGGTGATCACAAAATCCTACTCCCGGATTCGCCGCTACGATTTAGCGCCATACTTTTGGTATCGCCTAAAACCATAGCGTTGTGCATTTTATCACATTACATGGATATTACAAGGACGTCATTCGAAGTTATCACCACAGGATAAAAGGTAATAAGAGAAATTTAATCGGATATTTTACAATAATGTAATACTATTATTACTACTAAAAAGTATCTCATATGCATACTGTAAGAATAATAAAAGCGAATAAGATAAATACGTACATTCTCCATAGTATCCAGACTATAGACAGTCCGAGCATACCTTCGCGTAATTCCAAAGAAACGAACATAACCTACGTTAAACATAAAGCAAAGTAAAAACAATAAAAGCAAGTGAAATATATTATTAAGAAAAAACACGAAACACAGATCCTCAGGATCCAAGGTAAGAAAAAGTATTAATTTTCTTATGTACCAATAAAGAATTCCTTTCATCAAGACTAATCACCAAGGTCCTTAGAATCATGATATATCCTTCGAGTCCTTCAATTCCTCTATGAGATAAACCGAATCGAATCTATGTATCTATTGATCACTTAATATAATGTGGATCGAATTCACGACTGTTTTTTTAACTAGCACCAAGTCGAACAGAAGCCACGAACGAAATTGTAGTTAATTTAGCGAAGCCCGAGGCGAACGTCGCCAAAAAATGTCGACCATTAATAACCATTGCGTGGCTCTAGTGAGTTACGGTATTTTCGAGGGGACTCGTGCCCAATTCAAATGACGTTTATTAGTCGTTTATTACACATGTAATTTATTATTTTTCTGGTAATTATTATTCATAGTGGATATTTCAACACGAAACTTATTGAGTGTCAAAAGTAATGAGAAACACGACGGCAATGGACATGTTCATTTTATTTTTCTATTCTATCTTCGTCGTAGAACATATACGTCCGTTACGCACGCACGGACGTCTGCATTCACGCGTGCAATTCCGCCATTATACGGTGCGGTAAAGGAATTGGAGTTTTTTAAAATTATTTTTTCTATCTCTCTCTATGTCATACCTCTTTTTAGTTTTTTTCTCCCTTTTTATATCTCCCTTCAGAAAAATTACATTACGACAGTAGCTTATGTCGACATATGAATACGTAACATATTTTAAAAATTATTTCCTATAATTTTGTTTTCTATATTATTATGGAAAAGTGAGTCACTGCGTTTTTAGTATTGTATAAACAGGTTCATTTAATGATCTAAGGATTCATCGGTCGAAGGAGGTGATATAATAATAATCAGTCAAATATTCACGATAAATCGACGCACTGTTGAAAGATCTATGGATCGGTTTAGAGACCTTTAACGTTAGTATATGTAGGCGCACATTCATTGCGTGGGTCGGTGGAATTTATCTTGATTAGTCGCAGCGTCAGTTTATCGATAATTACACGTGCTCACAGATAATCATAAAAGTTTTAGTTATTATTAATATTTATGTCAGTTATGTAATAATTTCATTGTCTTATCGGAAATTCCGATGGATTATTTAATCAACCCGGTACATGAAGTTTAATTAATTGGAAAGTTCATTAAAACATTCTGATAACACCTTACGAATTATTGACCCTGTTACCTCGAATTCAAAATATCACTTAAATACAATAAGACTAAAAACAGTATTCCCAGACGTGATGTCTAAGCGCGGGAAAACCCAATTTTTCAAACGTATATGTCAAAGACTATTTTTTCTTGTCAATTTGGTATGCATAATATTACACGATTTTCTGCGAGCTGATTAGTCTTTCTCAAAAAAAAAACATAAAAATGTATCAGGTAACAATAAGTTCCTGGTAGAAATCCAGGAAGATCTTTCGGATCCTGATCCAGTAGATCCGTAACACGGCGCTACTTTATATTTATATACCAAAGATGCGTGTATACGTGTATCGTGTCCATTCTGGTTCACCAATCCTATCAAATCTTGTTGTTACCAGTTTGCTCTTATTTATATCTCAACTTTGGATCGTTTCTCTCTCTCTCTTTCTCTCTATTCTCCCATTCTTACGTCACTTGACTGTCAAGGACGCCAAGCATTTCCGCATGGCAGCAACAGCGGCAACCGCCAAAATTCTTCTCTAAATTGTATATATGTTCTGTATATATACATATGCATATAATATTATTCAGAATGCAAATGCTTAAAAACATATATTCAATCTCATATCTGTATACATATACGTTTCTGAAAAATGCAGAGCATGCCAATTTTGGAACGACATGTACCGGTGTACACGGTAAAAAAAATTTGTTTGAAATTTAATATACCTGTATATAAAGCTCAGATGCATATACTGTATATTAATTTTCATATGCATTTTTGTCTCAGATATAAAGTCGAGGTACACTGGGAATTGGTAGGCACCTTTGAAAATAATAACATAATATGTTTGGATTTCGAACACTCTTTGTTATTGTTGCAACCAATGTGCATAAAAATTTATGTACGAGTAAATCTTTCTTCTCACGATCTGTATATTATTTGTTATATGCCTACTTCTCCAATATTTAAGGATACTGTATATTCGAGTGTTGACTTTTAATATTCTACATTGAATTCAGCAAACCGGTCTATCAATTCTAACGTAAGGTAAACGGCCCTGTTACTGACACTAATGCAGATCGTGATACCGATGGCATAATTTTGACTGCCATAAATACAGTTCTTGTCGAATAGTAATTCAATTATCGGTTAATTAAAAAGCGTTTTTCATTTTATGTTATTAGAGAAACACACTGTTTTTAATGAAATATTTTAGAATAGAAGTTGACTAGTAAATAGTACAACCCGCGTCTCGGTGGCTACGATGGCAGTAGTTGCGACAATATACGTCGTTGTGAATTTTGTTCGTCATGTAAGTATAAAACGACATAAAAATTGTGTCAACATCTTCAGCAGGAACCAGACTATCGATGACATGAGAAATTATTTAACTTTTGCTTAGAGATTCCTTCAAATTCGCGGGATCATTAAGTGCGTCAAATAATTGAGGTAGTGTTGCTGTTGTTGACTCTGATTTGTATGGGGATATTCGGAAGTGTCAGACAGTGGGTACGCGCAGGTGTCATAAAGTGCTCCAAGGGGGTCATAAATCGGGTACACCCAGGGATAACAAACTACGACATAGGTGTTTCTCGAGTGTTAGAAACCCCGGTAGCAAAGAAGCGCTTTTAAAACAATAATTTTATTAATAAACCTTAATTGTTCCACTTGTATAATAGGTGAATCTCATTCGGAACACTTTAACGCACGTGTTGAAATCTTTAGTTTCCAGTTTGGCTATATTACGCGTCAATAAATAACAAAAATCCGACACGGACGCTGTTAAAGAATCACTAACTGGGCTGTTTACCTGATATTATTTACAATGACGTATGACGATTTTGGCCACTTAGCTCTTAGAGTGAACCAGGGTTTGGAACGGTAAACGGAATAATTGTGTTACAGTAATTATGACACGTTGTTTCGGGTTAACTTTTCTCACTTAACATGATTCGAGTATCTACTCGGTATCTCTGGGGTCCATTAAAATCGAAGGGTTTAACAAAATAGGAAGAGGAGCGCCTATCAAAATCAAAGTCTGTCAAAATCTGTCGGAGTCTTTGAACTGTTGGGAACGGTTAATTATCCTCAGGGTATTCCGATTCTGCTTGCTCCGACTCGCTCGTATATCCCTGTATTGTTTAGGGGCTCTTGTCATACAATGATCTCGTTAATTTACTTGTAATATGATTTTTACTCCGAAAATGAAATATTAATATACCGAGTATAAAAATTAAATATCGGATATATAAATTTTCGTTTATATTTTCTAAATTTCCTGTACGGACTAGTAAATTAACCATCCATTCTATATTATTTCCTGGTTGGTATACCGAGTTCGCGAATTGAGAACGCTTTGGGATATTAAACTCCCTCAGAGTTTTCAGATACGCTGTTGCTTTATTTTTCAAATCCAGTGACTGAAATATAAAGAACCTGACCGACACGTTTAAAATACATGTAAATATCAGATTCCAATTCGTATATAGAATTTACGAAACTGTATATTTATTTTCAGGCACAATTATTTTAGTGGTCAAATAATATACACACATTTTAATTTTCAAATTGTGATGTCATACAATTCGTATAATATTCTCGAATTTACGACAAAAGTATATTGATATGAATTTCATATACCTGTGTCGTAAATTCCATGGAGTTTTGTATAGTAAATTTACCAACATTTTTAACAGTGAACTATATAGTTCAAATGACCAAGGCGTATCTTTTTTCGGGGAAGGTCCCACAAGATCCTTTGTATCCCGGCTTAGACCGATCTTGAGGCTAAAAAAAGAAAGTAAAAGAAACTAATTGTTCGCGCTGTTCTGGGCGTTTGCAAGTCATCGAAATCATACCGTGAAATTCCTAAAGTTTTTTTTTTAAGTGATAAAATTGACTTCGAAGAAAAGTGGTGTACCTGCCTACTCATTTATCCACCTACTTATTTGCTGTGCTAATACATATACATGTATATGAAATATGTACCTAGGTATATAGGTGAATATCTATTTCGATTTACGTGAGTGAGGAAATTTCGTGGTGATAAATCCAATGTGGAAAGTCGTTGTCGATCGTATGTTTTCGTAAGATGCAATCTGTGTCAGGCGATTTCTTTTAGCTCGGGAAAACTCTATACTCGTTAATACGGTGTTGCATGTATGACCTGAGTCTATTTTCTTTTCTTTTAATATATTTTAGAATTTAAATTGCCTAAAATTATTTTGGACGTATGACAATGGAGACGGTACTACTACTTGGTTCATTGATGAATGTAAAAACATTGGCGACAAAGGTGTGTCTCTTGTTATGTGTCAGTCCAGAGGCGGATATTACTAAAGAATGTCTATTGTATCCTGTCGATTATTTATTATGTCATAACCATACCAACGATACTGTTTGGTAAGTGATTTAAAGAAAAATCTTTTTATTTCATAATCTATAAGTGATCCTATGGAAAAGGTCGTTGAATAAAATGATGAAAATTCTGATAATCATATTATGACTCTAGTGGTGTCTATTGTAACATTCAATTTGAATGAGCTGCATAGAATATTAATTAATTTTCTATTAATAAAATTATAAGAACGACCATGAATCATTTTACTCTTTATGATGAGTTATTGTTTCGGAATTTTTCTTGCGTCTTATCGCAATCTGCCATACCGACGTGTCGATCATGCATGACGTTACATTGGCGACAGTTGAGCGCTGTCGCCTGCGAAACTATCACGAAATTATCAACGTGCCGGGACGTTTTGGGATTTTCTATTGTTTGTGGTTAACCTCTGATTCTCAATCGTTTGCGGCCACGTCTTGCGACTTGTTGTCGTTGCGTTGTAAGTCGCCCTGTTGCAAATCGTAAGTTAATTTCTTATGAAATATAAATAGTCGCTTTCAAGCGAAATTTTAGAAATGATCAGAGCATCCCCGATAACCAATAGAAAAATTGCTTTCAAGAATCGAAATTTCATGTTCAATTGTCAAATAGCAATAAAGTACAGAATTCTGTCACGTACTGTGAAATTCTTGACGCAGTCAGAGCGTGATATTAGATTCGAAATTATTTAACGAGAAAAATACAATAATATGTAGTGAATTTAGCATTGTTATGATTAATTTAAAAGTATGGTCAATTTAAGTTTAGTGGATTTTTTTTGTCGAGATATTTATTTTCATAGTTGGACTGCAATCGGGAAAATATCAAAAATAGGTTATATTCCATCTGTTAAAATCGGAGTCCGATGTCACGTCTCGACTGTAGCCAAGCGTGTCACGTAACGATGTCAATATGAAAACATACTGCAGTCGTGCATCTACTCAAATTCATAGGACACTCGAGGAACTACAACATGAGTGCAGTTTGAGTTTACTTTGACTCCAATTGGTTATATGATATTGCAACAATGACCCAAGTGCATTGCTAAACTTTGTACGCAATTCATGTTCACATAGGCCCTTACTCATACCTCTCTTTTAGCGTTAAGTGACGTCTATTAGTCGTTAAAAGACAGCAGATAGCAGTCGATAAAAGACGTCTCTTAACGCTAAAAGAGAGGTATGAGTAAAGGCCATAGACTTTGTCCAGTTAACGTCTGAGTGTGTAATAGGCTAAATATATGAAAACTGAACAGAATGTAAGATAAAAATAGATTTGCGTTACCTGTCTTTCTAACTCGTTCTATTCCTTTCAATAATAATGTGCGAGGCAATTGAACTTTCTACGTATAAGAAAAGGGAATAGGAATTCCATGAGCAATGAACAATAAGAAAAAGCAGGTGTAACGGGTCAGTATGGTTTATTTATAAACTTAAAACCTAAGTAACACCTTAAAAAATATTGCAATGGCGGTATCGATGGGAAGTCAGTGAGTTTAGGTTCACCATTTGTAACCAGCTGGCCCATGGGCCTCATAAGCACCGTAACCATGGGGTGCCTGAGCTGCAGCGTGAGCATGTGCAGCTAAATGTGCAGATTTGGCATGAGCAACCTCAGGGGTGTCGACAACACGGCCATCATGAGCAAGAGGAGCAGGTGGTCCATGATATACATGGGATGCAGCGTGTTCATAGACAGTAGGTCCAACTGCAGCGTATCCATGTCCATAACCTTCGTCATCGGCGGCATCATAATGGGCATGAGCAGCAGCGTCGGAATGGGCCGCAAAATGTGCAGCCTTGGCATGAGCAACATCGGGGGTGTCGACGACGCGTCCCTGTGTTACAAAAAAAATATATTATCATAAACAATGGTTACTAATAAATGATGTAGATAATTGTTATTAAGTTTTTCAGTGATAGCAACAATTATTTTAAAAATTATACCGTGTGGTCCAGGGGTGCAGCAGGACCATGGTATCCGTGCCCAACATGAGCAATCTTATTGATGTATTCTGCAGGTACAGAATAACCATGGGCACCACCGTGACCATCACCTTGACCATGTCCATATTCATAACCATCATCAGCATAACCACCATAAGACGCCTGGGATGCAGCTTCCGCGTGAGCGGCTAAGTGTGCAGCTTTTGCATGTGCCACTTCGTCAGTGTCCACGACGCGACCATCATGCGCCAAGGGTGCAGGTGGTCCATGGTATCCATGAGCAGCGTGACCATAAGAATATCCTGGCTTGGCCATGGCGACCATAGCCATTGAAGCTAGAACCACCTAAAAGCAAAAAGCAATATAACTGATACAAGGATGAAGCTAAATATTGCATAAGAAATTATAAGCAGCTTGTTTAATCAACTTTGATGACTTTATCAACCCTTAATATTTTTATTGGATAAATTAAAAAAGAAAATTTTATCCTGCTGAAGTGTATTCCGGTAACTGACAAAACTCACAAGAAACTTCATGCTGAATTTCATCGAGTACGGAGATTGGGTGTGTCTGGCGTAATAATTCTGTTGGACCAAGCGTTTATATACAAGAGTTCATAATAATTGCTCAATATGGTCTCCCACTTTACTACCCCAGGAGTTTAGTATACGTACTACGTATGTATAGTGTAAATAGTAGTTCGTAAGGACCTGGCTAGGAATTGAAATTTCACGGATCAACGTGAAAGCCCACAGAGCACTGTGGGCTGGGTTCCAAATCCAAAGGTCCCTTGTCAGAAAAAGGAAATTTCTTTTTAACTTGCCACTCTCCACCATTATGTACATTGAAGACTAATTGGGTTGGAATGTCGAATGTGAATTGTTCATACATTCCTGGCGAAGTATAATAGATTCATATAAATTCCTGGTTTCCCTAGATACAGGCCTTCCCTAGATATGGCCTTTGATAGGTTAACCAAAAGTTTGGTTAGGTTAGGTACTTGTACAAATGGACTATAGTCTCTCAGTACTAAGAGGGACGATGGAGGTCATTTTAAATTATAATAATCTTTCCGACAGGGATCTTTTGGTTTCTATTATTTCTAAATTACTGTAATTATTTTAAGTTTAGTTGTACACCGTCAGGGACGAATCGGGAATTCCTTAATGAACTTAATTAGTGCCGAGTGCAATAGAGCGTTCCTTAAGGATTCTATTACTAAGCTTCCCCTCTCTATTTCGTAAATGCTCGAACGTTGCGATGCAAGTTCATTAAAAGTGATTTATATTTTATAATAGCGAGGCATTGTGCGACGTCATGTGCGCGTGACGGAATTTCGATGCCCTTCGAATGGCGAACGGCGAGAGATATTCTTCCTTAGCCAGGTAAGTTTTAAAGAGACGAGAATAAATACACAAATAATTATTAAAAATTTTCATTAAAAATTACAGAAATCAATGAAATTAGTAAGAGAGATGAAAGAAAAAAAAAAGAAAAGTTATAACGTTTCATCATTAACCGCGTCGATTTCAAATCAATCACGTGATTGGATGTCGGTATATTACAATCTGGCAGAAAATGATAATTAGAAATTTTCAGGAAAGTGTCTGTGTGTCTTGTAAGATCTCTCCAATCAATATATTATCTTGCTCTATATATATTTATATATATATACATATACACTCAATCCCTAACCTGTATCGGTCAATTATCGAAATACGCATGCCGATCGAAAGAGTGGTGCCGCCATGTTTTCTATTGGACATTGTATAACGCGACTCTGATATCTCACGACGACAATGCTCACGTTTCGTTATTGACGCAATGATTGCGTTCTTACTAATATCTAAATTCACTCGGTTTAGTGTATTGTCTAGTTTCAGTATTTACTCTCTCTCTTTCTTTCTCTATATCACTCCCTTGAATTCCTTTGTCTCTGTCTCCCTCGTACTTATGCACAACCCATGCTACCTTTCTTTCTTGCTCATTCGCTTCCTCGTCAGCCTATTACCAAATATTCCTCACAATATGTGAAATGTCAATGTTATCCAGGTCTACGTGAAACCACCATCGTGGTACCAAGGTAGTCGCTACTGGTATCGTTGCAGTGGGGTGCCAGTGATAAGTGAACGGTGCACCACCACTTGGTAGTATTTTTCCTCTGCCTATATATAAACGGGCCCCTTCTGTCCAAACAGTCAGAGAAAACGGTCCAGCCGAACCAGCAAATATGAAGTTCCTGGTGAGTCCGATTCTGGCAGTAATTAAAGATCTAGTATAAAGATCTATAGAGATCGATCGATGAAGCACGATAATTGTTCATTTAACTAATAATAATTTTCATCATTTTCAGATTGTCCTTTCATCCCTTGTCGCAGTGAGTCTGGCTCGTCCCAGCTACGGCCATGGATATGGATTAGTCCCAGTAGCCCATGGTTACCACGGACCAGCCGCACCCCTTGCCCACGACGGAAGGGTAGTGGACACACCGGAAGTTGCTCATGCCAAAGCCGCTCATTTTGCTGCCCACGCTGAGGCCGCTGCTCACGCTCATTATTCCCCAGCCTATGGTCACGGAGAGGGTATCTTTGTAGCTGCACCCGCTCATGGTTACGCTGCACCTCATGGCTACCATGGACCTGCTGCACCACTTGCCCATGATGGACGTGTCATCGATACCCCCGAAGTAGCCCATGCCAAGGCTGCCCACTTCGCTGCTCATGCCGAAGCTGCTACCCATGCTCATTACGCTCCTGAGTATTCCCATGGTGGTGTCCTGGTCGGTGGACCTGGTTATGGCTATGCTGCACCCCATGGCTACCATGGACCTGCTGCACCTCTTGCCCATGATGGCCGCGTCGTCGACACACCTGAAGTAGCTCATGCCAAGGCTGCTCATCTGTCTGTGCTTGCTGAAGAATCCGCCAAGGCTGCCCATTACGGTGGTCATGGTCTTCATCATTGGTGATTCCTTGTATGATGACGATCTGGCTGTCACCTGTTCTACGCTTATTTCTACCATGAAGTTTCAATAAATTGTACAAAAAGTTAATACCCATTCTCCGTGTATTGATCGACCTTCGTACCACATAAGCAATTCCTTTAACATACCTAGATACAGGAGATACAGGAGATAGAGGACCTTTCTAGATTTCATTACTTCAGACTCGGCCCTGAAAGGACATTATCATTCTTTCGTGATACGACTAAGCGATACAGGTGTGCGTTGACTGATAAATCTAGTTGAAGGGATAATTTTTCAAGTCTATATGAAATATCGTAAAGATCTGTTTGCAACGTTGTCGGGATCGTCGATTAAAAATTGTCTTATCACCTTTCGTGCATTGTGAACGTGCACGACACGCACTGTGCTCACGCTATATCAATACGACACACGACCTGGTCGCTGAACCAGGACGTCGAGTTACTACAGTTATACATAACTATTGTTACTAACTAGTTACACTTGCTAGTTTTAAATACCGCACTGTTTTGTTTCTATCATAAAAGATTATTCTGGACCAACTTCTTCTTCTATCAGCTTCCGTTACTTTATTCATGATCCATTCAAGCACAGGACTGACTTTGATCCTATAACCCATTAATAATCATTATATATCTATATCAGACTAGTCAAACACGTTCGTTTACTTTTACTAGAATGCATCTAATCACATGTATAAATCCATTTAGCACAAGATCGTGCTAATTTGTCTGGATCATGTTGGAGATCAGCAGTTTTCCTGCCACAAAGCAGCACCCGTCAAGGTCCTAACCATGAATGGAAATAGCCTAACGGCGCTTAGAATTATTTCACATCTAACGGGCGTCCGGAAATCAATGATAAAATGTAGGAAGAACGACTCAAGTACAAAATCATATAGAACGACCTCGTACAGGCTGGGTGGTTCGAAATGGTACCGGGATATCCTGATGAGAAGAAATTAATACAATTTGTAACAGTCATTAGGAATGATCTTCATCATGTATTAATTAGATCTTAATGACAAGTAATGAATTCGTTTAAAGAAATCGCATCAGTTAGCGTCTATTTTTAATGGTTGACCCAGATTTTTTTTTTGTAGTGATTATTCTTAATATGGACCATGAATCTAGTCTGCATTCCTAATCATCAGCAGGGTGACTTCCTGTATTAGATGGTAACGGATAGACGATGTATTAATTATTATCAAGATGGAAATGTCAATGTTAATCAATGCTATGTATATACTGGTACACCTATTCAGAATTAATGGTTGCATTAAAGACAGGCACTCCGGTAGACTTGCATTATACATAAATGTTACAGGGCAGGGCATAAAGAGAGCATTTTCTTGGGTGTGGTGGCGATCGGGTGGGGTGATCCTGGCGATAGAAGCCAACCTATAAATTGGACGATCCGCTGCACCACCAGACATGCAGTACCAACGTGCAACAAGATCAGGATCACTGTGAGATCAGCTACCATAATCCAGGATCGTCATAGACGTGACAGAGCGACATGAACGCACTTGTGAGTACTTGGTGCCATCATCCTCTTCGTTACCGGAAACTGTGAAGTGAAAGTGCTTTAGGGTGCTTTATAGAGACTTGTCGTAACGTAGGAGAAAATATTATGAGACTTTCACTTGTTAAATTATTAGCAAGATTTTATGTGACATTTATTATACATATAGATATATTGTGTGAGAATTTTATGATGGAATTTATTAATTTTTTTAATTGATTATTGAGTTGGCTGTACTTTTATTATTGATATTTTATGTATTGTTATATATTAATGTTTTGTATGGTTATTATTATGCACATGTATTATTCATTGATCCATAGATCATATTAGCTGCTGTCCTTAGCGTGGTCTTAGGGGCTCCACAATGGTATGGTGGACCTGCAGCTTATGGGGGTCATCCTGGTGGTCCACCTGCTCCTCTGGGACCGGATGGACGAGTGGTGGACACACCGGAAGTCGCTCAGTTGAAATCTGCTCATCTGGCAGCTTTGGCAGAGGCTAATGCTCGGGCTCCTAAGGTACCTGGTGGTTATGGTGGTCCTGGTCCCGCAGGAGGTTATGCTGGTCCCGACGGTGCTTATGCTGCGGCTAACTACATTCCTCACTACAGGTCGAAAATTAGATACTGTGTATAATGCGATATCAAAATTAAATTAAAAAACTTGATCTTACCTGTATAACAAAATTTTTATTTCAGTGGACCACCAGCTCCACTTGGACCGGATGGTCGTGTAGTTGATACTGCGGAAGTCCAGCAGGCAAAGGCAGTGCACTTCTCACTTTACAATGCAGAAGCCCAACGTGTTCCCTCAGGACCTGCTGAACCTGGTCCAGCATCCTGGAATCCCGGTTACGGTGGAAGCTGGAACGGTGGCTGGAATCCTGCTCACAATCAATACTAAATGATTGAATCGGCCATAGCCATTGATCGAGGAGTCCTTAATGAATATTAATCTGCGGAATAATAATCATATAATTGGATCTTCATCTAGATCTTTCGTAACATAAAAATTCACATATCTACCTCTAACGGAAGACTAGATTGATCTTATAAAGAATTACTCTTTCTCTCTATCCCTTAAATATGTAACGAGTTTCTTTTTCACGTGTTGGCCATGAACGACATACTATTTTTAACAACACTGCCACGCATACCACCACATACAAATACGCAACGAACAATCGACCCAATACGGAAACAAAAAAAAAATTTTTAATTTATTACACAGATTGTCCCACAGATACCAACGTGCTAACTCGTTTTACTTGGTTTAGAATTCTCGACCAATGAGCTATCAAATCTTATTTCATGGATCTCTACCTAATTACGTTACTTATACCATATTATATAAGCACGCTATAACAAGTCGAATAGTTATACCAACCTATTCCATAATGCATTTCCACATTTCTTTCCATAATAGAAAATAGAAAATGCATAAAATATATACATATATACGCAAAGGAAAATACATATTTTATCAGAAATAAAATAAACCGCTCTATACGCTGCCGACTGAAATTTTCTCTTTATTTATCATACGATAATTCCATTCTACATTATATCCTTAGTAATCTCTCCTCTAACCTCGCCTTTCTATTATATAAAATATTTTCATTGACCAGGTCATAGGTCACTATATATGTCCGTATTCATTTGAATATCAATCCTATAATAATTCATTATCACAGACTCACAGTCAAACCAGTCTAATCTCGTTCTGCGTCACAGACGACAGCTTGAATGGTGCGCAAGGACGTGATTGGCCATGCTTGACGAAGAATGCGACAATATGCAAGGGGTGGCCAAACCGAGTACTAAGAGTTCCAATACAACGTGTTCATTTTCACCGGTATTTATTCCGTGATGTTGATTCAATTCGTGTCACGGGTATATAATTGTGACTGTATTATATACATACGTATGCAGATAAGCGTGCCGGTATATAATTATACAATGTTAGAATCAGTGTAATTGCCATTACAATTAGTACCGTGGAAGTTTCATATGATCAGTGTAAGCGATTCTATTGTTGACAGTGATATTTGCCCTTTACTTGGCAAAACGTGAATTCTGGTGAATGCCATGAATTCTTCTTTCCATTCTATTACGTGATGTAGTCAAAGTACTGTCTGGGAGTGCTCTTCCTTTCGATTTCTCATTGGCAACGCCTACTCGAGTATCTACCTACCCACCTAAGTACCTAGTTACCTATCTACAAGGCAGCATCGTAACTGGCACAGTTTGCCGGAATGAATGCATCGTAATCAATGACGCGATCACAATGGAACGAAAATCAACTGCGTGACACGAGTTCAAAGAGAGGTTAGAAACTGAGAGTGAATCACCGTGTGATTACCGAGGGAAGAAAGGCAATTTATGAATTTCATGAATATTTAGTGGTTGACAGTTTGAGGTTAGAGTACGATATATGATTTATTAAGGACACGGTCGCATAGATACAAATAATGGATGAGAAGACATCGTGCTGGTGGAAATGAGAGTCATTTTGTAGAAACGAAAATGGATTTGATTAAAGGAGACTCTTAGGGAAGGTAATAAGTGTTTTGTTTTTCTATGATATTTCTTGAATGATTGGTCAAGTCTTATACTCCTATAGCCTCGTAGCTATTTTGATTCTTCACTCGGTAACGAGTCTCGGGTCAATCGAACATTCATATAGGTTGGCTTTCTTATGATTATGTCTTAAGTCAGTAATAATTTTGATGACCATGTTGACCAGTCATCAAGGCAGTTGCATACGCATGTGCTCGAAGATGAGCGGCTTTGGCATGAGCTACTTCCGGTGTGTCTATTACTCTTCCGTCATGACCCAGAGGAGCGAGAGGTCCTGTATATCCAACGGGGGCAGCGTGTGCATAAGCTATGCGTATTTGCGGTGAGTAAGATGGTCCACTGGGTCCACTAGGTTCCGGATAAACAGCATTATCATATCCGTATTGTACAGCTTTAGCAGCTTCTTTAGCGTGGGCTGCTAGATGGGCAGCTTTGGCATGTTGAACCTGTGATAAGTAAAAAAATGTTGATTTCTTTATTTATAAATGATTTTTATCTTTAATACCTCAGGTGTGTCGATGACTCGGCCATCATGAGCCAGTGGCGCCAACGGACCGTGATATCCACGAGGAACAGGAACGTTCGACCATGAACTCTCATACGGTTCTTCCTCCAGGTAAAGTTCGTTATAAGGTTCGTATTTGTGACTGACTCTAGCCGCAGCTTGTGCGTGCGCAGCAAGATGCGCAGCTCGTGCCTGTGTCACTTCCGGTGTATCGATGACTCTTCCGTCATGCGCCAACGGCGCTGCTGGGCCCTGATAGCCGTAAACGTGGGCTAGTTGGTACTTTCCTTCTGTTACTGCCAATGCAGCCGTAAGCGACAGGATGATCTATGGAAATGTTCAATCGATTTATCATTGCTTGATATTTATTTGTGATCAAGTACATGATCGGTAATGGATCTCTGGTGAGACTGGGTTTTATTAAGTAGTTCACAAGCCGGTCTTCCCGAGTTTTCTATAAATGGAGAAGTGACAAGATATTTATGTGGTTTCACTTGATTTCCTTTTGCGTGAATAACAGATGATTCTGTTGAGTGAAAATACGGTATATCCTACGCGTCTCAATATGGACAGGTGCTTTATGCTGGTGCAATTGTGAATGCGTTTAATCACCGGTGTACGTGGGATCCAAATCGAACGTAATAATTATTATACACTGTGAATGACAGCAATGATGATGGATATGGTAAAACATATTTTTATTTTTATAAATTTTTTTTTTCAAGATGCACATTAAATTTGAAAGACAGCCGACATGAATTTTTTCAAATGATGAACTCAGGTAAGAAACTAGTGTTTCGCCAAATAAAAAAAGAAAAATCAGGCATAGTTTGCAATTTTGAGTAAATTTTCTCCTATCAGTCAGCACTGAATATTTCTGTCTTCACGTTTTAATCACTTAATGTGAAAGAATAATTTTTAATTTATCATACTAATTTTTTGTCATGTACGTGTAACTTGTATTCTTTTTTCGTTTTCTTTCATTCACGAGCAAGACAACTTAGATTTACACGATGCTCGTTAATTTTGTCGTGTTTAAGTAGGTAGAAATTCTAACGTCCACCCACGATAATAATTTCGAAAAAATTGAACTTTTCATTCGTAAAGGCGCACTTACGAATAGCCTCATGGCCGTTTTGCTGAGACACCACCGACGAGAAAACCTTGTGGGTAGAAGTGCGCCTGGAGAACCGGAGAACGCTGCTTTTATAGGGTCTTGCACCACTCGTCACCCATCAGTGTGGTTCCCGCCACGCCCAGAAAAATACTTTAATTGCCCAGTATACTAATGACTGAGTAAGCACGTGCCGTGTGGAATAATTGCAGGGAAAATCTATCGACCATTTGGGAAATTTGTACAACGGGCGATGCCCGCGAGCGCCGAAGATTCTGTACGTTGGGCGTTGGGGCGTCGTCGGTCGTCTCGCATTACATATTCGCCCAGATCCTAGAGCATTCTGCCACCTTTCCAATTCGCGATCCCTCGGCAAGGGTTCCATAAGATATAAAATTTTTTTTCCCAAAGGGAGAGACCGTGAGAAACATTGAAAGGTCAGGGTATTCTTGGCGAATCGTATAATCCATGGGATAACTCTGTAAATTCGACGTGAGAATATTTCCACACCACGTGCCGTGCTTAAGTTTGAGGTTATGTCAAATCGTTAGTTTTTTTTTTAATCGCTGCAATTTTTTTACTGATCTAAATTCTAAAATATGGAAACACTTATTATTGACTTCGAGCACTATGCACACGATTTGATACTTGCGGTTTTTTCTGAGGTATATATATGTATATTTGTTTACAGATCGACCGCAAAGGAACGGTGCAACGAGCACCGTTAGATAGTGTAAAATTATTTTTTTTATGTGGTCTCAAAACACGTATGATTCACGGACGACTAAAGCCATATATCATGGCGGCTGCCCAAGGTGGTTTTCTTTCTACTGCGATTCTGGCTTTCGCGAGGTACCACCGTTGTAACGTTATAAGACATTTATTAGGTGGACGACAACAGTGCGAGTGTCATTCGCGTGTCGAATGACCGACAGTGAACATTACCCGAGAAATTTGACAATTAAAAAAATAAAAATAAGAAATTTTATTATGAGATATTTACGAGAACTCTGCTTGGGGTTACTCTTGAGAAATGCATATTTAATTAATTACCGCCATTATTTGCTACATTTTTTTTTCGTTATGAAGTCATGTTAGAATTTCATAAAGATTATTAGATACCAATGTTAATTCGAGGGATATAAATGCTAATGCGAGCTTTTACGAAATAAAAGGAAATTTTTAATGACGACAATATGTATATACACACACGCACCGAGTCATCGGGGCGCTACGTTATTAAGTGTTCAAGAAAGAGAGAAGGTAGGACACGAAATTAAAGAAGAGGAACAAGAAAGTAACACAAGAGTGAATATAAGTTCTAAAAAAATAGACAGAAGATCAAGGAATTAGAGTAGAAGTCGATCGTGACTACGGGTGGGTCATGGTGCGTGAACGCATTTTGACGCAACTTCTCGGCTTTCTTAGCAACTTATACGAATTACGACACACTGGCACGCGTGCTAAGCGACCCATGACGTAAATGTCCGACGTGAATTTTTTTTAACGAACAATTTTTCGATGTAATCGATGTAATCGAACGATCTTGTTTTCACGTATGGCTGCACTTTTGACCAATTATTCAAATTCAAGTGGTAGATCCGAAATTTTCCCAAAAATCCTAAAATCAATATTTGTTAATAATCAATCGATCTTTGACTACCCATAGATGGGATAATACTCATTCGAAAAACTATGAAAAAAAAAGAGTATGCCGACATTATTAAAAAGTCAAAAAAAGGTTGATCGCTTGAGTATCGTCCTGAAGTTGTCAAGATAAAACAATCTATATTAATGTCACTGTCACTGCACTGTCTTACCAGCCGAGTTAACACGTATCTGATTTAAAGCCAATTGACCGATCGCGTTGACAGTAAAATTGCGCAACTTGTACGGCACCGTAACTCAATACGTAATCCGTAAGACAGCCGCGATTATTTAAAAGTTAAGATGCGCGTGCGCAGAGATAAAAGAAGTGAAATCAGAAAAAACAAAAGTAAAAAGACGTAAAGCGTCCCGACGCCCGTAAGGTAGAGCTTCTTAGTCTTTCAAGATCAATGATCAATATGATAGGTTAGGATCGATATTGAAATCTCACTTAGTCATTACCGTACACAGATAAAAAATAAGTGCACAGATGCACATGCACTTCTTGCAGTTTCTTACCTTTCGAACAGAGCAATTTCATCTGCACCCAATGACGCGGATTGGTACTGTTCCGTTCTCCGGAATTCTTCTCACGTTGGCTTATTTGACCTATGACGTAAGATTGATCCCTCAGTTTGATTATGTTTAACCCAAAGGATTGGACACGTGCAAGTAAAAGTAAATATATATATCTAGTATAATTAAATGAGCAAAATTTATCCACATATATTTTTGTTTTATTAATCTTGATCGATCAGTATGAACTTTCATCATTCGGGAAATAATTCTTGGATCATTGTCATAGGAACTTCCGGTCATCGATCTGTCCTTTTATAGTGCAATGAGAAATCTTGACAAATTACGCCGTACCGTGCTGTACGCGGTGAAAACGTCTGGTAACCATTGTGATCTCTTGAGTTACAATTTGCCGCAATCACCGGTAAAATCGGATATAGGCTAACTTGTGGTTTATGACCGTTACTATAGTACAGCGAGACTGTTGGATTTGTTATGTAGCTAGACACGCGCATGCGCGGTTTAGTCACTAGGAAAAATATAGCAAACAATGCTGGTTTCTATGATCTACTGGCGACAGAGATTGACAGACTGACGGAGATCTATTTATACAGGCGCGGACCACGCGGTTACATAAATCTTGTGTAAACTAACCTTTTCATGGTAGCAAATGGTTAATCGGTCTTTTGTAGTAACTTTGAGTGAGCGTAGATTAAATACGAAGAGGGAGAATGATGTGGGAGGAAAAAAAAATTAATAGAAAATCTTGTATTCTGTCAATGGTTGTGTAACTAAGAGTTTTGATCGGTAGCAGGGTCCATAGATCTTGATAGATAGATCACTTGGTTTGATTGGTACCGACTGTTTCTCATTCTTTTGGTCACTCGCTAAAAATGTATTGATACGTAACTAGTAGAGACTGTATTGATATGTTGTTCTGAATATATTTCTTTGTTGTATTCAAAACTTAGGATTAGACCGATTTAGTTTAATTATAAAGAATTAATTAATTTGATTGGTACTTGATACATTTTTCTCGTTTTGTAATAATTACTATTCAGAACAAATAATGACTAATGGGTTTGGCTGACTAGTTGGGGTCAATCATCATTGTAGAATCATTTGAAATTTCATTAAAGTTCATTGTTGGAATAACTTTCTTCGACTATTAGTTGCAAGTGAATGAACCGTGATTGGTTTGTAGTATTAGTAAAATCGATTATGACGTAAGATTGATGATATTCGTAGAAAACAATTTATTGTCCTATTTTATTTACAAAGGTTCCAAATCGTAGGTCAGGAGGTCAGCTCAGTAGGTTCCTACCAATGAGGCTGAGCTTGATAATTGTGAGGCTGGTAAGCTGGAGAAGGTTGATACGACTTCTCAGCGAGTTGAGCAGGGCTGCCGTAATTCTGAGGTGCGCCACCGTAGGCACCAACACTGGGGGCAGAGTAGCTACGAGCAGCTGGCGCCGATGGGCCGTACTGGGCTGGTGCAGAATTTACGTACTGAGCAGGAGCATGAGCCTGGGGAGCGTCGTAGGCTGAAAGAAAAAGAATGAATAAATTAACAATTCGACAAGGCAGGAAAAAAGTCAGTAAAAACATATCGACATGGACATGTGGATAGATAACGTGCGATAATTAATTTGGACTCTAATAGGTAATCAAGCTTATTATAAAGTCTCATCGAAGGTCTCACCAGATAAATCATGTTCGGTTTCTCTTACTTGACTCTGAAAGACCTAACCGGTTTCTTTCCTTGAGTAATCAAGTGATCGGTAGTTCTTAAGAACTAATCTGAGAACCAGAACTCATTATGTATATATGTATCTTGTTTGATCCTGACCTAGCTAACATTTGTCATAATCTTTCAGGTATCATCCCACAAACGTATCATCCTAGTACCTCATATTCTGAAGATGCATATAGTGTTCAGATACTACCTACCTTGACCCTGACCAGAGTATTCTTCGGATCCTCCGTATTTATAAGCGCGAGCCTCAGCCTCAGCAAGTTCAGCAAGACGAGAAGCCTTGAGGGCAGCAACTTCAGGAGTATCAATTACAGTACCGTCTTCAGCAAGGGGTGCAGGTACGAAGGGTGCCTTGGAGCCAGGAGCATTGTAGCTCTTTGGTGAAGAGTAACTACCCTGAGGTTGGTAGTGCTGCTGAGGTGCGGAGTAGACTGGTGCAGAGACGTGAGCAGGGGCGGAATTAGAGGGTGCATAGATCGGGGAGCGTGCTGGAGCAGGAGCAGCATATCCTTGACGAGCATAGGGAGCAGGGCTAGGGGATGCGTAAGAAGGAGCAGAGTAGCTAGAGGGAGCAGAGTAGCCAGAGGGAGCGGAGTAGCTGGAAGGTGCAGAGTAGCCAGAGCTGGGTCCATGGCCCTGGGGTGCGTATGCGTTCTGCTGCGCCTTCTCCTCGGCAGCGCGTGCGGCGGCCCTCGCGAATTCCGCAAAGTGGGCGGCCTTCGCCTGAGCAACTTCCGGTGTGTCGATTACATTTCCGTCCTGACCGACTGGCGCCGGCGGGCCAAATCTTTGCTGCTGATGAATTGGACCCGAAGGTTCGGCGTATCCGGCAGATGGATGAGCCGAGGGGGAACCCAAATATCCGGCCTTGGAGGCTGCCACGAGGGCCAGGACAATGATCTATGGATTATGAAAAAAAATGTTTTTAAATAAACATATCTGGCCCATTGCGAAACCGAGCAAATTGGACATACGTTCATTGGGATTTTGGTAGTGGCACTTTGGTTTATTAGTACTTTTTGAATTTGTGACCTTCCACATTTTGACTACGTGGTATATCATAAATTACATAATCGATCTGAATTCCTATTTTTCCACAGTCTCGTGGACAGTCTCAAAGTTGCGTGACACCTCAAGGCGACCAGGACCAATGTTTCTTATTGAGTCACCTTAAAGACTGACCGTAAATGGTCGCCTAGACGTTACCAACTGCCCACTTGTTCGATCTCTGATAACACCAAACCACCGCCCGATGACTATTAAATGTATAACAACTTTGATAGAACTGATTTCAATTCCTTCTACAAACTTAAAGCCAATCCTTTGTCTGACAGGATAACATGACATTTAAATATGATTACGTGGGTAGTAGAATTATTGCCTCACTAGAAAATAACCCTAGACCCAATCCTCTATTAGTACCAGCTGCATTAAATTTTATTCATTTGAATTTCCCCTATATTTATTTTTATCAGCCATAATTTATCGTTTACATCATTTAAGATTAAATATACTCAATCTTTTTACACTTTTCTTAAACTTTTTCAATTTTTTCCCCAATAACTATGATTAGTAAAAATCAATATGCCTCGATCAGACCCCTCATTCCCCTCATTTGCCCCTGATTCCTCATTTTATTTATATCATTGTATCCTCTATTCAGTCTTTATTTATGCGTATGGATTATTCCGATAAGAATGGCACAGATTAGGTTCAACAAGGATATCGCAACTCTGTACAAGACTCACCAGACGATTCATGTTGTGTGTTGTTAGGTTAGCGCTGCTGAGAGAACCAGTACTCGCTATGTGCTCCGTTCTCTTTGCACCAGGGTTCGTTTATGTTCCTGGGGTACGGTGACAGTACCTCTTATAGTGGTCCGCCGTTTCTACTCCGTGCCCCTCAGTCTCACGGGCCCCTCTACTCGATTGGTCCCACCTTCTAGCCCCTAAGAATAATTCCCCTTCTTTCGAACCACCCTGGTAAGGTAAGATCTGTTCCTTATGGAGAGGACGCTAACGGACCGCGCCCTGCCGACTATTCGTTTCAATGGCCTCGTGACCTTGACATTTGATAGCAGCCATTGTCGAGCCTCCGGGACCCTGTTGACCCTCGGACTTGCCTCGCCAATGCCCCCAGGGTGAACACGAATGGGACTCGTATGGCAGACCCGTACCAGACCCCTATAAAATCCACGATAACAAAGGATTGTTTAATCAAATAGGCAGATGATAAGAGCCAATCTAATTAATGAAATTCAATGAAAATCCGAATACGGTCCAGGAAGTAGGAAATGTCGACGATTCATGGATAATTAATAAATCAATGCGGATATAAATGACAAACAAAAGCCCACGTTTAAGAATATTCAATATTGTCTACCATTCAATGATCTTATCTGTACCGGATATATGTTTGTGAATGGGACCAGATTGAATTTTTATTCCATAATTTTAACACGTGACCTGATCCCCCTTAAGTTTGTCACGTGAGCCACACGTGTTGCACAGAATCTATGGGTGACTTAACGATTGCAGCTGGGTTTGACGACTTCAATTAATGTCCCGTATGATCATGTAAATTAGTCATTAGGTACGAGATTGATGAATTCATTAGCACAGCGGTGCATATAGCCAGTAAATAGTCATACTGCTTTTATAACCTGAGAAAGTATTTGCGGCTAATGATAATTGAGATTCGTTGAGTCTCCGGTTCTAAGTGTCTATCGATCCTGGAATTATTCTTGGGTACCATTGGTCGAAGGACAGCCGGACTGCAGCAAGGGAATGCATTCCTATAGCGCATACGCCTGGTTTAACACTTAAAGTGCAAGGACTTGGTCGAGGTACGAACTACCGACCACCCAGTTTCATGATACTCGAATGCATCTTATAGGTATATATAGATATAGATATCTTGGTTATACGTTCTCATGAGAATTCTCTTTGTTTGTACTCTAGGTATATAGTCCATGCACGGTATATGTATAGTGGAGCAGCGAAGCTATATTCTCGAGGCGTATAGATAATTCGATGCGGTAATACAATTAAGGCTAATCTACAATGTAATTGGGTAACGTTTTTTTTTTTATTGCTGGGAGGAATTCTTCGAGAGTCGATAATTAAGGCTGGTTGCCAATTGTCTGTGTAACGTAAGTTGAGGGGGAAAAAGTGTCCCCCGGGGCACTTTCTTTGAAAATTGCGAAGTTCAGTGTCGATTCTTTCTCGGTCGATGATCGTTTGCTTAATAGCTTGTAATACGTATTGTTAAAGTGATTTGTAATTATGAATCGACGACGATTGATTTCTCATTGAAAATTCTTTGAATCTTAATAAAAATGATTGAAGCGTGAGTAGAGTAAGGCTTGTCCAATAATTTTTAATCATCCGATTGATTTGTATTTCTTAATCAATGAGTCACGGCATACCATTGATATTTCACTCACGATTTTTCGTCATTTGGACTTGGACATCGACACTTCGTTTCTCCGTTTCTCCTGGATCTTTATTTCAATCATACATATTTCTTAATAGTTCACTAGGGAAAGCCGTTTATTTTCTTGCTAAGTTACATTAGAATTCTGTGTCTCGATACGTTTATGATTTTTTAAATTGTTTATGGATACAGTTGAAACGAGACAAATTTTTGGATCGATAATCTTAGCAGACTTATTTATTGGGTTTGATGGTTTGGGGATGATAATCGATGATTGTTAGTCAATAAATTTTTGGTGATTTTGAGTTTTTTATTATTCTGTCACTGTTGCATCATTTGTAGAGAAAATCAAATTTTTTTTATACTTTACGATTTTGTCCTATTTCTTTTATATGACTCATTTGCAAACGTTTATATGTCGCTTATTGGCACCTGCCACCGGACGCGCGAAACGTTCGAAAATCTTGAGAGTCTCGTGTAGGCAACGTTAGAAAGTCTATGGGTTTTTGCAGATTTTCTCATCGAGAGAGCCGACGAGAGGTAAAACAGACAAAACCTTTACGGTTACGTTATCGCCATTCACTCCTCTATGAAACTAATTGTATAATAAATTAATATTTGAATGATTTCTCACCTGATAACACGGGATAAACACAGTTGCTCTTTTCCGTAATTCCTGTCTCTAAGAAGATGTAGACGCGAAAGTTTTGATTATATTTATAAAAATGCAAATTTTGTATAATACCAATTGAATTTGCTTTACGACAATCTGTTTAGTGTGCAGTCGCCATGGCGCATACCGGAAAATCATTGTTTATGAAAAATTCCGAGAGCTGAAATCAGAGGGGTATAATTACGAGGGTAATAAAAATCGTGAAAACTTTTTGCGGATATTTATGAAATTTCTTAGTTCACTAAGAAATATTATAAGAGCACGGAAATCGAAATTCACCGCAGCAGTCGAAAAGCATTTGATTGAACGAAACGAGTGTTATGCCCAAATTTTCTTTACACCGAAACGATAATTAAAAAATTCGGTAAAAATATTCTGACAGCGGGGGAACTTGATTCGTTATTACAAGAGCAATGTTATCCAAGATTCACCAAAAACGTAACTTACGTAAATAATACCGTGCACTCGCTCATCCGCTGGATAAAAAGTTCCCAAAGTCGGATAAAGAAACAAGTTCCTTGACGTGTGTCAGATTATTCTCTTATAAAAAGTAAAATTATGGAGAAAGATATGAGGCGGAAGTGGAGACGATAAGGGAATAAAAATTTAACTAAAAAAAGAGGAAAAAGAAGCGTCGTACTTACCGTTACCCTAGTACAAAACGGAACAAAAAGTCTGCTTGCTTTGTTGTTGGAGAATTTAGTTATGTAGTTACATAGCATAGGTTAGGTACACTGGCGCACTGTCATAACAGTAGATTTATGTCGCTGCGTGTGATAAATTATTTTGTTTTAAACGCAACAAAACTCCATTACGCGAGAGTTTCGTTGAGTCATGCAGAAAAATACGTGAGGCACGTAATCCGTCGGGCTGGCGCATTTCTATTTGCACACCTAGTTGCCGAAACAATTATGGCGGCAAGAACCGAGGCCTCTGGTGGAATTTCGGAATTTCATGCCGCGCACGAAGAATTAACATCGCAGTTAAATAGTACTTGCTGGAATTCGTTGAGTTCGTACGGGAGAGTCAACGCCATCTATGATACCGCTTCCAGCGCCACGGTGGCTAAGGTGCAGACTAAACATTTCAATTCACGTTACTAGTGCAAAGAATTTTGTTTCATCAATTGGATTCCCTTATTGATCTTGTGATATAAAAAGAATGAGGAATACCAAGTTGTACACTTTTCATGGTAAATTCTGACTGGCCGATTATCTTACCGCAAAAAGTGGCGGATCGACACGGTACAATTGACAGAAACGGAAGCTCGTCATGCACGATTCTTGAATTCTTTGGAACTCTGCGAACGTTGCTTCAATCAGAAGGATATATAAGAGACTACTAAATTTTTTAAAGTGATGAGGATATCCAGACAGATTTTCATTCTTGAGAGTGCATACCATTGATAACACTATTATCATACAATGGAGTTGTTTTGAAATGGGATCCAATTTCCGGGACGTAGCCTTATTAAGAGGATGTGAGATTGTACTAAAAGAAATTCCAACTAGATCTGACATCGTCCCTGATCTCGAGGCCTGCCATATATTAATTTCACATATAAACTTGACAGGTCGTGTAAATACATAAACATAATACAGGCACATATGCTTGTTAATCAAGCATACATTTACCTACAGTATATACGTATATAACCCATGGATATAGACAATTTCCCACGGATGTCCCAATCAAATTCTTAGCATTAGAAACGTTAGTTTACGTCACATGAGTGAAACTCGATCTTAATTTCGAAGAATTGTTGTACGAATAATAATTAGAGCAGAGAAAAGTATATAGTCTGATCTTAACGATAAATTGCTCAAATGGAGCTTCTACTATGATAATCATTCCTTAATAATAATAATGACTTTCAAGTATTCCTAATTTCAATCTGGTCTAATTATTCTATGACCAATCCTAATGATCATCAAGGAAATGCAAGTATCACGTGTATCTAAATGAAGTTGTACATTGAAATAGATTCACGTACTATATAATGTAATATCATGAAAATACCAATCGGTCGAATCGTTCACGGATCAGCAACTTCAGCCCACTATACTTTCGTTCCTGGAAAGGGCACGAACTGTCGGTATAGATATAAGCATAGAGTGGAAGGTGGATCCGTAGGTATAGTATAACTAAAACAGCATCAGAATAAAGGAGACACATAAAAAGCATATAGAATCTGAATAAAGTGTATATTTGCAAGACACGTATATACAGTGGACACTATCGTTATCAGTCTGTTGATCGAGGAACCAGAATAGAGAGAACCAGCGAATCACCAGGCGTGAACGGCTTGAGAGGCGGCAGCAGCGTGAGCGGCAAGGTGAGCGGCCTTGGCGTGGGCGACCTCGGGGGTCTCGACGACGCGGCCGTCGTGTCCAAGAGGGGCAGCAGCACCATGTGCGCCATAAACATTAGCCGGGGCGTATGCGTAAGCGCCATTGTATGGTCCGTACGAAGCGGCAGATGCAGCCTTGGCGTGTTCAGCAAGATGAGCAGCCCTGGCGTGAGCGACCTCAGGGGTCTCTACGACGCGTCCGTCGTGTCCAAGAGGAGCAGCGTAACCATGGTTTCCGTAGACGGGGTAGGCACCATGATGATCGACAGGTCCGGAAGCAGCAGCAGCGGCAGCAGCCCTGGCGTATTCGGCAAAGTGGGCAGCTTTGGCCTGAGCAACCTCAGGAGTGTCCACTACAGTACCGTCGTGACCTAGGGGTGCTGCAGCTCCGTAGTGACCTGCGTAGGACACTGGTGCGCTCAGGTAGCCGGCACTGGCCACGGCGAGGAGGGCGGAGAAGGCGATCTGTGAAAATCGATGATATTATTATCCTTGAACTTTTTATGATTTTATTTTGTTATCAATCATCGATTAGGGGTTGGTACTTACGAATGCGTTCATGATGACTGTATTGGGTTTTAGCGCTGCTGGATGATCCAGTACTCGCTGTTTATTGATGATTTGATGTCGAATGAACTTGAGTTACGACTTTTATACCAATGGGCCGTAAGGCCCCTCCCGTTTAATTTTGCCATCAGCAGGGCCCCTCTAACGCACTCGATTTTTTCCGACATTGACATTTACGTCGTAGGAAGCTCGTGTGTGTCATAAGTTGACGTTTACCAATTCGGAATGTCTGCCCGCCGGGGCATGATCTCGTTTGCTCTCGAAGAAGGGGATCAAGGACGCGGTAGACGGAGTCACGGTATCCATGATGGATCAAGTTCAACAATCGCGATAACGAATTTTGTTATCCCGGACCAAGTCCTGCTGGTTCACCCTGTCGTACCCCAATTCGCCATCCTAGTCGGCCGTCAAATCTAGATTCCTGCTCTTGCCACTGTTTTCGCAGTATTTCTGTTCTCTTTTTCATTCTTTTCTCCTATCTTTTTATTCGCTTTAAACCAGTGCCAACTGTTACCGATCTCTCAGCAGGTAGCTCCAACGCTGAAATTGCAATCGGTCACGCAGTCCAATTTCTCATCTAACGTCCAATTGACAATAATTGTCACGGCTCGTAATCCTTTTTGTCAAGTTCAACTTACGCTTTCAATGATTCTCGTCGTTGAGAAGCACTCCGTAATAAATATTTACAATATTTATTTATCATGCTATTTGATGTTATTTGGATCGATCAAATTTTCGGAAATATTCAATTATTTATTTTTGCTTCATTTTTTTCTGATGTCAAGGTCAAGCATTTTACCGTGTAACAATGAGTAGGAAGCATTGCCAATGAAATGTACTTTCGTATTTAGCAGTCACAGCAATGGAGGTTCTTTTGAAATGATATTATGTAAAAAAGTTTTAGTTGTGCACAGCTGATTAACGAAATGACAGTTCTCTTGAATGAATGCCCTATTAGGAGACCAATACTCTGTTATTGTGGATCGATAGGTATAGTTTATTGAAACTGGATCATTCAGCTGGAAACTCTAACACGTTCCAATTACCTGGAGAATACTGTCTAATTTGATACTAAGCTTTTTCTTGGCTGTTTTCTTTTCATTATACATACACGTATAAGTGGAACTTGGTACTGTTTATCAGGACCAATCGACCATAATCAATCACTGGCACAGTACAGTCTTGCTTTAAAGTTACATCAGGATGTAGTACGTCATTTGATTTTGGGTTTCGAACAGATATTCGAATGTTAATGAATTCCTAATATAAGCGCTTTACTGTAAAGTAGGAAGAACAATACTTGTTATGACTTTATTTTATTTTTTGCAAAAATGCAAATGTGTAGATCACATTTGCGCAATAAAAAATTTCCGCTCAAAAATATCAGACTGGGAGGTTGACGCAGATTTTAGGATAAACTTTTTCATCTGTAAATGTTCGTATGATTTTTGAAAATTGGATTATATTTGAGCAATGTAACGTAACCAGTTGTTTTTTTGGAATTAAATGTTATAAATAATATATAATTATTAATTAGTATCATAACTCATAAAGGTCATTGATAGTATTTGATATGCCAAACAGGTTGCATGGTCGGCCAGAAATCTGATAGATCCTTAGAATCTCTGAGTGTCGTCAATGATATTGGTCGATTCAGGATCTATATGGATCATAGACCGCAAGTTCTGTGATATCATCACGAAGGACTATATATAATATTCGACACAATGTGCAAGATATCGTTATTACTTATCTTTTAAATTAATTTCTATGTTTATATTATAGGACCAAGGTAAAGGGGTGGTTTTAATTTTGGATGATAAAAATTTAAAAAGATTCTATTATCATTTCCATGAATATCTATTTATTACATTGCGGTGGTAGTTAGACGTGAGCGGTTTATGATGTGTTTCTATAGTAGTTATGGACTTAGTGGATTCATTCGGTCACAGCTGTTCACCAGACGGAGACCTGGGGATGAGCAGCGTAAGCAGAGACGACGGGGGCACCATGAGCAGACACGACGTGCGAAACAGCAGGGGCGGAATAAGCAGATACGACAACGGGGGCGGCAGCGTAGTTCTTGACAGCCTCGTTAGCCAGGGTGATCTTCTCGTTGACGTGGGCAGCAGCGTGCTCGGCCTTGGCGACAGCGACGGCGGGGGTGTCTACGACGCGTCCGTCAACTCCGACGGGGGCACCATGAGCAGACACGACGTGCGAAACAGCAGGGGCGGAATAAGCAGATACGACAACGGGGGCGGCAGCGTAGTTCTTGGCAGCCTCGTTAGCCAGGGTGATCTTCTCGTTGACGTGAGCAGCAGCGTGCTCGGCCTTGGCGACTGCGACCTCAGGGGTGTCTACGACGCGACCGTCGACTCCCACGGGTGCACCGGGAACCAGTCTAGCGTAAGCCAAGGGTGCAGCGTAGGCCACTGGACCCACGGAGTGGATTCCGGCGATGCCTCCAGGGCGGGCGAATGCCACGGCGGCGAGGGCAGAGAGAACAACCTGAGGTAAAATATAATTTTAATATTCAATCGAATTACGGGACTTAGATAAGCTTCCTTATCACTATCGTACCCAACAAAAATAGCTTCCTTATCACTTAGTAGATCTAAAATAAAAATACTTACGAAGACCTTCATGATGATGGGGTTATATGTGGATTAGCTTCTCAGCGCTGCTGGAGACCAGTACTCGCTAAAGCAATTGGAATTGTGATGTGCAGCAGTAGTTGATGCCGGGCCTTATATACCCCTTCGATTAAACGTTCTCATAGATCAGCAATCATATATTCCACATTGAGTCTATCCGAATGTACGTTACAATCCCGATGGGCCACACCCTGCCCAATAAACCTGATATCTGACATTGACATTTACTTTCCGCGGTGTTCACCGATCTAGAGTAATTTATGCATTGCGTTTCAAAAAATTCTCCTTATGTCAGTTTCTCTCGAGTAACTTTTCAACTAATGAACACAATTATGACGTAACATTGAAATACGTTACTCATCCCAAGTATCAATAATACAAAATATTCTAGTACACATTATACCTATTAATATTTTTCTAGTGCATTTGGCATAACATAATTGAATTATCAAAATGGTTATAAAAAATGTATTTATTTTACGGCGGTCACAATAATAATCCTCAATTACTATATAGATCATCTCAGCATAATAATAATGAAAATAGCAGATAAGTATCAGTAAAAAATTTATATGCCGTAATACATACATATCTGTGTACAGGAATCCTTTCTCTCATTTACCTCGTGACATATGTAAATAAAGTTAAATAAAGTGCAACTAGTTAAATTTCATCATTCGTCAATGGATTACTAAATCGTTACCTATCCACGTAATGTTCTGTAATCCGTCATAATAAATCAATAAGAAGTGATCCCGTAGACTATCGCATACATAATCAAGGTGATAATACTCGAGAAATGGCAACGGGATCGAGTGACGTTTTAAAGAAGAAAACTTTTTCTAGGTCAGTGTAATAGGAATACCCTGAACGCCCTGCAACAGTCGTAATCAGAGGTTAGGTCATTTTACATAAAGATTTACTTGCGAAGGAGCTATCACGAACATGAGTACAATTCTAGTATTCATCTACTACAGCATCACATATATGGATCAGACACTGGCGCCAACAAGTCGTGTCTCTAGAGTATCGGTAAATATAATTTTTTCCAAAAACCATGTTATTATACAATCCATATCCAATATTAGCAGGAGACCTATAAAAGGAGATCAGTTCGACCGAAGTCATCATAGACATCCTACAAGTCAAGTGAGCGACAATCAGGCGTCATCGAGATCAGACCCAATTTTAAAATCGCAGAAGAGATCATCATGAAATTCCTGGTCGTCATCTTCGCAATGGCAGCAGCCGTCCAGGGGAGACCTGGTATTCTGGGTGCAACCTTAGCCTACAACACGCCTGTGACCTATGCACGTCTAGTGCCTGGTGCACCGTTGGGCGCAGACGGTCGCGTTGTGGACACACCTGAAGTCAGCGTAGCTAAAGCGGAGCATGCTGCAGCTCATGTAAACGAGAGGGTCGCCCTGGCGAATGAAGTTGTCAAATCTGCAGACGTCCTGACCTACGCAACACCGATTGCAAGAACCGTGACTCCTGTGGTAGGTGCACCAGGTGTCATAGCTACCTACTCAACACCCACTGTCGCAGTAGGTCCTCTCTCCGTTGCTGGCTCCTTGACCTACGCAAGGGTCATTCCTGCTGCTCCTGTTGGTCCAGACGGACGCGTCGTAGACACTCCTGAAGTTGCTGTTGCTAAAGCTGAACACGCAGCTGCCCATATTAACGAGAGAGTCAGTCTTGCTAACGAGGCTGTAAAGTCTGCTGATCTGTTAACCGTGAATCCAGCCGTCGTTTCCACTTTGTCCGGTGCACCAGCCTTTGCTCTTAACAAACTTGTTTATTAAATTCAGGTAAATCGAACTCTCGCTAATCTGATTCTTGTATAATGAATGTTTATGATTCAATAAATGATCCCAAGTATACAATTGTTTATTACTTCTTGCGTTATCTATTACGTCATATGTGCCAGGCTTTCATTGATTTTATAGGAAATTTATGGGACTTCGTTTCTTTCTGTACACCTGTCATAAGATACGGGGGAGTTATTGCGATTAAATAACTTGGATAGCATTCCTGATATACCGGATAGGGTCTGGGACTTGTCACTGAACTTTCTTATACCTGTTTCCTTTAGATATAATGATAAGTTCACGTGAAATGATTGCTCGATTCTATGACATTTGTTATATTGACAATTATATATGACATATCATAATAGATTCCAGGAACGACCTAAATTTTTACTAAGTATACAGGGTGACACCGAAAGTGCACACCTCGATTATTTCCGTTACTATTGAAGATACGGGAAAAAGTTTCAGACAAAAGTTTTATGGTTTCAAGAGGGTAAACTTTTCAGCTAAATATTTTTTAAATATTCATTTAATTTCGAAATATGGCACGTTACATGTTTTTCTAAATGGAACATTATTTTATGTTGGTATAAGATAATGTAGCGCTTTTATTTTCTTCTTAATATTTCAAACCTTGCAAACTAAAATCCATTCAGGCATTTTCAAGTTATTGAAAAGTCAATTTATTGAACAACCTTCGGTTGTAGCGTCGCTGGAGCATTTAGGGTTCGCGCGCTTAATTTTGCAACTGAAGATTATTCAATAAACTGTAACTATAGCAGTAACTATATTCCTAAAACAGTTAATGTTCTATAAAAAATGGAGAACCATTGAAATAATTGTTTGTGGGGTAAAAACGGGTAATTAATATATCAATAATTGTTCGATATAAAATTTATTCACAAGTAAAAATATCCATTGTTCGAAATTAAAAAAAAAACAAAAAAGTCTAGTATATGGGTAGATGGGCTTTATCTACCAGACGGAGACGGCTGGACTGGCCCATCCAAGACGAGCCTTAGCTTCGGCATGGGCAGCAAAATGGGCAGCCTTGGCGACAGCGACCTCAGGAGTGTCGACAACAGTTCCGTCGATGCCAATGGGTGCTCCGTGTCCAAGAACTTTACCGTAGGCAAGAGCAGGAACGTGGGCAGAAACAACGGGTGAAGAATAGGCAGAAACAACGGGTGAAGAATAGGCAGAAACAACGGGTCCGGAAAGAACAGGGGCGGAGTAAGCAGCGACCACGGGGGAGACAGCCAGGTTCTTGGCAGCTTCATGAGCCAGGGTGACCTTCTCGTTGATATGGGCAGCAGCGTGTTCAGCCTTGGCGACTGCGACCTCAGGAGTGTCTACGACGCGACCATCGGCACCGATGGGTGCACCGGGTACGACATGGGCATAGGCTACTGGTGCACTGTAGGCCAGAGGAAGTCCAGCATGGCCAACGGCCACTCCGTGGAGGCCACTGGGGTGACCGAGAGCGACGGCGACGAGGGCGGAGAGTACGATCTGTCGAAGAAGATTTTATTATTGCACGTGTAGTCTAAATTTTTTTAAATTGTGTTAATAGGCAATTTCTTTTTTTTTTTTACTTTAATTTTCACACTTACAAAGCACTTCATGGTGATTAGAATTGTTTTTTTGATAGCGCTGCTGGTATTCCAGTACTCGCTAGTTAGACGTGTTGTGCCGAATTAGATGTTTGGACGGTTTATATACCTGCTACGGTTCCTGACATTGACATTACGCCTGTTTATTGCAAGTGGTGGGGGAATTGGTAATCCAGTGATCAGAGGAGTGGTCACTGTAATAGAGAAGTGGCTCTTTTAAAAATTTAGTATAAAAGGAATTTTTATATTATTTTGCGGCATAGTGTACTGATTTTATTAAATTGTATTTATTTCGCACTGTAAAATAAATTAATGGGCTTATGTTAATATGAATTTATATCAGGATTCCAATTTTATTGGAATTTGGTGAATTTTATGTTTGTACGTATAACTTGATATTGTACTGTTAATTTATCAAGGGATAAGTAATAACAGCTTCTTTTTTTAATTTTTTAAGTATGGTTAAAAATGTCCATTTTTAAACTAGGATCTATTGTTTTGTTGTTTTATGTATTTCTTAGCTGATGGCAAGGTCAGGTGAATTCCACCTGTGATTAACAGTGGTTGCCATTGTTGGATATGTACAACGAAAAAAGTGAAAAGAGACAGATAAAAAGAGAATTTACGAAGTAGCCGTGCTAATGTTATACGAAGTGGATCGGATAGCTGATAATTGACGATAGTATTGAATATTATGGAAATCATATGTGTTGAGAGCGATTACTGGCACGAGCCACGAATTATGCTGTAATTTTAAGATACGATCGTCATTTTCATACAGGATGTGCGTTGCGATACAGGTTGAAAGTGATTTAACAATTTCATTATTTTTTTCTGGAAAGTTGATTTATAAATCGTTACGTAAAGATCTTCCTGTTTTGATAATAAAATTTTCCTGATTTTCATAATAAATTTTATAAGATTTCAATAAAAAGGTTACTATAAAAACTGAAAAAATATATTGAGAAGGAGAAAAAATAATTATTATCGATGTCAAATGGATCAAAGTTCTGATTTAAATATAAAAATCTAGATCAGCTTCATCACCCGAGGGACGAATGGTTCTAAATTCGAAGGCCACGAATTTCGCCCACCGAATATTAATTAACAGCGAATTAGTAACATACCTAAAATTTCTATTAATAATGCAAAATATTTGTGTACATATATTATTTCTAAGTAACGTATGGTGTAACTCGAGTCTCCTATTACGTAAGATTAATGAATTTGAAAAAAATATAGAAAAAAATATTTCAAATATTTCATTCCCTGTATACGATACATACGTTGCCCGTATGTCGCATATAATATATATGCAATATTCATAATATAACGATACCCTGAAAATATTTCGATTCTAAGACTACAGTGATAGTGCTAAGTGTACAGTGAATTCAATAAAGTATCACTGTGATATTCGAGGGCCCAGAAATTCCGGGCAAGGACAGGCACGTTAACGCGTAACATAATTTTTTGCTGGAACCTTTTTTTTTAACGGGAAGCTACGAGATGAATTCCTGAACTATACCCAATGTCATAGAGCGTCCAAAGCAGGCGTGGTCCGCCATTCTGAGTGTCCATCGATCGGGTATATAAGTCCGAAACCAGATCATGACCACATAACGCAATCATCAGCCTTAGCGAGTACTGGTATCCCAGCAGCGCTACATTCAAAAATCGACATGAAGGTCTTCGTAAGTGTCTATTCTGTTGAAGAAAAAAAAAAATTATTCTTTTAAACGATATCAATCATTATATATTGATTATCCTAATATTTATTGATTCACAATGTTTTAACTTCATCAGTTCAAGTTTAGCGGCTCAATAATTATCCTACAATTGTTTTCCCCAGGTTGTTCTCTCTGCCCTCGCCGCCGTGGCATTCGCCCGCCCTGGAGGCATCGCCGGAATCCACTCCGTGGGTCCAGTGGCCTACGCTGCACCCTTGGCTTACGCTAGACTGGTTCCCGGTGCACCCGTGGGAGTCGACGGTCGCGTCGTAGACACCCCTGAGGTCGCAGTCGCCAAGGCCGAGCACGCTGCTGCTCACGTCAACGAGAAGATCACCCTGGCTAACGAGGCTGTCAGGTCCGCTGACGTCATCGCTCTATCCGCACCCGTTGCTCATGCCGTGTCTGCTCCCGTCGTCGCCGCCCCAGGAGTCGTCTCTGCCTATGCTGCAGGCGCCGTAGCCTCCCCTCTGGCTTATGCCGCTCATGGTGGCCTGGCTGTAGCTCACGGAGTTGTGGGTCTGGCTCATGGTGCCCCCGTCGGAGTTGACGGACGCGTCGTAGACACCCCCGCCGTCGCCGTAGCCAAGGCCGAGCACGCTGCTGCCCACGTCAACGAGAAGATCACCCTGGCTAACGAGGCTGCCAAGAACTACGCTGCCGCCCCCGTTGTCGTATCTGCTTATTCCGCCCCTGCTGTTTCGCACGTCGTGTCTGCTCATGGTGCCCCCGTCGTCTCTGCTTACGCTGCTCATCCCCAGGTCTCCGTCTGGTGAACGGCTGTGACCAAACGACCAACTTCATTTTCCGAATCATGATTGTATCTTGTGAATTCATTTACCATTTTTCTGCAGTAATAGACTTTTATCAAACATACCTATGTAGTACAATGACCTTAAAATTCCCTTATACAACCAAAAAATCCCTATTCTTAGAATCCGAAGATATATCCTTATATTACGTAAGAACAAAATAGTCGAAATTCGAACTCTGTTCCACAAACGTCAACAGAGTTATTTGTATAGTAACAAAAAAAATTGCTTCATACAAAAACCCTCAATATATTTAAATATTATTGCCACACGTGGTAATCTCTTATTGTACACCCTCTACGTAATCTTAATTTACGGCCAGGGACTTACGTTATAGTAAAACTTGAAACAGCCTGTAATTTATGCACCTGCAATAAAGACCCATTGTGTCGAATAATCCAAAATGTCCTTACGTACAGTAATATAGGCATAACTATGGTGGGAATATTGCGCGGACTATTACGTGTCTCCACGTAAGAAGCATAATAAACTCACAGTAGGCAACATGAGAAATGTCAATCGTAAAATTATCGAAATCAAAAAGAAAGAAAAATTGATCAAATCGACTCTCGCCATCATCCACGCCTTTGCAATTAGACTATTTATACCTTGAGGTCATTCGTCGACAGCGAAGGCTCAGGCATTTTATGCAAATTCTCACGTAGTTTTGACTTGCATGGGCTTCCGGGCATACGTCACAGATAAATTACCATAATACCCATTAGACTTGGATAACAATAACTCGTCGGGCACGAATAACATTAATAAATCTACGATATCGAATCAAAATATAACCAAACAAAAATTTACCATAAGTTTGCATTACCTGCAACTGTACCAGTAGCTTGGAATTCGATGTAAACACAAATAAACCTACACGTGCGTTCTATTGTGGAGATAAATATAACTCTGTTTCGGATTCCATGTGTTTTTCTTAATACCAATAATTAATACGGGCCCTTTCCATAATAAGTAGTGGGTGCAAAGCAGTTCGACAGGTGTCCTTGACAGTCGACATATTAGGGCAGTCTGCTACGATCTGGATCGAATATCCATGAGGTGGATGGTGTTTCATAAAAATAAAAAGAAATAAAAATAAAAAAAAAAGATATACCGCATAAAATGCCGAGCACCAAGTATTTTGAACTCGCGGTCCGGTTTATGGTCTCGGCCTTGCCGGCATAACCAGTTCTGCAAATATCTTGCGGCCTCGTCTCATCTGCTTTACAAATTCGCAATAAAACAGCACATCGACTCTGCCGGTGTACCAGGGTGTGGTTCTATCCTATATAAAGTGTCACTGCTATCCGAAGTTATCAGAGTCGTTGCTGCGGTAGTCGGCTAGTCACTGTCCAAAACTATCAAAAGACAATGAGAGCTTGCGTAAGGATATACGATTACCGTGAAAGATAATTAATGGATTGTTTTAATTAAATATTTAAATGATGTTTTAGGTGGTATTTCTTGTGGTTGCTGTGGTTTCCGGCGGCATGGCCAAACCGCCAGGACTCATCTTAGGCTACCAGGATACTCTGGGACAGTACAGCTTCGGATATAGCGCACCAGATTCCGCCAGATCGGAAGTCCGTGCTCTGGACGGAACCACCAGAGGATCTTACAGCTACATAGATGGCGCTGGTGTCATCCAAAGTGCAGATTATACTGCAGATGGCGATAATGGTTTCCGCGTGGCAGCCACCAACTTACCACAGGCACCGGTACCAGTACAAGAGACACCGGAAGTCGCCGCAGCAAGGGTAGCTCATCTGGAGGCTTTGCAGAAGGCTGGAGCCAGCCTTGCCAATTCTGACAACGCTGGAATCGTAGTGGAGAACGTGGAGAACCAACCCATCGTGAAATCCGTAGAGAATGAGAGACCAGCGGAAAGTGCACCGGAAGTAACGCAGGGAAACCTTCAAGAAGCCGTCGCAGAAAAATCAGATGTCCCTGCGGAGTCTCGTTCAGCAGAGCAGGTAAGGTGTTTTTATGAAGTTATTATGATCTTTTTTATACATGATAAGTGTCTGGCATAATCAAAAGAATGGAGAACCTTGATCAATGATTTTTTGTTCCAGGCGCCTGACACGGTCGAGATCCAATCTGCAACTAACAGTGAAGCTGTTAACGAGGATTCAATTAATAGATCAGCAGAACCGAATGAAAAACCTTCGATCATACAGTCTGTGGCTACGCCTCTGCTGATACCAGTGAATCTGAATGTGCAACCCTTGGGTGCAATCGAGGTCACAGGGTTGGGAAAGGCCGGCGAGATCCCTCAGGCATCTTTGAGTCAAGGTTATTTTCATTATTTTTAACGTCTGGATCGTACAAGTTAATGATCCAGAAATGATCATAATGCGCTTGCGCTATTGCAGATACATGTAAAATTTTACGAAAAAAAACGCCTTTGGCTATGTTTGTGAGATTCCGTGAAAGTGATTATCTCATAAAAAATATCGTGATCAACTAATAATTATCTCAGGGTCCAATAAGGGCTTGGATCATTCTCCTACAATTTTTATTCCGAGTCCTTCAATGTTACCGGAAGTCATAAAAGTTCTTGTGTCCATTGCAAGACTCTTACTGGAGTCCTGACTCTTTCCTGGATCTGGTTTAACGAACGTACTAGCCTTCCCTTTTTGATACCTTTCTCTACTTGAGATCTGGGACACTTCAAGGTCAGAACAGCACTTCCGCGGGCAATGATCGATCAAGGCCCATTCCGTAATTAAACCGTATCTGGACCCTTATTAATAATTGATACCTGATTTATTAACTGATTAAATTTTTTTTATTTACAAAATTTATTACCCAAATATACTTACACTTCTTTCTTCTATGGGTATCTAAGTTACCGATTATTATCGATCTTTCATTTTTTTTTCCAGATGGCAACAATGCGATCACTCCCGCAGGAACAGTCTTGAAAGCCTCGAATCAGCAAAGTCCGATCGAACAGAAATCAGTTCCGGTGGAATCTGCAGAATCGGCAATAATTCCTGCAGGATATAACCAAATTCAGTTCCAACAACAAAGGGCCGTGTATTCGCCATACATCCTTCCTCTGGGCTACAGTTCGGCAATCGGTTCGATCCAACCCATCGTTCGATACACACCGATACCATACGTGACCTACAATCTCCTATAATTGAACAAAATCGATTTTGCTTCACTCTACACATGACACGACCACTTATCGATCCCTCTAGCCAATGGATGACGATATCGATTATTCTTAATTAATTAAAGGACTCGACGGATGGATCGGTGAGAATCGATATTTTTTTTTTCAATAAAATAAATTCAATCGTTTTCGGTTCTACTTGCCCCCTATAAAAAAAAAGCAAGCAGTTCGGAATCTACACAGGATAATTAAAATAATAAAATTGGTAACAGTAGTAGCTATAGAAAAAAAAAAACATTTCTACAAATAAAATATCTGTCTAAGCTGACATTATAATTTTTCCTAATTCGTATCACACGTTAAATAAAATACAAAGAAAAACAAAAATTGTAATTTTACACACCACATGGAATTGAGCATCAACCAAATTGTCCCGTTTGCGTTTGTCAAGACTTTTTATTCTTCTTTACAAAATAACGCAAAAATTGTGAACAATAAAAAGGAGGAATATGCATGTATAATAATATATAATAGTATCTAATATAATATAATAGTAATAATGTATGTACGTAGATATACAATACCTTTTAACTCCTAAGGATAATTCTATTTAATAAACCGACGTGGAATCATAAATGCAATGCAACGGTATTTCGAAAAACTCGGAGATAACCGATTTTTTTTTATTCCCCGCGAACTCTATTTTATATATGTATATATATATATTTTTTTTTCGGTGCGCACCTCGCGCTCTGTGCCTATCACACATGACAGTTGTCAATTAACATTGTGTATCCGCGTGGATGTGCAATCCCGACTTGATCGTCATTGTCATCAATTGTGACGTAACAGTAAAGATAAAAGAAAAGAAAATTTTTCACACTCAATTCGTGTCTTCCGTTAAATGTGACAACAATGACGAGAGTTTTACTCTCTTACATAATTTTCGAAATCAATAATTGAAAAAAAATGTATAAAAAAAAAAGAATTCTCGCCATCGCGTACTCGCGTCATTATACTGTGCCACTGTGTGTATTCCAAATAATACTGAAAATTCACATTAAATTACTAAATTCTCTATGATAATGACCTACGTAGCCGCCATTACTTCCGTTCGTTAGTTACACGCGTATGTATATATATACGTAATATTTTTGTCTTGTATGGTGCACATATATATATATATATATATATATATATATATATATATATATATATATATATATATAGTGTGTGTATATATATATATATATATATATATATATATATATATATATATATATATATATATATATATATACATATATATAGTATCAGGGTTTTACGTTAAACGATTAATTAATCGCGATAGGCCGTTTAATTATCCGTCTTCGCGATTCACTATATATAGCAACCCATCGAAATACGAAATGCATAGTTATCGCAAATCTATTGCCGAGAGATCAACCGACGCCAGGCGTCGTTCCTTTAGCACCCTCCGATGCCACGTGACACGGGCACTCAGAAATATTTCAAATGTACGAAGTTTATGATTCTTTTACCGACCACGTGGATTTCATGTGATTGACAAATCGCGTGTATACATATATATATTTATTTATTTATATTTATAGTAATCTTTTAAATATAATGTATTTATATTCGTTCTAACGCAATGAATAACGTCCATATTTTGGGAATAATTCTTTTTCTTCATACGCATTGTGCGTAAACAAAGTGTCGCCCAAGAAAATATCCAAATTCTAACATCAACACTCCTCCGGGAATAAGTCCCAGTGACAGTTAAATAATGTCTTTGTTCTTCTGTTTATTTTCGTCACTTACTTTCTTTTTTTTTATTTTCATACAGTACGGCGTCCCGGCGCGTGCTATAGATCGTACAAATGATCGTAATAAATGACGACGATATCGAGAATAATTAATGACAATAATAACGATAGCTCACGGCGAATATAATTAACGTTCAACCGCCACTATTTTTACAATCAGCTACAGCGAGTCGGCCATCTTGAAATTATATACGGAGTCTTTCGAGGCTTCGGAGAAAGGTCAGAGATCACGATGATATATATATATATTTATTTTATTTATTTATTCGGCATTCCGCTTTACAGTACTTATAATTTGATTTTTTAAATTTTATTTTGAAAATTCCCATCGCCTTTTTTGGCTAGCCACGAGTTTCCGAATACTCGTCACTTTTTTCTATTTTTTTTTTTTCACTTTGGCCGGTATACACAATACCGGTAATAAATGACGCACGTCGGCGTCGCGACGCCCGGCATCTTTCATCGGTACTTTTTTTTTATTATCAGAAAAAGGACAGCCCAGAGAGCTACGTCTATTCTTAACCCTGTGATACGTTATTTTATTCGTCTGGGTCAAAGTTCAATGTAATTTTGTCAAAGGAATCGTGACGACGCCGACGCCGACGCCAAAGTCCGGCACGCGATTCGTTATTGAAATTTTTTGTCAGCTAAGAATTTCTTTTCTCCCCATATCAATTATTAACCCCTTTGCCACCTATAAATATACATATGTATGTACCTTGAGAATTTCATATGGAATTCACGAAAATAATGAATGGACACAGCTCGCGGTCGGCAATTTATACGTGTATAATTTTAGGCGAATTTAACCTAATTCGCAAAATTTTTCTCTCGCGACACCTCTTCATATTCATCATTTATGTTGACCCTAATAATATTATTACAAGTAATAATCAATATCTTTATTACGATATATTTCTGTTTTATTACATATCGATTCGCAATTGACTCTATGTGCCTATCTTAACCGTCTGGCTAAAACACGCTTCTTCACCATTTTATTTTTATATCTTCATTTCTTTTAGCCTCCTTCTTCATAATTAGTCTATCGACGCGGGAACGCATCGGTTTATTAATTTTCTATTGAATTCATACACGTCATTCATTCTCGCCCCAATTCTTTCTATTTTTATTTCTATATTTATCTTTTTTTACGTCACGGATCCGACACGCAACGACAGCAAGAACAACTTCGTCAATAGCATTCTGATTCCTGATAGTGACAAAGGACGTTACCCAATTAATTAAAAATCCAAAAACAAATTCAAAAATCACACATGAAACTTTTTTAACCTTTATCCCATCAAGCTTGAGTTTGAACTCTGACCCGATTTCAATATCAAAGATAGTCCTGACGTGATCTTAAAAAATGTTCACATACGATTAGTCACACAGGAAATCCAACTAAATATTTCGAACGATAAGGGATTAAAGAAAGTTGAAAAAAATCCCTGCTTGCTTATATTCAAAATTCTATTATTTTCTAGTCACGCGAACACGACGCCGAATACGGATCGTGATAGGTTGACATGACCCACCTGTGCAACACTGTACTGATTTAATACGCTTACAATTAGTAAGCTTACCTTTACGTAAAAATGTATTACTATTAATGGCTACCGTTAGGAATAAGTATCCTTAGTATCGCGCCTCACTCGAACACCAAGAAGACGAAAAAGTATTTTTAGTAGTAAGTTGTAGTAGTTCAATTAATATTGAGATTTTTTTTCCTTTTTTAAAATTTCTTAATTTTTTTCATTATCATTTTTCTCGAACTGCTACGTTATCTCGGGGGTCTGTCAAAGGGTTAACAATCGCAGAAATCAAAAACTAATTCTGATCTTCACGACGTTCAAATTCAATACGGCTCTAGTAATGTTACTCCAATCATGTCGGATCATTGTAGATCATTTTCTACTTATTTGATTCCCTATAAATACTGTCCTTGCTGTAGAAAGGTTTTTTTTTTAAAATCACAGTACAAGAATCATGATCATTCGTGACGCATGCGTTTCATTTTTGTCCCTTCACTTTCCTTTACGTTCTACTCTTTTTACCTGTTTCGCATTACGCCCAGGACTTTTTTGCATTTTTAAATTAAAAAAAAGGTACGTTTACCGAGACCGTCGAGAATGCGGAATTGCGTCACACTCAATGTTCGTCCGTTAATTATTGATCATAGCTTTACCGAGGACTTTACTGATTTCATATAGAGCGGTTAGAAGAATGCAACAAAATTGAAAAAACGAAGAAAAACAAAAATTAAACGTGGCCGTAATACCGATACGATCGATCGGAATTACCACACGATTCCGTAACGAGTTTGCAAGTAATTCGGAATTACTTAATAGATCGGTATTTTGACCAAGGTGGCATTCTTGAGAAGGCCACTCATACTATGAATATATACAGTATGTAACAAATTATAAATCGTCTAAATACAAGAAAAAACTGAAAAAGGATCTATAAATCACTCGTCCTTAATCAGCATTAACAGTAAATTTTTATATTAAGAAAAAAAAAAAAAATTAAAAACATTAAGAAATCGTTAAAACCCTAGATGGCAATTTTTAACTCGGTTTACCGAACGACGCTCGACCGTATTGTTTTCGGAACACGCCAAGCAGCGTTAAATCATTTTTTGTTAATAGAATTGACATTGACTTGACGTGAAAGTGTTTTCGCAACTCTACCGATCGCATTCCTACCTTCGATCTCAAGCGGCACCCATACTTGTACCGATCAGGTATACTAGAGAGAAGAAAAAAATTACCAGAGAACTCGATATAAAATGCACGAGAATGGCGACGAATAAAATAATTAAAAAATTTATTCCATATGAGGCAACGACGATTTTTAAAAACTTCTTTGTTTTCTACACATATTTTTTCCTCTCCCCTTTTCAAAAGAAACGAACAATCAGCCGATCGAAAATATAAACGATTGACAATCGATCGATTTGACGTAACAGCTATATGCAAGGTTCACTGCGCCTTTTCAGTTGCGTCATCATAAAGTGTCAGCAGCAATTGCCACTAAGAAAAGGTCTGATTATTTCGTGTCGAAAGACATTTATATCTTTTCTTTTCATATATATTATTTTTTACCGCATATTTCTTTTGCTCCTCCGGAAGTGACAATAACCAAAATTTGTCAAAATTCAGAACACAGCAGGCTCGTAATCGAAGATTAGGAGCGACGAGTAGATACAGTCTGATCGACGATCATAAAAATTATGCATTTTACGTAAAATCTCATAAATCTATGTGACACTTATATAACGACGCCCGACGTCGTTTCGGGGTACGTCGCGCTCTGATAATTCCCCATAATATCTCACCACGCAACAACTCCGACAAGAGTGAAATTGCACGCGTGGAATTTCACGAGCACATTGCGCGAACTATAAAATTCTTCATACCTCATACAAAGACTTCCGCTTCATCAGTCACAACAGTTTTTTACGGCCGAGCGTCTTGTCGCGAAATTGACGAATAATAATTTGTTCACTTAAAATCGAAAAAAAAAAAACGGCAATTCCTTTCGATTCGTAATATTTTTCATTTTTACGCCGATTCCATTGTTTTCTTACTCAGGAGTCAATTTCATACATACGTGTAAGGTGTGCATGATGTGTGCGTGTCTTTGTACGTCAATTAATTTTGCAGGCAACAAACATGCACGGAACGACGAAAGATTACGAAAGATCGAGACGCGATGCTCAAGATCGAGAATTGAGTATGAGACTGTAGGAAAAAACGTAGAAAAAAATAAGAATAGTACAGTATTTTCATTAGGCATAAGGGGAGAAGGAGCTTCTTTAATATATTCCAAGGAAAAAGTTTGTTTCCACGGAGATATGAAATATTTCGTAATCAGATAATATATAGATATCAGATAATAGATAGATATAGGTATACACAACATCGCAATGGAATATTCGCACAGTGTTGGACCACAGTATAATGCGCAGTAAAAAAAGGTATAGGAGGAATATATGTATAGTATATAAGTATAGATGTATATAGAGATTGTATATATAGTATGTATAGTACAGAGATAGGTATAGAGCTACATTAATGTAGGTACATGGATAGCTATAGGTACAAGTATAAGTATATATCGTATAGTATATAGATAAGAAATTATAACGTGAATGATAGTAAATAGATGATATACTGTATGGTATAAGCAGATATGATTTGCGATATAAAATTAATTAATGGAAGTAGCGTCGTCTTTCAACCACTTGGACCAAAGGGTGTAATACCTTTTTGTCATATATTTCTCTAATTTTTTTTTTTCCACAAGACGATAAATTGTCACGCGGATGACGAGTGAAGATGAATGAAAAGGCGGGAACTTTTAAGTTTCTCGAATTGATAAATTTTTTCGAGAATAAAGCGGTTGTGGAAAATAAATGACCTCGTATAGAGTATGACGTTATGTCATTGGTTATAATTAATATATATATATATATATATATATATATGTATATATAATGAATATATATATATATATATATATATATATATATGTATACAGATAAAGTCCTCATGGGGAACCTTATTGATTTTCATTTTAAAGGTATTGACGTTGATCCCATAGAATACGTGTTTAAACATCTAGGCACAATTCCTAATGATTGTTTTGGGCGAGCTTGTGCGCAAAAAATTTTTATTCATTTTCTCCTTAGTGCATTTCGACTATTTCCGGGTCATTCTGCCGGCCCTTTAAAAAAAAAAAAGAAAAAAAAAAAACTTCTTCCATATATTTTTATCCGCGTGATTAAATCTTTTGACTCTTTTAAGTTTCTCTATTCGAAAAAGGGCCGATCTGAGACGGAATGAATTTTGAGATTGCGAAATGATATAAAGGGTGTTGGAAAAAAATAGGAATAACGGAAATCACGTGGTGCACATCAGTAGCTGTGAGGTTCACCGATAATCAGTCAGTGGTTAGAGACCGGTAAAAGGCAGATGGACAGGCGGGTAGACAGAGACATATAGACTACAGAGCAGAATTGTGCGAATGGTCGCGTTTTCATGAGATTAAATTTTTTTGTAGTTAAACGATATGCCATTAGCGTCCGATTGCATTCTTTTTTTTTACTGGACTCGTGCAGCGACGGCTGCAGGTATTAATTGCAGGGATCACTTCTTAGGGTGGACATTAAAAGTGAAAATCGCGGGTTTCGCCTCTGAAAACGTAACGTTCATTTGGCGACTTCGGACTTTCTAATGAACTTGTCGCAATCGGATCCCGTGGCATAACGTCGGTGCGGCCGATTTTTTTTCGACGTCTTTCATCGCATTTCTTGGTTTTTCTCCCATCGAACAAACGCGTAGCGTTCTACTTCCGGAATTTTCATGGAGGAGAAAATATATAGCCGAGCGACCATGCGCTAGATGAGAAGGAACGATGAAAGAGGGTAAAAAACGAGTTACTATATTTTTCATCTTTAAGGCGCAACAAGGAAATATTTGTGTAAAGGGACCATAGGGCTTGGGAATGAGATTTTGGTACCGAATGGGGGAGACAGAAAGAACACAAAAAACGGGCAGGTTTGACAAATTGGATATATATTTTTTTGTTTCCTTTTCGACAATAAAGAGAAATTAGAATTAGAAATTGGACATGAGAACACACATGACGTAAAGATGAATGCGGCGGTAGGTGTAAATAAGAAGTAAAATAAAACGGGCAAGGACAATCATTACGCCGTAAAGTAGTAAGTAGTAATAGTAGATAGTAGTAAGTAATAGTTGTAGTATAGTAGTAGTTGTAGTAGTGATAGTAGTAATAGTAATAGTTGTAAGTAATAAGTAATAGTAAATAGTAGTTAGTAGTAGTAGTAGTAGTAGTAGTAGTAGTAGTAGTAGTAAATAGCAATGGTAATAGTAGATAGTAGATAGCAATGGATAGATAGATAGTAGTAGTAGTAATAGTAACAGTAGATAGTGACAATAAAAAGTGGCGAAGACGTGTAAATTAAAATTAAAACGATTATCGAGATAAGAATACAACGACAATGTAAAAACTAGGAATATAGCGAAGATTTTTCTTTTCTGCTCCAAGTAACCCGAGGCACACGCACGAAACTAATACTAACTAAGGTTACTTAGTGTTAAACAATAATTATAATAATAGTAATAATAGCGATAATGACAATAAAAAAAGAATAATATTAAGAATAACTAATAATAGTAATAATAGTAATAATAATAGTATGCGGTAGCGGTTAAGGTAGTGGTCATAAACAGTAGTAAAGTAGAATAGCGACAGAAGTAATAGTAGCATAGTATAGTAACAGTAATAGCGATAAGTAGTATTAATACCAGTGACGACAATAAGGGACGGGCGCGAGGAAATGGGTGGTAAAGGGTGAAGTGAAGAATCAGACAGATCAAGAAAAAAACGATGGTCGTTCGCAATAAAGAAAAAAAAGAGAACACGAAAAAAAATGATTGAAGGAACGAGGGAAAAAAAGAAAGTTATAAAATAATAATATGAGATATTGAAATAATCGAAAGTTACAAAATCGCTGTTCTCTCTCTCTCTCTCTCTCTCTCTCTCTCTCTCTCACTCTCATTCGTTCATTCATTTTCTTTTATTCGCATTTCGTTTCACGTTATCAAATTCGTATACAGAGACACACACATGCAGAGATAACTTTTTTTTATTATTTATCATTCTTTTTCTTTTCTGTCCCCGTTAATTGGTCGCGTGAGAAGTCGTATGGAGAAAAGAAGAAATGGAAAAACTCGAGAACGAGAGATATCGCGCAAGAGAGGAAAATGACAGGAGAAGATAAGACGAAGCGGATACAGATAAGAGACACACGAAGAGGAAAGTCGAAGTTGAAGTTTGAAGTAAGAATTGAGAAAAAGTGAAGAAATAACATGCTGTGGTCTTGAGGTGGTCGCTATTGATATGAGAAAATGTTTCTTTTTCTTATCAAGGCTGGAGTGGGAGAGTACGTGCGAGAATTATTTGCTGAAACACACTAATTTATGGAAAATTGATATAAGTTGATTTTAAGTGCACAGCGTCAGTGTAATATGTTAGCAGATTGAATCTGATTGTTTTCGTATTTTTTCTTTTGTGTTCACCGTGTATTACGCTCTAAGGATACTAATCGCACTAACGAAGGAACATTGAGGGGGTGGCAAAAAAATATGATCCTAAAGTTACCATAGAGAATCATTATTCGCTACATTGGTCATCCTTGTCACGTGACAAAACTCATCCCCATTCCTCATGACCATAATTAATAAAAAAAAAAGAAAGTACAATTAACGTTGCCACCCCATGAAATTTCCAACCTTTAAAATTTTGCACCACCCTTCTTTATACCCCCTCGATTCTCGTAACAGTCAATCACGAGTGTACGCCGTAACGCCGTTGCGCTTTCCATTTTTGTCATTTGTTTATTTTTTCCATTTTTTTTCCCCTGAAATTTGTCAAAATTTATTTTACAATCGTTTTTCGCAATTTCTTACTTTTTTTTCCTCCCAACTTTTCATCTCGCAATTGGCCTACGTCGTCTAATGTACAATTTTTCAAAAACACAATGTATATCACATCCGTGTGCGTGTGTCGGTGCGTGCGTGTTTCGCGTAAAACTCTTTCAATTTGTCTTTTGTATTAAAGGTGGGGAATTTTAATTTAACCATTAACATTATTAATCCCTTCTTTCATTCTCACCTTCCCACAAGCTCTCGATACAAACTTTCCTTACCTAATTTTCCCTTTCATCCTTGCCTCTCGTTTATGCTTCTGCTCGCGTGTCGACTATCTATAATCACTTACTAGCTTAACTGTAAAACGCCCGCTCTGACAATTGTTTCGTTTAAAAAATGATTTGTCTTGCCGGAGCCGAGCTGATTGTGATTTGCAACGCAATTCCTGGCCCAATATGACTTTTTTTTTTCACCGATGGGCTACCCGGTAGACGCGACCCATAGCGCTAAGCTGACGTATTTTTTTTTTTCCATTTAACTTTAACTACCACCACAGAAAGTTATTAATTGAATATTATGTACAAATTATACCTTAAAATTTCTATACAATGATCGCGCGCTGAGAACTCTCAGTCGATCAAAATAATTTATTTATTTAACACTATCGGAAGCAAAACAAAAATATTGGACGTTATACAGTAGTAAAAGTTCTGTAGGATCATCAGAAGATCGGAAAGAACAGACAACAGAGGTGACAAGCCGTGAAGTAGAGAAGAAGATCAAAGTCAGCCGTTCGCTGTGGGTGGCGTTAACTAACCGGATACGAAAAAAAAAGGAAGGAATGCGACAGGAAGAGAATCAAAACGGAAATTGCACAGTGAAAATGAAGAGTTCGGAGCTGAAGTTAAAAGATGGGCGACGGGGGTAGTTTCCATTGAAGGGAAGATATTAAAAAAAAAAAATGCAAAAAAAATGCAAAAAAAAAAGGTATATAAAAAAGAACCACCAGCATCATCGACCCGTGAAACGAAATAAGCTCGTCACTTTGTATCCCATGGAAGCCTGGGAGATTTTTTTTCTTTAATATCGGGCGACAGAACAGTTTAGCGTAAGATCGAAAATTGGAGTTTCCGTTAATGAAGTACATGTAAGGAGGAACGTGACAACGAGGAATAACGACGTTGAACAAGAATACCGGAAGTGGTCATTGGGTCAATTGTTACAGCACACAGAGTATACGTAGGTGTAGACATTTTTTTCTGGGATTCAAGGAATTTTGAAACTCTCTAACGTTACTGGGAATTGGAATACCTATATTTGAAGTTTTAAATTTTCATACTTGGATGTGGGACTTGGGACGGGGGGCGGGCTGGGGGGTTCATGCGTGGCAGCTTAACATCGGGGTTACTCTCGTGTTCTGAATTGTCGATTAGAGTGATTGTCATAAACTATACACGTTAGAGCTTAAAAAGGAGCTACTACGAATTTCTAATGCGCTACTTTTCTTAATCGTCTACGCCTTACACGCTATCCACCTATAATGCCTATAACGCTAGCTACAAATTTCTTCGGGCCCTTCTTTCATTTTTCACCTCGTTTGCTCTCTTTCCCTTTTACATTTTCATTTCTCCTTCGAATTCAGATTTGGTCACAGTACGCATACAACGACGAAATCCGCGTATCGCACTGTAGATTCTACGTTTTTCTTGATTGGCCGATATTTATATTTACTTTTTTTTTTTTTTTTTTTTTTTTTTTTTTTTTTTTTTTTTTTTTTTTTTTTTTTTTTTTTTTTTTTTTTTTTTTTTTTTTTTTTTTTTTTTTTTTTTTTTTTTTTTTTTTTTTTTTTTTTTTTTTTTTTTTTTTTTTAAATTAATTCGCGTAACGCAACAAGAACATAGAATTATTTTCGCCATTATTCATTTGTTCAAAATAACGACAAAGGTTCGTCGTTACGCTCCCGGATTTTCTATGACAGAGAAATCATTGAATTTTTACAACAATTTTTCCTTTCAAAATCAATTATTATGTATATATTTTTCGACTTTACTGTACCCTCTTCAAATTTTCCGTCACTAACACACACACCCGGATAAAAAATTATCACTGAACGCTCGATGCCGCAGAACAAAATTCTCGTTAAACCCTATACTCACGGTTTGATTGAATTTTTTCACACAATCAACGCAATTCCAAATTCAAAAATAATTATGAAACACGCAGTCGAACCGATTCCCACTACACGTTAACATATAATCCATATTCGAGATTGAATATACATTTTTTCTCACATTCGTCATTCATCCCTACACGGCAATCGATCGTTTCTTTTTTTTTTTCAATACGCAATAACACCGGCGTACCCAGCGCTTACGCCTTCGCTCGTGCACGCTCGTTTACGAATCACGTTTAACCCCACCAAAAATCTCAAACGCGATTGTACCAAATATTCTCTACAGTTAATTCATGCGCATGCGCATGCGCACAGCGTAAAACGCGTACACCTTCGGCGTCTCGACGATACTGTTTCTCACGTGATCTATAAACCGTTTTAATCACTTTAAATCTACCTGAACAATACATCAATACTGATACTCATAGTGTTCCTTACTAATAGTTGGTTTATACTAACTTTTCGCGCGCGTTTGCATACACGACCACGTGTACTTATGTGACAATTGCGGCAAACGTGAATAATTGATGAATGCGGTGTAATGCACGTCTTATTTCCCTTAAACGTGTATCTTGTCATCTGCATATGTTATTCCGTTATCCTGATATCTCTCGGCATTGTCTCTCATGTGTATTGTATTTAAATCGACAGCATTTAAACTCTAGTCTTATCAGTTATTAATAAAATATAGTAATATCGAGATACAGCCGTTGCGCGCTTTAGACACACCCGTTACAATGCGATATATCAAATATATAGGAGATATATATCCTGTCTATGATGTATATATACATACATATATTTTCTGTATATATATGTATATACGTACCCTCTTGTAGGCTAAGCTTTTTGTCTATTACATGTGTGCTGGACTCAGGCTCCGAATTTGTCATCTCGCCAATTCATTTGATTACACTTTTTTATTTTCCTGATCTCTTTTCCTTTTTACTGACTGAATATCCCAGGATTCCAACGGAACACGATTTTCAATTGGCACACCCACTAGGGCGTCCTTTGATTACTTTCATGGCAAGACGGTCTTACGGTGGTCCTGGAATATTTTGAAATGACCTGTAGCATCGTTATACCATAAAGTCATAGATCATTGATTGAGGTAGAAAATTAACGGAGCCTGAGATTCTTGTGACACCTTGTAGCGAGTGCTGGCTACCCCAACCCTCACCTCGGCCCCCCTCAACCCAGCTAGTGTTGTATACGATCGTATTAATCTACAGGACATTTCAAAGGTAATGATACGTAATTGTAATGATGATTAACAAAAAATGACAGAATAACGTTAATCGAACGTAGAATGTAAAATTCGTCATTAAGAATAGCAGAGGATAATTTTTGTATCTGAATTGGAATCAAGTACTGAAACACCCTGTAGATTGAAATAACGATCGCTGCCCTTCTCGTAATTGCGAAGCCCGACGTGACATTTATGAATTGTCATCTAATCAGTAAAGATCGAACGACAACATAAATCTCACGAAGGGTCGTTCCTCGATATTATTTCGACTTTCCAAAACGCTGATAACAGAGAAAACTTTCTTGATAGATTATACGCGCGAGACTTACTATGATATTCTTTGAGAGAGAGAGAAGGCATATATGTATATGCACGCATATGAAATCAGTGAATCAATTTGCGTTACATCGAACTGCAATTAGCAGAGTCTGTATTCAATTTCAAGAAAAAGAATTCCCTCGTTTTGGTAAGAAATATTCGCCGATGGTATCGAAGGACAGCAACTAATGCTAATTCTGATAATAATTGGTCACACTGATTACGGAGACAAAATCACATTTTACGTCTAAACGCGTATATTAAACTCCGTGTAGTATCTGACAAGGACTATCCTCAGTATTTCGCATTACGATTTGTAGTATTAAGACAATAGATCAAAGCGGGATGATCTATTACAATTAGACGGCACTGTATAAAATAATTGGCAGGTGCACTTATAGCGTGTACAGCGGGGCACGGAGTGACTCTAGGATACAAGACAAGAATTCGGTAAGATGGCGAAATGTTTAAATCGAAAAAGAAAGAAAGTAAGAAGGAAAGACGAGTAGAAATGAAGGGGGAAAAAAGAATAGAAGAAACAGAAAAGATTCGTCAGTCCGAGCGGCTAGGCAGGTAAAATGTATAATACTCAAAACTTAAGTCTAAATTACAGAACAATGCTGAAGGCATCGAAGAACTTGAGACAAGGAAAAAAAACCAAAGACGAATATAATAGACGGGCAAAGATGACGCCAAATAAATGAGGGGCGTTGTAACGAAAATAAACATTAGTCTACGATTAAAAACGAAAGAGACAATGAAAAATAAATTGACAATAATGATAAGTCGTAAGCGTTTAAATCTAATATCGAATGATAAAGCGAACGATGAATTAGTGGGTATTGAAGGAGAGGGGGAATACTGGGGACGTTTGTTGGGAGAGTCGTGTTGAAACGTGAGATAGAACGAAAAAGGACGAGGATGGAAAAGTAAAACTGAATAAAACAATTACAATTAAAAAAAAAGAAAAAACAAGAAGAAGTTAAAAGTAAAACACTTGCAATTAGAATTATTAATACTAGATTTTGCTCGTGTCCTCAGGATGTCATGCGTGGGTTACTGAAAATTGTGTGCGTGTAGCAATTGATTCTTAATATATGTATATGTGTATATATGTATATATATACATACATAGCGTAGCCTTTTCCATGCGTGCATTTTTATACGCATATATATATATATATATACACACACGCAATATATAGACATACATGTCTTCGCAGTGCTCGATAGCAGGAGACGTCATGAATTCTTCACTTGAAATTATATGTCGTCGCTTTAACGGTAATTGTAATTGTAATCGTAATGTAAAATGTAATGTAAATGTTTATCAGAGATTCGAAAGACACAGATCAATAGATGCAAAGACTGGCCCCCTTCGCTCGTGCCGGCTACTCGTTACGTGTTATCATTTCACGTGCTGGTATTTTTTTTTTTTATTTTCTTGGTCATTAGGACATTTCCTCTCACCCAGTCTTAAACGGTATTTGGAACAAGTGCGCGTCGAATGTTTCTTCCTCGTGGACAACGTGGTCGTTTTGACGGAGAAAAGAAAGAGAAGTACAAAAAAAAAATGACAGTAACTTGCGTACTAGAGTTGATTATGGCTCGAGGAGAAAAAAGTTCTTAACGCGTTTTCTTCTAGAATTCCGTGAGGCGCACGATAAAAAAAAAAGATCACATAATTGTTTCCTAATCGCCAAGAGATCAACATCCCGCAGTCAACAGCCTAGCCTACTTTGGCACAAGCAACACTGCCCGGGCCGGCACTCGCTTTTTTTTTTTTTTTTTTTTTTTTTT